CTGCAAACAGATTTTCTAAAATCAAAAATTGCTCCATCTTTTCATAATCAGCAGACACATTGACCCAGAAAAAAACAATAACAAGTGGTGGATGGTGTCACAGGCCGGCTCATAGCCTGTGGCAAAAAGGAGGGGACATGAACAACAGGTATAGGCCAATCAAAAGGTTCTTTATTGTAAACCAAAAACTATTAACTTTAAACAAAGAAAAAGGAATGAGGTGTGGAAATGTCATAATGTAGGGTGTAGGTAAGGTGCATGGATGCATGAATCTGTGTGTGTGTGAACATGACTGAGTGGAAACTAAGTACACCTACAAAGGAACAAACAAAACAGGATCATACCTGGAGGAGCAGAGAGAGAGAGTGGTTAGTGAAGCAGTTTTAAATACCCCGAGCCCAGGTGGCTCCAATCACACCAACTCCAATCACTAACGACCCTCCTCTGCGCACCGTTGACCTTTAGTGAGTGCAGTGGCCACAATGGGTATCTGTTCAAAGGGAATGTCCTGATTGTCTAAAGTACTGTACTGTACATGTCAATGTTGTTAATCTCAATGACCAAGTCATTACAATTCTGCATTGAAACATTTTAGAGAGCATTGCATCTTACTTATTCTGAATTTAATGCCACGGCCGGCCTCCAAAATGGTAGATAGTTGGTCCATGCCATAGTGGGAGTTTTTTAAAAACTCTATCCCACCTGGCATGCCCTTTACTTCAATGACCACTGTCTTGGCAGCCACAGCCATATATGGAACTCTGCCATGTCCACCTGCTTCATCTAAACAGAAACAGAAATAAGGCTTTAGTGAAGGAAGATCAAGTGTACACATTATTCCAAGCTTCTACCAGTGATCCAGAAATCCAGAAATCTGTTTACTTGAATATCAACAATGTAAACCAACAAGGCACAGCTACCACATATGTTTTTATAAATCAAATGTCAGCCCTTGTATCCAGAACTCTGCCTTTGAATTTTAGTGGTTACATTTTTTAAGCTTGCTTAAAAGTGGCGTACGACCGTTATTTAATTGTTGAATCACAGATATACAGTACATTTTAATAGTTATTTCAAATAAAATGATACATACTATACTTCTGGTTGAATAAGGCTTGTACTCTTTGCACCCTAGCCTTGTCAAACCCCTTAAACTTTGACTGTGAAGCTGCAGGTTTGCCTAGATGTAACAATAAAAGAGGCACAGTAGTGTATGAGTGTGTTTAAAGGCATTATAGATGTACAGATGTAGGATCTTAATTTGAGTCAGTTTGCTACAGCAGGAAAATAATCCTGCATTAACAGGAAAGTGAATTGTTATGTGGATTATAATAAATGTACATTTTTGTCGGGGGTTGATACATTTATCGGGAAAATCAAGTCTGAAATTCCAAAGTGGAAATTACAAACTTCAGAAGCCTTTTCAAACCTCAAATATACAACAAGTAAAAAATGTTCTGCATTGCAGAAAGGTTGTCCTGCAACAGGGGGATCAAATTAAGATCCTACATCTGTATGCTTGAGGTTAAGTTTCCAAAGTTATTTTTTAAATATGTGTACCAGAAAACTTGGCGATCAGATCCTGGACCTCAACAAATTCCTTTCCCCTCCCAGATGAGGCTGTACTGACTAGTTTTGGGGTCCTCTGGGTTGTGGACAAGGAATGCTGTGTCGACCCCCATACCTTCCAACTCCATAACCTTACAAAAAATGATGTAGAAATAGACCAGATAAATAATAAATGATATTAGATGTAAAAGAAATACAATACCTAAAAATGCTTATAGGAAAAGAGTTGGTGAAAAGACTGAACTCCTTCCATAAGAAAAATGCCTGTTCTCTGCATTAAATCTGTATCTCAAATCTAACTCCAACTATCAAAGACATTACTTTTTTTGAAGTAAAGGTTTAAAAATGTATTGACTTACTACTGTGACCCTATATATTGCCAACATTGATTTCAACTGTCTTAAATAATCTTTGACTTTTAAGGCCTTCAGGTTCCCCTTCAACTCCTGACCTCCTGTCTGTAGCTTGTCTGCCTCATCACTGTAATGGGCTTTTGTGGCAGGTGGTAATGCCTGCCATTTTCCCTGTGTACCATAACTCCTAAGAGAAAACCCTCTGATAATTCATCTAAAAATAATAATAATAATTGGCCTGCATCAAAGACACCCCCACAAGAGTGTGCAAAGCTGTCATCAAGACAAAGGGTGGCTATTTGAAGAATCTCAAATATATAATATATTTTGATTTGTTTAACACTTTTTTGGCTACTACATGATTCCATGTGTGTTATTTCATAGTTTTGATGTCTTCACTATTATTCTACAATGTAGAAAATAGTAAAAAAATAAAGAAAAACCCTTGAATGAGTAGGTGTTCTAAAACTTTTGACCGGTAGTGTACTTCACAAGACGAGGTCAGACAGACAAATAGATAGAGGTATACTGTAGGTGCTGGGTTACGGTTTAGTCTTCCTGTTTTTAGGAACCTGATGCTGGTTGATATGAATGACTTGTGTGCCCTGTTTGTTCTACAGAGTGGGGTTTTGAACCTTCAACCTGACAGCAGCAGTTGGTACTGGTTGTATGTTGGTGTGTCTTAGTAAAATTGTCTGGATTTATGGATGGTTCTTGATTTGTAGAATGATGGGCAGCTGTATAATGTCTTGCAATTCAAGAGTCAATGCAATTCATACTGTGCCATAAAAGGTTCTACTTGTTTACTAATTCATTCAAACTAAAACCTTGTGAGAGTTCTTGCCTATCATGCTGTACCAAAAGCAATTACCACCAACTCTGATTGTGTGGCAATAAAGTCTTGCTGTGACCAGTGTAACAGACCAATCTAAAGACACTACACACAGACGAGATGGGAGACAACGACCAGTCCGTCACATTCCTTTTGATCTTTCCCGTGAGCAGTCTTTCTGAATTCATAAAGTAGAATCTGGGTCGGCCATCGGTCAACGACCAATGCGCGAGACTGCTCTCTACACAAAAACAAAACTGAAACTATGGAACTGCAAATGAGCCGTCGTGGGGCAGTGTGCCCACAAAAGCCTGGGACTTGGTTGGAGACAGTACAGGGTCGTATTCACTAGGCACCAAACACAATGAAAATGGACTGAAACTGCAAATGACTACCTGAACTTGTCTTATAAGAAACAATTGTTTTTAGTTTTCCATTGCAAAAGTGAATTTTGTTACGGTCCGCACCAATAAACACGACCTAGTGCTTAGGTTACAACAGAGCTACCTAACCCAATTCCTGGAGATCTACCATCCTGTGGGTATTCAGTCCAACCCTAACCTAACATACCTGATTCAGCTAGTTGAGGGTCATGTTCCAGGCCCTGACCAAATTGCAGATAATGCATTGCATCACCCAATAGTTGCATAGCATGTCATTTGCATGCCACATCATCGACTGCGCAGTCGGGCGTTAGATTGCTATACCGCTATATCATATGGGTGGCATTCCTGCCTGACTACATTGCAGACGCCTGCCAGATCTCGCAAAGCTTGGATAGGTGTTTAACAATTCAGCTAACCACATCATATGATATAGCAATGTAAAGCCCGACAGTCGATGACGTGGCACACAACCATTGGTTGATGCAATGCAACGTCTTCAACGTAATCAGCCAGGAACACCACCAGTATGTGGTTAGCTGCTATGTTCAACGCTGGCCTCGCGTAGCCATCCTTCCAAATCTTGTCTTGTTGAATCGTGTTGGAAGTCTGGAGAAATACAATATAGGATTCTGGGTTTGAATGGGAGTGTAGGTTTTTGGTTTTTGTTCAAACCCTTATCTAGCACACCTAACTAACTGGTTGATAAGCTGAATCACGTTAGTTACTACTGGGTTTGGAGTGAAAACCTACAGGATGGTTGCTTTCCAGGAACAGAGTTGTTACGCCCTGCAATAGTGATAAATAAAAGTAGAGGCCAATAAATCATCAAATAATTGGAACCAATTATGCTAATATGTTATGTTAGCTATCAATTGTAATACACCCATAAATTAAGAAGCAATGAAGTCCACCTGGAACGCGCCCGCGGGCTAGCAACGCAATTACCGGCTAGCAATGTCAGTCAAGCTAGCCAGCTGGGCCACGAGTTGCCGGAGCTCGTTCAGAGGTGACGTTTTAAATGATTCTATTAATTTAGGAGCTGCAAATGCAATGCTCACTTAATATTTAATAATTACCATTTGCTTCATATGGCAGGCAAAATAAGAATTTGTTCTTAACTGACTTGCCTAGTTAAATAAAGGTTAAATAAATAAATAAAATAAAAGGGAGGTCTGGTTGTCGGCCATGCTGGAAATGTGATATCGCGTTAGTGTGTCATTTTCAATACAGTACATCTACACCACGATAAGAAACGTTGATTTGAACCTTCTGACCAACTAGTGGGTCAGGCGGCGCCCCACTGTCTGATTCATATCACGTGATTTCTGATGATTGTTCTCGATTATATTGACTGATTGCAATTGTTTGGGGTGGTCCATATAGCCTCTCCCTACACAAGATGGAAAAGACAAGACATGGGTATACTGACCGCTTATATGTAGACATTTAATTGGTCCATTCTCAATGTTTTGGTGCGTTTAGGGACGTGGCATTTACCAGAAGTTTATTATATCCACCAATAGAAATAGAGGTCATATAGATTCGCCCAGATTTTGTGAACCCCTTTGTTTGGTTCGTCGTCCTTAAATATTGGCCAAATTGATTATTTTGTGTGTGTGAGTGAAGGAATAAAAGTGTACAGAAGTAGAAAGAGAAGTATAGAAGTCAGAACTTTGTGATGATATGAGGCTTTTAAAATTAATTCATTATGATATGCCCTTACATGCCATTCATCCATTGTCCCATGGATTTTCTGCGATATTTTCCATGCATGTCTTTCAAGCTTCCATTGGTTTATAGATTACCTATTTGTAGACCAGATATGAATATGCTCATTTCAAAGGTCACACTTTATTGCACATGAGGTGTTTAGGCTACATATACCCAAACCAATTCTTACAATTGAGAGCCTGTGTATAGTCACATTTTGGGGAGGAAATAGCTTCTGACAGCACATTATAATCCTACAAAAAAGATTTATCCTACATTATATTAAGCATGGGAACAAAGTAGTCTACCCAAGTTAAAATATAACCTAACTGTTCTGTTCTCAAGAACTGCTCAGAGTAACTGTGATCGGCTACAGCAGGTAAGGTGACAAAGTATGAGCCAAATGTCTAAAAGTGTTCTTGTGTATACTTTGTAAATGTATAAGGATATTTAAAACATTAAAGTTGAATGTCTTAATAGTTCAAGCTCTGTTAGATACTGGGGTCAATGGAAAAGTATGTGGAGGATGGGTACAGAACTTCAACTTCAAACAGTAAAATAAAGTGCTGTAACGGTAGACAGAACCGTTAATTGTGGTCTGTTGCACCGGTTTACTACTAGTCTACATGTAGTCTAGTATGTAATAGTCTGCTCATGTCTCAAGGGTCAATGTCAATAATTCACACATTATTTCAATGAAAGAAGATCGAGAACGAATAGTTTGGTTAGAAACCAACTTTTGGAAAGAGTCATTTTTTTAATGCAGTGGCTGCGTGACCTGATTCTGTCGAAGCCTCTTCCCAATAGCTGAATAACTGTACCTTCTGCACATGTGCTACTTTACGGTGAAAGGCATGTTGTACAAACTTTGTCTGCTGTAACCACAGAGAATGATAGAGGCCTCTAGTGGCCATTTTAGCATGGGCAGCGTCATTGAGGGCGTCCACCATGCTTCTGCCATTTTAAAGTAATTAAAGTAGTCAACTGGGTGGGGACTCCTATGAGTTGTAGGCTCAATGGCACTGCCCATGCTGTCACAGACGCTATAATGGCATAGATACAAAGATGAGTCCTCTATCTAGCTCTATGGAAGGAACTATAAACCACATGATCAACATATTGTACAAACTTATTTGTCTCATGTCTGTTGTAACTATAAACAATATTATATTTTCAGAGTAGGATATGGCAGAATATATTAAGATTACACCAAGGTTCATAGGTTACATCAATTGATGGGGAGTAAGACAGCATAAAACCAACAAAAATTTACACAAATGTCTTAAAATACATTCCACATAGGCTACAGGTAGACTGATTTGTGCATAAAACATGCGCAGAATGTGATATGGTTACTTAGCTCTCGGGAAGAGGAGTCCTGGGGGGGCCATTTTTCAATTGAGGTGAACCCTCAGAGTACTGTAAATCACAGAAGCACATTCAATTACATTCTATTCACATGCTTGCTTTATTGGCAGGTGACGTTTGCAAACTCCATAGTTCTGAAGATGGTACCTCCGCTTTGCTTTCACCACCTCAAACAATACTGGGCCATGTACAGGTTAAGACTGATAAGGAAAAGCTGCTTGACTCAAATTACATTCCTTGACTTTGATACTAGACGGTGTCATTCTTCCAGACCTCCAGTAGATTTGATCGCTATCAACTACCCAGCAGAAACAATCAATGGGAGAAAATACCGAGACAACCATCAGACCAGTCAGATAACCACTCTCTAAAATAAACCACATCTTAAAAGCTAATGAGTACAGTTATAAAGTCAATGGATATGATGGACGAAACTCTGTTAACTCAATTTTAGGGTTTGATAGTAACATGTTGGCATCAAATGCTCTGAGTGAGGACCGCAGGAGTGCAGCGACTTGTCTCCAGAGTAGGGGAATGCTTTTTGGGGTATTCGATGGACATGCAGGTTATGCGTGCGCCCAGGCAGTCAGTGAAAGGCTCTTCTACTACATTGCTGTGACTCTACTCCCAGTGAAGACCTTAAGGGACATTGAGGATGCAGTTGAGAATGAAAGGCCGGTGTTACCCATGCTACAGTGGCACAAGCACCCAAATGACCATACCAGCACAGATTCTGGGAAGCTTTACTTCAACAGCCTTAGGACGTACTGGCAAGAGAGGATCGATCTAGAGGAGGACGAGGACAGGTACGTCCAAACGGCTTTGATGAATGCATTCAAGAGGTTGGACAATGACATTTCACTTGAGGCCCAGGTGGACTTTGGGGACCCCTTCTCCCACTTCACCCCTCTTCGGGTGGCTCTGTCTGGGTGCACAGCATGTGTCGTCCACGTGGATGGAAATGACCTGCATGTGGCCAACCTGGGGGATAGCAGGGCTGTGCTGGGAGTCCAAGAGGAGAATGGGACCTGGTCAGCACACACCATCAGCAACGACCACAATGCCCAAAACACAGACGAGTTGCAGAGGGTTCTCTCTGAGCACCCTGCGCTCGAACACAAGACAGTAGTCAAACACGGCAGGCTACTGGGCCTCCTCATGCCCTTCAGAGGGTTCGGAGACATTAAGTTTAAATGGAGCGGTGAAATGTTGAACAGGGTGTATGAAACAAGACCAGACATCTTGTCGGCCAATGAGTTTGTTAAGATGCTCCCACCTAACTACCACACGCCACCATATCTCATTGCTGAGCCAGAGGTGACAAGCCACACACTGAGGCCAAAGGACAAGTTTCTGATCATGGCAACTGATGGCCTATGGGAGCTGATGCACAGGCAAACTGTGGTGCAGGTCATAGGAGAACATCTGACTGGTCTACACTGGCAGAAACCAGTATCTGGGCTCTCCTTTACAATGGGACAGATGCACAGGTTGCTCCAGGAGAGGAAAAGCAGAGCCATTTCGGCTTTAGAGGACGAGAACTCTGCAACACATCTGATCCGCCATGCTTTAGGGAGTGATGGCTTTGGTACTGTGGAGCAAAGGCGCTTGTCGAAAATGCTCAGCTTGCCTCAGGACCTGGCAAGGATGTACAGGGATGATATAACAATTGTTGTAATCCATTTAAATAGTGCCAACATGTAAGCCAATCAAAGATCAGACATTTCGGGGGGATAAAGGGCTCTATTTTTGGCCGGCGCTAAGATGGCGCTCTTGTCTAACTGGTGCTGTGACATTTTCCAAGAGAGCTGATGATGATGGCGGTGACCCTCATATTTTGAAATATTTCAGTTGTTTTCCTGTAACAATTGCTTGTTTTCTATTCCATTTGATTAAAAACCAAGTCCTCTGTAGGCTTCCCTACTATAACGAAGTCGCGTTCAACATCAATGAGTCTTTCCGTTTTTTTTCAATCCTGGCTATGCATATGCCAAGTAGCCCATCAAGAAAAATATTTGATAATAGTCTACTTGTGAGTGCCGTTTTGGAGGTTTAGGTTATTTTCATACCTGCCTTCTTCATTTTGCGTGTTCAAGGATCTATCCCCATTTCAATAGATGCGTTCCTACAAACGTATTGACATTGTTCAGTCCTATAATACCGAAGAGATATCTTGCCTATTTATAGAAGCCTAATATTTTTACTTTCGGAGACGTGCGAATGTTATGCGTAAATTACCGACATTACATGTTGAAGCCATCTAGAACAATGTGGACTGCAAACACCAAACATATTTAGCAAAACTGGATGCAAGTCTACTGTTGCTATTATTTGTTAATGTATGCTATTTAATAAACGGTATCAATCCACAATGGACTAATACGTGAATATCTGTGCCCTCAAGCCGAATTGATGATAACGCAAACCGTCAATAGCATACACAACTTGAGACAATTGCCATCACTATTACAGGTTTCTTTTGGGTACTATTTTCACAAGTATGTGGTGAATTTTCAAAACTCCAAACCGGTAACACTTGTAACACAGCCACTCTTACATTCAAAACCTTTAATTGTGCATTCATTTTCTTTGTAGACATCTTTCACCACACAACCATTGATTCAAAACATATGTTTACTTTGAAATATAATGAGTACATTGGTTTATTCACCAAAACAGAACATAATGCCACCAGAGGTCTCTTCACAGTCCTCAAGTCCAGAACAGACTATGGGAGGTGCACAGTTTATGGAACTCTATTCCACATTAAGTAATTCATGCAAGCAGTGAAATCTTTATTTTTATTTTTTTAAACAGATAAAAATATACCTTATGGAACAGGGAATGTGAAGAGACACACACATGTATACATGGATTTAGATTTTGTGTTGTAGATAAGTGATAGTAGAGTAGTGGCCTGAGGGCACACACTTAATATGTTGTGAAATGTATTGTAATGTTTTTTTTAAATGTAACTGCCTTAATTCTGCTGGACCCCAGGAAGAGTAGCTGCTGCCTTGGAATTTGTAATAAATACAAATTATATATTTTTAATTTAGTTATTTTAATAACCAGTTAATCCAATAGCAAAAAATTGCCCTTTAAATTACAGTACATTACAGTGTTTTCAAATTAGGCAATACAGTTGAATTACCCATTAAAATGTGCTGGACATTATATTTTCATAATTACTGTCACGTTGTATACTGATAGAAGACAGGCGCAGGAATGCGTAATCGTTTTTTCTTTATTACTCAACCCAACATAAGGTACGTCATAGAAAACGACGTGGACGAAGCCCAAAACAAACACGTATACATACAGCTGTGGAAAAAATAGAGACCACTGCAAATGTTTCTTAAATCAGCATCTCTACATGTATGACAGCCATTTCATTCCAGTGTCTGTTGACTTCCAATAATAATAATAAGCCATTTAGCAGACGCTTTTATCCAAAGCGACTTACAGTCATGTGCGCATACATTTTTACATATGGGTGGTCCCGGGGATCGAACCCACTACCCTTGCGTTACAAGCGCCATGCTCTACCAATTGAGCTACAGAGGACCATTCCAACACAGGCACACCTCATTCTACTGAATTAGGTACTGATTAGGTGATCACATTAACCAAATCTTATTTAACGAGGAAAAGTATTAAAACCACTGCTGTGGTCATCGCTATCCTCTTGCAATAGGACCAGCTGGATGGCAAAAACAGTGGTAATAGTACCTCAAAAGTAATATTAAACAAAAAATAACTATTGACCATGCCAAAAGAGTTGAAAAGGAACGTTTTGAGTGGGGAAAAGTAGGGTTCAATTCTGGCTTTACTGGCAGAGGGATACAGTGAGCGTCAGGTTGCTTCCATCCTTAAAATGTCAAAGACATAAGAACAAGTTCAAGCAGCAGACATTGGGGACAACAAAGCTACAGACCGGCAGAGGGCGAAAACGACTCTCTACTGACCGGGATGACCGCCAACTCATTTGAATGTCACTCAACAACTGTAGGATGACATCAAGTCACCTACAAAAAGAATGGCAAACGGCAGCTGGGGTGAAGTGCACGGCGAGGACGGTTCCAAACAGGCTCCTAGGGGCAGGGCTGAAGTATTGCAAAGCTAGAAAAAAGCCCTTCATCAATGAGAAGCAAAGAAGAGCCAGGCTGAGGTTTGCAAAAGACCATAAGAATTGGACCGTAGAGGACTGGAGTAAGGTCATCTTCTCTGATGAGTCCAATTTTCAGCTTTGCCCAACAACTGGTCGTCTAATGGTTAGACGGAGACCTGTAGAGGCCTACAAGCCACAGTGTCTCGCACCCACTGAAATTTGGTGGAGGATCGGTGATGATCTGGGGGTGCTTCAGCAAGGCTGGAATCGGGCAGATTTGTCTTTGTGAAGGACGCATGAATCAAGCCACGTACAAGGTTGTCCTGGAAGAAAACTTGCTTCCTTTTGCTCTGACATTGTTCCCCAACTCTGAGGATTGGTTTTTTCAGCAGGACAATGTGCCATGCCACACAGCCAGGTCAATCAAGACCCTGTCATGGCCAGCCCAATTTCCAGACCTGAACCCCATTGAAAACTTCTGGAATGTGATCAAGAGGAAGATGGATGGTCACAAGCCATCAAACAAAGCCGAGCTGCTTGAATTTTGCGCCAGGAGTGGCATTAAGTCATCCTACATCAATGTGAAAGACTGGTGGAGAGCATGCCAAGACGCATGAAAGCTGTGATTGAAAATCAGGGTTATTCCACCAAATATTGATTTCTGATCTCTTCCTAAGTTAAAACATTACTATTGGGTTGTTTAAAAATGAACTGAACTTATTTTCTTTGCATTATTCCAGGTCTGACAACACTGCATCTTTTTTGTTATTTTAACCAGTTGTCATTTTCTGCAAATAAATGCTCTAAATAACAATATTTTTATTTGGAATTTGGGAGAAATGTTGTCAGTAGTTTATAGAATAAAACAAAAATGTTATTTTCTACCCAAACACATACCTATAAATAGTAAAACCAGAGAAACTGATAATTTTGCAGTGGTCTCTTAATTTTTTCCACAGTTGTATATAAATAACACAGGGCTGTAACCCAAACAAAAGAGTGAGGTGTAAACCTCTAAATAATACACGGGATGAGACCCTTAATAACAAGTGCACAATTACTCGGCATGTAAACTGTAATACAATGTACTCACTAGACCAACGGACATGGGACAATAATCGACAAGGACAATGGGGAACAGAGGGCACATATATACACATACCATTCAGGGGGAATGGGAACCAGCTGTGCGTAATGAGACAAGACAGTCCGGGGTTGGTGGTAATGAACCAGGTCAGTGACGCGTAGAAGACCGGTGACGTAGACCTCCGGAGCTGGTGAACAGAATGAGCAGCAGTACCGGGGGGATTGATGACAATTACTATACAATGTGTGATCAAAGGTTTGATTATTGAAGATATAGTTCACAATGTAATCAAATGATAGAAATGAAACAATGTTTAGCAGGCACTTGTTTGTATCAAGCCTGTCTTGAGCCTTTGGCCATAGGTTCTCATCGAAATCGCAGTAAATATCCTCATTGTTCATGCACCTGGGAAAAAATATTTTGGCATGGCGAATCTAAGGCTGACATAGATCTGGATTGAAGTCATTGCATGCTGTGAGAGAAAAAATAAGTATTTACCTGATTTGTTTGATAATAATATAGTTAAATTATATACTTAACAAATAGTAAGACATTTCTGTTCTACTAATACTGGGTTTTGGTAAAGGGATGGTTTCCACTCTAACTCCCTGCAGCTAATCTGGGTGTATGGTCACTAGAGATAACTTGAGCTGACAATTGATTTACAGCCTGCATTCCATAGATAAGATGTGGTGTATGTTTAACCAGATAGAGAGGGCCTGGGGAGCAGAACAAAGGCCTCAGTATCCTGGCATCTGGGAAACTAAGATGAGGTGGGGTTAAAAATAACTCCAGAGGCAGATGACCAGGAGATGAACCCAAAGTGGCTTATGGTGCCCCCAATCTGCATGGAAGGGGTGGAACCAGCCATGACTAAGCATTTTTAGGTCTCCTATAAAATATCTCAGTTTTTTCATTTTTAGTTAAGCTCTCGGCAACACACACTTCAGAGGGTGCGTTCGACGGCTTCATTATTGCAATAATTAATCAATGTTAAATAAAGATGATAGCTTGAATGGTTGTCCAAGTCTCTCTCAGTACTGAAATGTCCACGACAATGCCTCATCCATGGCCTGAAGGAGGGTGGTACGCTCATGGGGATGGCAATCATACAGTGCATTCGGAAAGTATTCAGACCCCATGACTTTTTCCACATTTTGTTACGTTACAGTCTTATTCTAAAATTGATACAATTGTTTTTTTTCCCTCATCAATCTACACACAATACCCAAAAATGACAAAGCAAAAACAGGTTGTTAAAACGTAAATATCACATTTCCGTAAGTATTCAGACCCTTTACTCAGCACTTTGTTGAAGCACCTTTGGCAGCGATTATGGCCTTCAGTCTTCTTGGGTATGACGCTACAAGCTTGGCACACCTGTATTTGGGGAGTTTCTCTCATTCTTCTCTGCAAGTCCTCTCAAGCTCTGTCAGGTTGGATGGGGAGCGTCGCGTCACAGCTGTTTTCAGGTCTCTCCAGAGATGTTTGATCGGGCTCTGGCTGGGCCACTTAAGGACATTCAGAGACTTGTCTTGGCTGTGTGCTTAGGGTTGTTGTCCTGTTGGAAGGTGAACCTTCGCCCCAGTCTGAGGTCCTGAGTGCTCTGGAGCAGGTTTTCATCAAGGATCTCTCTGAACTTTGCTCCGTTCATCTTTCCTTCGATCCTGACTAGTCTCCCAGTCCCTGCCACTGAAAACCATCCCCACAGCATGATGCTGCCACCACCATGCTTCACTGTAGGGATGGTGCCAGGTTTCCTCCACATGTGACGCATGGCATTCAGGCAAAAATAGTTCAATATTAGTTTCATCAGACCAGAGAATCTTGTTTCTCATGGTCTGAGTCCTTTAGGTGCCTTTTGGCAAACTCCAAGTGGGCTGTCATGTGCCTTTTACTGAGTGGCTTCCGTCTGGCCACTCTACCATAAAGGCCTGATTGGTGGAGTGCTGCAGAGATTGTTGTCCTTCTGGAAGGTTCTCCCATCTCCACAGAGGAACTCTGGTGCTCTGTCAGAGTGACCATCGGGTTCTTGGTCACCTCCCTGACCAAGGCCCTTCTCCCCCGATTGCGCAGTTTGGCCAGGTGGCCAGCTTTAGGAAGTCTTGGTGGTTCCAAACTTCTTCCATTTAAGAATGATGGAGGCCACTGTGTTCCTGGTGACCTTCAATGCTGCAGACATTTTTTGGTACCCTTCTCCAGATCTGTGCCTCGACACAATCCTGTCACGGAGCTCTTCGGACAATTCCTTTGACCTCATGGCTTGGTTTTTGCTCTGACATGCACTGTCAACTGTGGTACCTTATATAGACGTGTGTGCTTTTCCAAATCATGTCCAATCAATTGAATTTATCACAGGTGGACTCCAATCAAGTTGTAGAAACATCTCAAGGATGATCAATGAAAACAGGATGCACCGGAGCTCAATTTCGAGTCTCATAGCAAAGGGTCTGAATACTTATGTAAATAAGGTATTTCTGTTTTTATTTAAATACATTTGCAAACATTTCTAAAAAACTGTTTTTGCTTTGTCATTATGGGATATTGTGTGTAGATTGATTATGATTTTATTTTATTAAATACATTTTAGAATAAGGCTGTAACTTAACAAAATGTGGAAAAGGTTAAGGGGTCTGAATACTTTCCGAATGCACCTGTATTGTAATTGTGTATTGAATTTTACAGTACTGTACTTACAGTGCCTTCAGAAAGTATTCACACCCCTTAACTTTTTCCACATTTTGTTGAGTTACAGCCTGAATTTAAAATTGATTAAATAAAAATAAAAAATCTCACTGGTCTACACACAATACCAAAGTGGAAGTTTTACAAATTAAGAAAAATGGGTCAATAAGTATTTAACCCCTTTGTTATGGCAAGCCTAAATAAGTTCAGGAGTAAAAATGTGCTTAATATACACATATGAAGTTGCATAGACTCCGTGTGCAATAATAGAGTTTAACATGATTTTTGAATGACTACCTCATCTGTACCCCACACATACAATTATCTGTAAGGTCCCTCAGTCAAGCAGTGAATTTCAAACACAGATTCAACCACAAAGACCAGGAAGGTTTTCCAATGTCTCGCAAAGAACAGCACCTATTGGTAGATGGGTAAAAAAACAAAAACATGCAGACATTAAATATCACTTTTGAGCATGGTGAAGTTATTAATTACACTTTGGATGGTGTATCAATACACCCAGACACTTTAAAGATACAGGGGTCCTTCCTAACTCAGTTGCCGGAGAGGAAGGAAACCACTCAGGGATTTCACCATGAGGCCTGTAAAACAGAGTTTAATGGCTGTGATAGGAGAAAACTGAGGATGGATCAACAACATTGTAGTTACTCCACAATACTAACCTAATTGACAGCGTGAAAAAAAGGAAGCCTGTACAAAGTAAAAATATTCTAAAAATGCATCCTGTTTGCAACAAGGCACTAAAGTAGTACTGCAAAAAATGTGGCAAAGCAATTCACTTTTTGTCCTGAATACAAAGTGTTATGTTTCGGGCAAATCCAATACAACCAGGGACGGCCTGTTCAATAGGGCGATATGGGCGACGCACTGCCAAACGGGAAAAGGAAGGGATTTTTTTTCTAATCAATTATATCACGGCAACAGTAGTTATCAGTGTTGTAATCTGATCTGACTGCCACTAAATGTCAAATCAGGCTAAAGTCGTGCTTCAAATGGCCCCGCCCGTTTTTTGGGCGATTTCAGTCAGGTTGAAAATCGCCCAGAAGTCTCTCATAGCCTGTCATGTAAAATCTATTTTTTTCAAATTTCAAAGCTTTCAATACATTCTCTATGGGTGTCTGTGGGCTTGCACTTACGCGCTTTCGTCATACGTGACGTAACCATGAACGTAACTAAGAAAATAGCGGCTAGCAGCGTCTCTGTTGCGACCTGCAGTGTGGCGTTATTTTATGTTTTTAATTTGTACACTTAGTTTACAAACATTCTGCCAACCATGGATTTCCAGTGGTGGGTTTTGGACTGATCTTGTTGATCGTGTACATACCCGCTACGAACGGACTAAATAATGAAAACGCTGCTGGCAGCGGAATCCAATACAGCTGGGAGACTTGGCTGGATGACAGAGTCCCGGACAGAGAAGTGGAGCCGGCCGGCTTCACCCTGGTCAGAGCGGACCGCGATCCTGGTAAGAGAGCGACTCTGTACCCCCGACATTGAACTGCTTTCTGTGTCACTGCGACCTTACTATCTGCCCCGTGAGTTCCCCCAATTGTTTGTTACCGTTGTGTACTGTTGATAATCACAAGTTTACTGGAGAACTGAGACCAAGTAGAGACTTTGGACAGGGTGGATATGGTATAATAAAGGCAGTTTATTCAGAGGTAAAGATATCTGGAATCGCGTGCACGGACTCGTTCGTCAAACTCTTAGGGAGCTATCTGAAGAGAGCCCCGAAAACATTGTGTGCAGACATTTTATACAATAAATGATGTAGGTTGAATCTAGTAGTTCTGATCTTCTGATTGGTCCTGATGAGTTGGGCGAGGTCCCCTCCACTGTTGCATTGGCTCTGAGTCGGGTTCTCTGTCTTCAAATGTTCAGCCTAAAGAGAGGGGATTTTTGTGTGTGTGTGTGTGTGTGTGTGTGTTTAACAGTGATGATGTGTGTGTGTGTGTGTTATCAGTGATGATGTGTGTGTGTGTGTGTGTGTCCTCAGAGCAAGAACTCGTGAGTTGGAAGAACTGAGAGACCTATGGCGTGGGTGTTGTCCTTGGCCACCTGCTGACAAGGCTGACAAGATAGTACTCTTTTGTCCATTGTTATAGGATAGGAACAGCATTGATTGAAAACAAACGCCCAACACAAAATGGGTCATGCACAAGATTTTAGTCAGACCAAGCTATAACATTATATATTTACTACGACAGTACATTCAACCAAAAGCTAATATAACAAAGGCATCAGAGATAATTTATAATCTGTCACAGAAACTGGAATCCATCTCCCCAGATCAGTCAATAAATGCTTCTGGTATTGACTTATATGCTGCCCCTGTCTTCATGTTGTTGCTGGACATATCTTTTTTAAAATGTGTGTAGGTCACCTAAATCATCAGAAAAATTGCCCCTCCTGAGAATTTTTTCAGGAGCCGCCACTGAATACAACACATTACTGAGTACCACTCTTCATATTTTCAAGCATAGTGGTGGCTGCATAATATTATGGGTATGCTTGTAATCGTTAAGGACTGGGGAGTTTTTCAGGATAAAAAAAAGAAAGAATGGAGCGAAGCACAGGCACAATCCTAGAGGAAAAGCTGGTTCAGTTTGCCAGACACTGGGAGATGAATTCACCTTTCAGCAGCACAATAACCTAAAACACAAGGCCAAATCTACACTGGAGTTGCTTACCAAGACAGTGAATGTTCCTGAGTGGCCGAGTTACAGCTTTGACTTAAATCTAGCTAATAATCTAAGGCAAGACCTGAAAATGGTTGTCCAGCAAGGATCAACAACCAATTTAACAGAGCTTAAAGAATTCTGAAAAGAATAATGGGAAAATGTCACACAATCCAGGTGTGGAAAGCTCTTACAGACCTACCCAGAAAGACTCACAGCTGTAATCGCTGCCAAAGGTGTTTCTAAAAAGTATTGATTCAGGGGTGTGAATACTTATGTAAATTCGATATTTCTGTATTTCATTCTCAATCAACTTGCTAAGATTTCTAAAAACATGTTTTCACTTTGTCATTATGGGGTAGTGTGTAGATGGTTGGCAAAACAAAACATATATTTAATCAATTTTGAATTCAGGCTGTAACACGTGGAATAAGTCAAGGGGTATGAATACTTTCTGAAGGTACTGTATGTGTTGTAGTGGTTCTGTAAATGGCTCAGTTCATAAGAGCATGGCACTAGCAACACCAGAGTTGTGGGTTCGAATCCCACTGGGGTCACATACCAAAATGTGTGGACTGTTGTCACTTTGGATAAAAGTGTCTGCTAAGTAAATTGCATATATTGCGGTATTACAGTACTGTACTGACCAATGCAGTTTGGACTTTCTAGATTATTTGTGTATTGGTATTGATATTGTATTACTGCACTGTAGGAGCTAGAAACACAAGCATTTCACTGCACCTGCTGCAACATCTGCTAATCTGTGTATGTAACCAATAAACTTTGATTTAATTTGTTACATACAGTGCATCTCTGACCTTGTCAATATCAGATTTTTTTTTACATTTACTGTGAAGTTAAATCATCATAGCCATCATCATAGTAGTACATTTGAATATGTATCATACTTATGTTTCACTTTACAGACATACATTTTCATTATGTAGTTCTCAAAATGTGTAGACGAAAAACCAGTTTACATGTAAAATCTATAGGTTTACAAATGTTTAAGTGATCATCAATTAAGAGCAGTCGGATTAAGTAATAGTAAAATTACTTAACAAAAGAGAAGTGAATCATATCAAAAGTAATGTGAGCATTGAATTGTGAAAGGCAATTACTTTATATGATCATGTATCCAGGGTAGGGGAGGGAATGGCCGGCAGGGATGTAGCTCAGTTGATAGAGCATGGCGTTTGCAACGCCAGGGTTGTGGGTTCGATTCCCACGGGGGGCCAGTATAAAAAAAAATAAAAAATAATTATTCACTAACTGTAAGTCGCTCTGGATAAGAGCGTCTGCTAAATGACTAAAATGTAAATGTAAATGTATTGCAATGTGAAACGTATTTCTAGATGCACCAAAGCGATAAAAAAACCTGTAAGCCATAGAGAACGTTGATTGGCATGTGAGTGGTCAAGCCCTCATCAAACCAGCTATTGCGCCCATGATTGCAGCTATGATAATCGCAAATATATTTGATACACACACAACTCGACAGTGATGCGCTAAGATTGACCATTGCGTTAGGTTTGTTAAAATAGAGCCCAGTGTTCCTCCAAATTCATACCAAAGCTTAATTACAGTATGATCTCAGATATGTTGTCAATGGAGGTTGTTTGCAATACTGAAATGTTTGTTACTTTGAAATAAACAGACCACATGCTTGTGGAAAATCTTAAATTGTGTATCATGTTTGAACTGTTTAACCGAATACTGTTTTTTCACAAGTTTTTCTTCTTCACACAAAATGTTTCACCCCTCCACTGTTTTGGTAAAGAGATGAGGCATGACAGTTGAACTAAGCTAAGTTATAATCTTTAAGAATCAAACAGTTTATATCATTAATTTAAAAGTTTAAAAAATGGATGTAGCAACCTTTATGTTGGTCTGTTGCCTACAAACGTTTTTTTTATTATAAGTCAGTTCGATATTGCCTGTTCGGTTGACCAGTCAATCTGTAACTCTGAGGTTTGCATCTTTGGGACTCATCAGCATTGGCATTTTTTCCAATCAAGTTATTGATTTACTTAGAAGTGTATATATTTTGTGGGTATATTATGTATGCTTATACCAAATGGGGGGATAATATAATTGTGCTACCTACAGTATTGAGCAAGGAAAGAAACTACTGGAATGTAACTAAAATATATTTTAATTAAAGTCTTTATAAAAATCTAATCTTGATTAGAAAACAGATACTGAAAAACCAAATGGTCTCTAAACGAGCACAAATGAAATCAGTCATTATGTTTTCAGAGCTCATGGAGCTTAAAACATTGAATAATATTCTGATGTATAAATGAAACTGCAATGTTAGAATTTTATTTTTTCTCTCCAAAAAGATTTTATATCCTCTTTTCTTATGTCTCGGTGTCTAAGTTGTACACTTCATCAGGGAAAACATGCCCATCAAAGCTTTCAAGCACAAGACAATGTATGAACAAGAACAAACTTTACAAAATATAAAATGGTCAATTGTCCAGATCAACCAATAAACTCTTCAGGGACTACAATCCCTTTATTAGACTGGCTGAAACTCCACCCTCAATACCCAACACATGTTTGGACGTGCAAGTAAAGCTTTGATTCTTTTTGCATATGGAAAGTCAAAAAAACATGTTGCAGGAAAGAAAGTGATCTTACTGACATAAAAGAAAAACATACTGCCATAACTTGCAGGACTGAAAGACCGACCACAAACTAAAATGTCTAACTTATAAAGAGAGAAAAGGGAAGAGGAAAAAATCTATTATACATTGTCCCACCAATCTGGGTTTTTCGTGTCTTGCAGTGAGAGATCATCGGCGAGCACGAGGGATCAGGAGCTGGGTAGCCGTCACAGAGTCAGGGAAAAGGTTGTGATATGTCGGGAGAGGGACGTATGCCGCTGTGATCATTTTACCTGTGAAGAACATTTTAAAGGAAATTATGACAGTTTAGACAAAACATACATACAGTGGGGAGAACAAGTATTTGATACACTACCGATTTTGCAGGTTTTCCTACTTACAAAGCATGTAGAGGTCTGTAATTTTTATCATATGTACACTTCAACTGTGAGAGACGGAATCTAAAACAAAAATCCAGATAATCACATTGTATGATTTTTAAGTAATGAATTTGCATTTTATTGCATGACATAAGTATTTGATACATCAGAAAAGCAGAACTTAATATTTGGTACAGAAACCTTTGTTTGCAATTACAGCGATCATACGTTTCCTGTAGGTCTTGACCAGGTTTGCACACTCTGCAGCAGGGATTTTGGCCCACTCCTCCATACAGACCTTCTCCAGATCCTTCAGGTTTCAGGGCTGTCGCTGGGCAATACGGACTTTCAGCTCCCTCCAAAGATTTTCTATTGGGTTCAGGTCTGGAGACTAGGCCACTCCAGGACCTTGAGATGCTTCTTATGGAGCCACTCCTTAGTTGCCCTGGCTGTGTGTTCCAGCCACGACCCATCTTCAATGCTCTTACTGAGGGAAGGAGGTTGTTGGCCAAGATCTCGCGATACATGGCCCAATCCATCCTCCTCTCAATACGGTGCAGTCGTCCTGTCCCCTTTGCAGAAAAGCATCCCCAAAGAATTATGTTTCCACCTCCACGCTTCACGTTGGGATGGTGTTCTTGGGGTTGTACTCATCCTTCTTCTTCCTCCAAACACGGCGAGTGGAGTTTAGACCAAAAAGCTCTATTTTTGTCTCATCAGACCACATGACCTTCTCCCATTCCTCCTCTGGATCATCCAGATGGTCGTTGGCAAACTTCAGACGGGCCTGGACATGCGCTGTCTTGAGCAAGGGGGACCTTGCGTGCACTGCAGGGTTTTAATCCATGACGCCGTAGTGTGTTACTAATGGTTTTCTTTGAGACTTTGGTCCCAGCTCTCTTCAGGTCATTGACCAGGTCCTGCCGTGTAGTTCTGGGCTGATCCCTCACCATGATCATTGATGCCCCACGAGGTGAGATCTTGCATGGAGCCCCAGATTGAGGGTGATTGACCGTCATCTTGAACTTATTCTATTTTCTAATAATTGCGCCAACAGTTGTTGCCTTCTCACCAAGCTGCTTGCCTATTGTCCTGTAGCCCATCCCAGCCTTGTGCAGGTCTACAGTTTTATCCCTGATGTCCTTACACAGCTCTCTGGTCTTGGCCATTGTGGAGAGGTTGGAGTCTGTTTGATTGAGTGTGTGGACAGGTGTCTTTTATACAGGTAACGAGTTCAAACAGGTGCAGTTAATACATGTAATGAGTGGAGAACAGGAGGGCTTCTTAAAGAAAAACTAACAGGTCTGTTAGAGCCGGAATTCTTACTGGTTGGTAGGTGATCAAATACTTATGTCATGCAATAAAATGCAAATTAATTACTTAAAAATCATACAATGTGATTTTCTGGATTTTTGTTTTAGATTCTGTCTCTCACAGTTGAATTGTACCTATGATAACAATTACAGACCTCTACATGCTTTGTAAGTAGGAAAACCTGCAAAATCGGCAGTGTATCAAATACTTGTTCTCCCTATCAAATACTTGTTGTCCCTCCCTACTGAATTGTCATTGACTCCATCAATGACAATTCATAATTGAGTACCACATTCTTTAGCCAATCCTCTTACCTGCAAAATATCGACCATGTAATGCGTTTACTGCAGCCATGGCAGCAGGAATGGTTGGACATTTCACATACACGTTGCCCTAAAAAGAAACACAATAACTTTAATGAGTGCTATTTAAGACCATTTCAAAACCATTCAACTACACTTATAAAAGTCTTACTTCTGTGGAATTCTTATCAACGTATATGTGCACAACTCCTCCATGTTTGTTGCATTCCTCAATGACATCATGCTGAATGTCAGCATCCCATCCTGGGTCATCTTCACTGTAAAATCAGATGGGAAATTATCACCCACAAAGGACTAGTGATTAGGAACCTGTCTATGGGAACAAATAACACCTTCAGGTCCAAGTCTATAGTTTCTGTACTTTCATCAGCTGGCCCACTTGGGAGAGAAAGATGCTGCATTGAAGAACTTTATTAAATGTTAAATACTTACGACTGAGGGTTGAACATGTTAGACAGCTGGAAACAGTGTGTAGCAAGTGGCTGTGATGGCAGGTTCATAGCTGTATTCCTGTTCATATTGTTCATATTCATTGCAGGATTCATGGCAGCTAAAAGTTTAAAAAGTAAGTGTCAAAATCAATCATATCACATTAAACTAACTGAACTATGTACTAGAAATGTAACATTTATTAATCTTTATTATTATTTATTTATGTTCAATCCAGCCCAATTCTGACACGAGTCTCACAACAGACCAGCTCCTCGCACCATATCAACCAATCTGGGTCTTACTTGCAAACCAACAGATTTGATCAATGCTGGATGAAACCTGCCTTCTCCAAATAGCTCAGAGAAAACCAATCATGGCAGTCAGATAGGCTTGTCCAATTGATCATCCTTTTATTACCTGATACAGCGGCCATGGCACCAATTGCAATGGCCCCACTCATCTGCAGGGCTTGCTGTGCTGCTGGGGGAATCTGCAGTCCCGTGCCTGAAAGACAGAAGACATTGGGCTCGACATTCATCCTTGTTCACACTTTATGATTTGGTTCTTAAAGCTGCATTATGTAGCTTTTAGTATTTTCTTATGTTCAAAAGCTCTAATAAGTTGGCAATGTGTTTAATCTATGATAATTTTGCGCCACCAGCCTGCCTGGAAACCGCTCTATTCATTCTTCCTGTCGGGTCGGTTTTCCCGCCAGATTTAGTGCTGCGCATACTGAATAACGTAATGATTGAGTTATTCACTACGAGCTCAGATGACTCGATTTCATATATTTGGGCCATAGAGGACTCTTCGCTTTTACTAGAGTATAGCTTACAGTTATGGCAGCTGCACAATCAAACCATAAGAAATTGGGAAAAGGCAAAAACGGAAAACAACCTTAGAAACCGGCCCAAAATTACCGTATTTTCCGCACTATAAGGCGCACTTAAAAGCCTTTAATTTTCTCAAAAAACGACAGTGCGCCTTATAATCCGGAGCGCCTTATATATGGATCAATTGGTTAATTGGTTGATCCATACTGGTTGTACAAGGCGCTCTGTCAAAATGTTTCAGTATGAAAAACCAATAAAAACAATTTAATAATAATGAAATGTTTCAGTACGACTAGTAAACTACAAAGCCGCACCGCTTGCAGCATTACGGCTACCGTAGTCAGTAAACACCGGTACTGTGCTTACTCACAGTCCCACACCACTTGTGTGTGTATAAAGACCCCAAAATTGTTGTCAGAACGCTTAATAAAGTTGGACTTTATCTGATTGTTTTGTTGACATTCTCTTTAGCACAGCTCCATCTAGTGGATGCATAACGCAACCCCAGTCAAACGTTTGACTGCAGTATCTTCTATTCTATGCGCCTTATAATCCGGTGCGCCCTATATATGAAAACAGTTCTAAAATAGGCCATTCATTGAAGGTGCGCCTTATAATCCGGTGCGCCTTACAGTGCGGAAAATACGGTACTGAACCTCGGAATTGCATTTGCATTCAAACTGGAGAGGGCTAGCAAGCTCAATTCAAATCCGATCAAGACAAGATTTATTTTCTGCTGAAAAGAAATAGCTAGCTAATATACACTACATTACCAAAAGTATGCGGACACCTGATCATCGAACATCTCATTCCAAAATCATGGGCATTAATATGGAGCAGTGGTGTAAAGTACTTAAGTAAAAATACTTTAAAAGTACTACAACTTTTACTTCACTACATTCCTAAAGAAAATGATGTACTTTTTACTCCTTACATTATCCTTGACACCCAAAAGTACTCGTTACATTTTTAATGCTTAGCAGGACAGAAAATGGTCCAATTCGCACATTATCAATAGAACTTCCCTGGTCATCCATACTGCCTCTGATCTGGCGGACTCACTAAACACAAATGTGTTGGAGTGTGACCCTGGCTATCGTAAATAATAAAGAAAAGAAAATTGTGCCGTCTGGTTTGCTTAATATAAGGAATTATTTGTACTTTCCCTTTTTCTTTTGATACTTAGGTATATTTTAGCAACTACATTTACTTTGATAAGTATATTTAAAACCAAATACTTTTACTCAAGTAGTATTTTACTAGGTGACTTTCACTTTTACTAGAGTCATTTTCTATTAAGTTATCTTTACTTTTACTCAAGTATGAGATTTGAGTACTTTTTCCACCACTGATATGGAGTTGGTCCCCCCTTTGCTGCTATAACAGCCTCCACTCTTCTGGGAAAGCTTTCCACTAGATGTTGGAACATTGCTGCGGAGACTAGCTTCCATTCAGCCACAAGAGCATTAGTGAGGTCGGTCACAGATGTTGGAACAATTAGGCCTGGCTCGCAGTCGGCCTTCCAATTCATCCCAAAGGTGTTTGATGGGGTTGAGGTCAAGGCTCTGTGCAGGCCAGTCAAGTTCTTCCACACCAATCTCGACAAACCATTTCTGTATGGACCTCGCATTGTGCACAGAGGTATTGTCATGTTGAAACAGGAACTGGCCTTCCCCAAACTGTTGCCACAAAGTTTGAAGCACACTATACATCTAATATATATATTTTTGTCCTATCATGATGGGACGATCCATAACCCTATATCCTAGACACCCACCTGAGAGACCCATACACCAAAGAGAAGTCCCCATCTTTTATTGACCTGCTGTGAGTTGCCTATATGCAGCCAAAACATGAAAACAAGATGTGGTCAGAGACCTACTTGAGCAGTACCGCCCACTCAAGATTCTGAGCCTGCCTGGCAGGGTTGGTCCTACAAAGCCAGAGCCCCCTGATGGGAGAGGAAATTCTCAAAGCTGCTAATTTGAACCTTGACGACCTTGTACCTAGCCGGTGGGGATTCCGGTGGGGTACCCCCACCCAGGTAGTGGCAGTGCTGGCAACACTGGCTGCAGTAACCCATGGGGAGGGGGGTCACACTCGGACAATCAGAGAGGGGGCTTATCATTGTGGCACAAAATAATCAAAGGTCTGACTGCACGGAGATGCTTGGGGAAAAATGGTTACAACGGGGGTGTTTGTGTCTCAGGTGAAGAGGGTGGATCTGATCTCCATCACCTAGGACTTATAGATTAAATAGATTAATCAAATCTCACATTGGTCAATTTTCGCTCAATCTTGCATGCTTTCTCAAACAGCTGTAACTGTATATGCATTCGTAAATCAGGTCCTTTCTTGAGTTGGGCTCTGGGATGTAATAACCGTTGAGCATCTGATTTTATGGTTGTTTGTGGAGGAAAGGGGTTGAGTGTGTTAGAGTATGTGCGTGTGTGTTTATCCCACATCTGTTGCAAGGGGGTAAGGATGTTAGGGAGAATATAGGATGAACCACAATAATTGTCTGCTAAAATAATAATTGCTTGTAAAAAATGAAATGCAATGGCAATCCGGGTTATACAGTGGGGAAAAAATTATTTAGTCAGCCACCAATTGTGCAAGTTCTCCCACTTAAAAAGATGAGAGAGGCCTGTAATTTTCATCATAGGTACACGTCAAATATGACAGACAAATTGAGGAAAAAAAATCCAGAAAATCACATTGTAGGATTTTTAATGATTTTATTTGCAAATTATGGTGGAAAATAAGTATTTGGTCACCTACAAACAAGCAAGATTTCTGGTTCTCACAGACCTGTAACTTCTTCTTTAAGAGGCTAAAAAATTGTAGATCTGCACCAGGCTGGGAAGACTGAATCTGCAATAGGTAAGCAGCTTGGTTTGAAGAAATCAACTGTGGGAGCAATTATTAGGAAATGGAAGACATACAAGACCACTGATAATCTCCCTCGATCTGGGGCTCCACGCAAGATCTCACCCCGTGGGGTCAAAATGATCACAAGAACGGTGAGCAGAAATCCCAGAACCACACGGGGGAACCTAGTGAATGACCTGCAGAGAGCTGGGACCAAAGTAACAAAGCCTACCATCAGTAACACACTACGCCACCAGGGACTCAAATCCTGCAGTGCCAGACGTGTCCCCCTGCTTAAGCCAGTACATGTCCAGGCCCGTCTGAAGTTTGCTAGAGTGCATTTGGATGATCCAGAAGAGGATTGGGAGAATGTCATATGGTCAGATGAAACCAAAATATAACTTTTTGGTAATAACTCAACTCGTCGTGTTTGGAGGACAAAGAATGCTGAGTTGCATCCAAAGAACACCATACCTACTGTGAAGCATGGGGGTGGAAACATCATGCTTTGGGGCTGTTTTTCTGCAAAGGGACCAGGACGACTGATCCGTGTAAAGGAAAGAATGAATGGGGCCATGTATCGTGAGATTTTGAGTGAAAACCTCCTTCCATCAGCAAGGGCATTGAAGATGAAACGTGGCTGGGTCTTTCAGCATGACAATGATCCCAAACACACCGCCCGGGCAACGAAGGAGTGGCTTCGTAAGAAGCATTTCAAGGTCCTGGAGTGGCCTAGCCAGTCTCCAGATCTCAACCCCATAGAAAATATTTGGAGGGAGTTGAAAGTCTGTGTTGCCCAGCGACAGCCCCAAAACATCACTGCTCTAGAGGAGATCTGCATGGAGGAATGGGCCAAAATACCAGCAACAGTGTGTGAAAACCTTGTGAAGACTTACAGAAAACGTTTGACCTGTGTCATTGCCAACAAAGGGTATATAACAAAGTATTGAGAAACTTTTGTTATTGACCAAATACTTAATTTTCCACCATAATTTGCAAATAAATTCATAAAAAATCCTACAATGTGATTTTCTGGATTTTTTTCTCCTCAATTTGTCTGTCATAGTTGACGTGTACCTATGATGAAAATTACAGGCCTCTCTCATCTTTTTAAGTGGGAGAACTTGCACAATTGGTGGCTGACTAAATACTTTTTCTCCCCCACTGTATATGTTGTTGGTAATCAGGCCTACTACTGTATTTTAGTCAATGACACTCCGAAATTGCTCTTCCTAATATTTATATATTTCTTAATTCAATTTTTTTACTTTTAGATTTGTGTGTATTGTTGTGAATTGTTAGACACTACTGCACTGTTGGAGCTAGGAACACAAGCATTTCCCTACACCTGCAATAACATCTGCTAAATATGTGTAAGTGACCAATAAAATGTGATTTGATGAGCTGTCCATTTCCGCTAGATTTTACCACGCTGCCGCTTCAAGTTTCAGCACCACAATGTAAGTTACTCGAATCTGGCTTATTTTGAGGTCAATAACTCTGATAAATACACCATGGGCAAGAAACATTGTTTTTATCAAATCAATTATAGTAGTAACAAGCTATCAAAATTGACCTCCGGTCCTCTTCCTCATCTTCGCACTCTCCTTCTCAAACTGAACATGCGAGTCCGAGAGCACAATATTAAATGTTTTGGACTAGGCCTAATAAAAAAATATTTTAGGGTAAACGCCTTTGACTCTCCTCCTGAACTGCCACTGTAGGCCTACACTGCACAGCCATTTGTTAGGCAGCACAAAAAAAGCAGTCCGGGCTCAGGGTTGGAATATCAATTGCAGTGTGTAATGCAGCCTAGTTTTATTTACACCATCCCAGCAGTGCAAATGGCTCAACGAAGTACATTTTCTTCAAAATATAAAACTTTGCTCTCTGCTTCTCTGAGCATGCACTTCGTATAGCCTATGGATTATTTGATTGAAACCACACTAAATAGCCTATAGGCGCACTTGATATTGCGTGCCCAGCTCAGAATCAGAGATGAGGGCACACATTGATAAACAGCCTAATAAGTAACTAATTCTAAAACACTGAGCAATGTTGAAATTTCAATTACATGACCCCTCCCCATGTCTAGATTTAAAAAAAATACTAAACCCTCCCCGACTCAAGCATAACCCTCCGCAATTTCCTTGCAGATCCCCATTCTGTAAATGTCTAACCATCCCAAACATGACTTCTCAAAATTATTTGTGAATACAGGCCCTGGGCTCTCTCTGGCTTTACCTTCAGCCAGCCGGGCCATGAGTTGCAGGCGCCCGGTGGTGCCCAGGTCGATGCCCGTCCTCTCCAGCTCATCGCTGTCCAGGAAGGAGCTGGCGGTGGAGGCGTCTGTGCGCTCAGTCACATGGCCCACCTTCATCGGCCGGCCGGCCAGCTCAAAACCGTTCAACTGATCCAGAGCCTTCTTGGCACACTCTGTGTCCGAGAACTGGCGAGGAAACGCATGCCATTTAATTGACTATGTTTACATGCACACTCATCAGGGTTCATAAAGACATTGGAGAGTCAAATTCAAGGACTTTCTCAAGCACTTAATTGTCATTTTTAAGGACCTACATTTTATATTTAAATTGTAGTAATATAGAAGAACTCCCCCAAAAATGCATGCATCACCAATAAGAATAATGCATTTTTTAATAGGTCTTCCCAAAGGCATTATGCATTGACATTCACATTAATATTACATTCTAAAATATGTCGGAATAATGTGGGCTCTAAAAATAGACTGCATGCATTCTTGGCTTTTTTTATACTGGAAGATGCTCCAGACACAAACACTTGTAGCAGTAACTAATCATGTTATAATAGAACGCATTCTATGGAAAGCCAAGTTGAACCCAACATTCAATGTTGTCGTGCTCATAATGATGGCACATGGTTTTACCGCAATGAGAGCAACAAACTAGCAATATGTTTGGAACATCGAATCGCAATAAAATTGCACTATTGAATTGCAATACATATCATATCGTGATACAAGCCATTACAAAAGTAGATTGGACACCTGCTCGTCGCACATCTCATTCCAAAATCATGGGCATTAATATGGAGTTGGTCCCACCCCTTTGCTGCTATAACAGCCTCCACTCTTCTGGGAAGGCTTTCCACTAGATGTTGGAACATTGCTGCGGGGACTTGCTTCCATTCAGCCACAAGAGCATTAGTGAGGTCGGTCACTGATGTTGGGCGATTAGGCCTGGCTCGCAGTCGGCATTCCAATTCATTCCAAAGGTGTTCAATGGGGTTGAGGTCAGGGCTCTGTGCAGGCCAGTTCTGTATGGACCTCGCTTTGTGCACAGGGGCATTGTCAAGCTGAAACAGGAACAGGCCTTCCCCAAACTGTTGCCACAAAGTTGGCACAGAATCGTCTAGAATGTCATTTGAATGCTGTAGCGTAAAGATTTCCCTAGCCCGAACTATACAGAACCATGAAAATCAGCCCCAGACCATTATTCCCCCTCCACCAAACTTTACAGTTGGCACTATGCATTCAGGCAGGTAGCGTTCTCCTGGCATCCGCCACACCCAGATTAGTCCGTCGGACTGCCAGATGGTGAAGAGTGATTCATCACTCCAGAGAACGTGTTTCCACTGCTCCATAGTCCAATGGCGGCGAGCTTTACACCACTCCAGCCAACGCTTGGCATTGCGCATGGTGATCTTAGGCTTGTGTGCAGCTGCTCGGCCATGGAAACCCAGTTCATGAAGCTCCCGACGAACAGTTATTTTGCTGACGTTGCTTCCAGAGGCAGTTTGGAACTCGGTAGTGAGTGTTGCAACCGAGGACAGACGATTTGATGCGCTACGCGCTTCAGCACTCCTGTTCTGTGAGCTTGTGTGGCCTACCACTTCGCGGCTGAGCCGTTGTTGCTCCTAGATGTTTATACTTCAGAATAACAGTACTTACAGTTGACCGGGGCAGCTCTAGCAGGGCAGAAATTTGACAAACTGACTTGTTGGAAAGGTGGCATCCTATGACGGTGCCACGTTGAAAGTCACTGATCTCTTCAGTACGGCCATTCTACTGCCAATGCTTGTCTATGGAGATTGCATGGCTGTGTGCTCGATTTTATACACCCGTCAGCAACGAGTGTGGCTCAAATAGCCGAATCCACTAATTTGAAGGGGTGTCCACATACTTTTGTGTACATATAGAATCACAATACATTTAGAATTGCAATAGATATCGTATCGGTACCTAAGTATCGTCATAATATCGTATCATGAGTTCCCTGAGAATTCCCAGCCATAAATAATATGGTCGCTGTGATAGATTATAATATATGTCCATGTAAACTGGATTGTAAGGGAAATTGTTCTATTTGCAAAGCATGTAAACGTTTTAATCAAACCATTTTATTAATCTGAGTATTCCCAATAATCGTAGTATTGTGTGCCTCCATTGACTGGATTGAGTGTGATACTTACAGTGATGAAGCCATATCCTTTGGATCTGCTCGTCTCACTATCCATCATGAGCTGAATACTCTCAATCTGGAGGAAGGAAATGGATAACAGATTAAAGTCTACATAGCACTGATATATTGTAGACCTACAATCTGTCTCCCCCCTCTTTTTGTAGAGCCTAGGCTATTGGTTGCATTCAAGACAAGGTCGTTTTTATTGATCTCAGTTTGTCGGGTAGCCTGTCTTTTCGGTCATTTTGTGGTATTAAAAAGATGCTAATGTCTCCAGTCATGTGAAATGACATAGAATTGGATGAAATGGGTTAATATATTTTTTTCCCAGACCCTGCATGCATATCCTAATCAACGCTTCTGCTCAGCTCTAGGTCTGCTCTATGCAACACGCAGAGCAGGGGTAAAAAAAAAAAGAAAAAAAGTTTGCCTTTCATTTCATGTAAGAAAGTCATGATGACCATCATACTTTTAGGGAAAGATGATCATTTTGTACATGTATTAAACTGCAAGTTTGGCCAATTCCAGTCCCCTTGCTTAGCTTAGCTTGCAGCTGTGATCCTACCCGGGATCATTTTTATATAGAAAGACTGAGAACCTCAGGACATTCTACACCAAAATTAATGAAAATAAAATGATGATGACACCATTTAAAATATAATTTCGACCTCTACAAATTATTTTTACATATTGGAGCATGCATATAGCCTATGCATGGTCAATTATCAGATGTGCTATTAGCAATAAACATTATTCCCTGTAGACCAACTGATGCAGCATAGTGGCTATAAAATGTACATACGCTGAAGCATGGTGTTTGTCCATCTGCATCTACCCCATTGGACACAACATCATGATTGTTATTATTATTTTATTATAAATATATAATTAATTATTCACTAGAATTTTTTTGGGGGGGGTTTATTACTAAGTACGTCATTGCCCTTAAGACACCATTTTCCCCTTTGAGCTCTGTTGCGTAGTGATGGGCATTCCAATTATTTTCTGTGAGCCGGATCATTTGGCTCCGTTCACCTAAAAGAGCTGTTCATTTGGCTCACAAACGGGCTCTTCGTTCAGTAAAAATAGTAAATCAATAATTCCAAGCCTAAAACATTGCATATCATTGTCAGATTGTGAAATGTGAGTTCAAATACAGTTTTACCTGACCAAAATCTTCTGCCAAAAAATAAATAAATGTACACACTGAATAAATTAGCATGGATCAGAATGAGGCTCTCTCACTACATTGTTCCTGCACTGAGGAATTACCATCTTCAGAGAATGCTTTTATAATTTACCTGCAGATAATTGGATGTCTGGAGCTCAAAAAGCAATAGTAAAAGTATGCAAATCAGGGAGCCAAAAAAGTACAGCTCTTTCACATACGCAATTCGGTTCCCGACGTTCACCAAAAGAGCCGTTCGTTCACTAATGTTGTGCAGCTAAACCATGCTTGAATCTCGAGTTGTAACTGAATTTGTAAAACGATGCCACTGGCGCAATTGAAGGAGTAAAGCAATAACATTGTAGCAATGGAAAACTGGGACCCCACTCTTTTTTAACAAAGGCCAAAACTGCTTTCAAAACACATTTGCCAAAAATGTGATTGCATTAAGAATTGACTGGTGGTCCTCTGTAGCTCAGCTGGTAGAGCACGGCGCTTGTAACGCCAAGGTAGTGGGTTCGATCCCCGGGACCACCCATACACAAAAAAATGTATGCACGCATGACTGTAAGTCGCTTTGGATAAAAGCGTCTGCTAAATGGCATATTATTTTTTTATTATTTTTTATTATTTTAGAACGCAGGTTTGCCTCCCTATCGCAACTTGAATGCGCCTCGAGAGGAATATTTCTCACAGAACACACAACAAAGACTTCTAGGTAAATAGGTAAACTATTCTACTATGGAGTTGTCAGATTTTGTTTTAATAACAACATATGGCAAAAATAGTAGCACTGGAAAGTTAAATCCTGACCTGAACGCTAAAAGTAGAGGCTTTGAATGACTTTGCCAGCAGCTACAGTAGGTTACACACAGCTGTTGGGAGTTGAGCACCGCTTTATACACTATTTCATTCCTGTCTTCAGTAACAATCATGCATGTCAGTTCAGTGCCCACAGCTTAACAGAGAAAATAACATATTGGGGAATATACACTGCTCAAAAAAATAAAGGGAATACTTAAACAACAAAATGTAACTCCAATCACACTTCTGTGAAATCAAACTGTCCACTTACGAATTAACACTGATTGACAAAACATGTCACATGCTGTTGTGCAAATGGAATAGACAACAAGTGGAAATTATAGGCAATTAACAAGACACCCCCAATAAAAAAGTGGTTCTGCAGGTGGTGACCACAGACCACTTCTCAGTTCCTATGCTTCCTGGCTGATGTTTTGGTCACTTTTGAATGCTGGCAGTGCTTTCCCTCTAGTGGTAGCATGAGATGGAGTCTACAACCCACACAAGTGGCTCAGGTTGTGCAGCTCATCCAGGATGGCACATCAATGCGAGCTGTGGCAAGAAGGTTTGCGGTGTCTGTCAGCGTAGTGTCCAGAGCATGGAGGTGCTACCAGGAGACAGGCCAGTACATCAGGAGACGTGGAGGAGGGCGTAGGAGGGCAACAACCCAGCAGCAGGACCGCTACCTCCGCCTTCGTGCAAGGAGGAGCAGGAGGAGCACTGCCAGAGCCCTGCAAAATGACCTCCAGCAGGCCACAAATGTGCATGTGTCTGCTCAAACGGTCAGAAACAGACTCCATGAGGGTGGTATGAGGGCCCGACGTCCAAAGGTGGGGGTTGTGCTTACAGCCCAACACCGTGCAGGACGTTTGGCATTTGCCAGAGAACACCAAGATTGGCAAATTCGCCACTGGCGCCCTGTGCTCTTCACAGATGAAAGCAGGTTCACACTGAGCACGTGACAGACGTGACAGAGTCTGGAGACGCCGTGGAGAACGTTCTGCTGCCTGCAACATCCTCCAGCATGACCGGTTTGGCGGTGGGTCAGTCATGGTGTGGGGTGGCATTTCTTTGGGGGGCCGCACAGCCCTCCATGTGCTCGCCAGAGGTAGCCTGACTGCCATTAGGTACCGAGATGAGATCCTCAGATCCCTTGTGAGACCATATGCTGGTGCAGTTGGCCCTGGGTTCCTCCTAATGCAAGACAATGCTAGACCTCATGTGGCTGGAGTGTGTTAGCAGTTCCTGCAAGAGGAAGGCATTGATGCTATGGACTGGCCCGCCCGTTCCCCAGACCTGAATCCAATTGAGCACATCTGGGACATCATGTCTCGCTCCATCCACCAACGCCACGTTGCACCACAGACTGTCCAGGAGTTGGCAGATGCTTTAGTCCAGGTCTGGGAGGAGATCCCTCAGGAGACCATCCGCCACCCAGGCGTTGTAGGGAGGTCATACAGGCACGTGGAGGCCACACACACTACTGAGCCTCATTTTGACTTGTTTTAAGGACAAAGTTGGATCAGCCTGTAGTGTGGTTTTCCACTTTAATTTTGAGGGTGACTCCAAATCCAGACCTCCATGGGTTGATACATTTGATTTCCATTGATAATTTATGTGTGATATTGTTGTCAGCACATTCAACTATGTAAATAAATAAGTATTTAATAAGATTATTTCATTCATTCAGATCTAGGATGTGTTATTTTAGTGTTCCCTTAATTTTTTTGAGCAGTGTATTTTGTAGAACAGACATGCTTCTGGATTAGGTTATGTCATCTCCAAACCACCCCCCGGAGACTTTTATTGCAGATCTACACTGATCTCAAAAACGACCTCTCATGACGGAAATCCATCGCAGGGAACGAGAATTTTAACCCCTGCACGCGCTCATCTGCATTCTGTTCAGAACGGTTATTTTTGCAAACATTGATTGAGTTATATATACACATATAACAATGGCTTGGCCTACGGTTAACAAATCTACTCATCACATTATGCATTTTACCTTATGTTAGTCTGCAAATGTGATGGATGCATGCAATGCTTTATTAGAAAGTTGATTTTTGTGGTGTGAAAAAACAGCTTCCCCAAACTTTAAACTCATGCGCCGCCCATGGTACATTGTACAACGCCTCTCACCTTTCCAAAAGGCTCAAAGATTCCTCGCAGCATCTCCTCTGTGATGTTAAAGTGTAAGGATCCGACGTAGAGTCTCATCGGGCCAGCGTTTCCCTTCTGCAGGTTGTTGGCCATGGCAGCAGCCCTGTTTTTCTCAGCCTAGAGAAAGCACACACAAAAGTGAACGTAGGGAAATGGTGCAGATTGCCTTAAGCTGTTAAAATAAAGGCTGTCAAATGATTTAAAGAATGAATCGAGTTAACCGTATGGTTCTGTACTTAACTAAGATTAATCGTAATTTTTGCAATTGTTCAAATTTGACCCTAATTAGGTATAACATTTTGATTATAGGGGAAGAAAAAACAAACCGTTTTATTTGCTTTGTCATTTTATGTTAGGGGTGTTCCAGGTACAATATTCATATCAATTTACACAGTTTATACCACGTGTACCCGTAGGCTGCCACTCAAAGAAAAATTCTATAGAAAAACACATACAGAGAAATGATCATATTGATACATACCCAGAATTTTGTAAAGGAAAGAAACAAAAAGAGGTGGGCCTACAACCCCCAACTCGCCATCCCATTTCCCCCAGCCCAACATCTATCCCCCCCCCCCTTAAACATCCAAGGTTGCTTATCAACCGAGGATGCTTTAACATCTGTGTTAAAGCACCTTTGGCAGCGATTACAACCACAAGTCTTCTTGGGTATGACGCTACAAGTTTGGCACACCTGTATTTGGGAAGTTTCTTCCATTCCTCTCTGCAGATCCTATCAAGCTCTGTCAGGATGGATGGGGAGCGTTGCTGCACACCTATTTTCAGGTCTCTCCAGAGATGATAGATTGGGTTCAAGTCCGGGGTCTAGCTGGGCCACTCAAGGACATTCAGAGACCTGTCCCGAAGCCACTCCTGCGTTGTCTTTGCTGTGTGCTTAGGGTCATTGTCCTGTTGGAAGGTGAACGTTCGCCCCAGTCTGAGGTCCTGAGAGCTCTGGAGCAGGTTTTCATCAAGGATCTCTCTGTACTTTGCTTCGTTCGTCTCTGCCGCTGAAATACATCCCCACAGCATGATGTTGCCACCACCATGCTTCACCGTAGGGATGGTGCCAGGTTTCCTAGTGACGTGAAGCTTGGCATTCAGGCCAAAGAGTTCAATCTTGGTTTCATCAGCCCGGATAATCTTGTGCCTTTTGGCAAACTCCAAGCGGGCTGTCATGTGCCTTTTACTGAGGGGTGGCTTCCGTCTGGCACTCTACCATAAAGGCAGGATTGGTGGAGTGCTGCTGAGATGGTTGTCCTTCTACAGAGGAACTCTGGAGCTCTGTCAGAGTGACCGTTGGGTTCTTGGTCACCTCCCTGACCAAGGCCCTTCTCCCCTGATTGCTCAGTTTGGCAGGGCAGCCATCTCTAGGAAGAGTCTTGGTGGATCCAAACTTCTTCCATCTAAGAATAATGGAGGCCATTGTGTTCTTGGGGACCTTCCATGGGGCAGAATGTTTTTGGTAGCCTTCTCCAGATCTGTGCCTCGACAAAATCTTGTCTCGGAGCTCTACGGACAATTCATTTGACCTCATGGCTTGGTTTTTGCTCTGACATGTACTGTTAACTGTGGGACCTTATATAGACAGGTGTGTGCCTTTCCAAATCATGTCCAATCAATCAAATTTACCCCAGGTAAACTCCAATCAAGTTGTAGAAACATCTGAAGGATGATCAATGGAAACAGGATGCACCTGAGCTCAATTTCGAGTCTCATAGCAAAGGGTCTGAATACTTATGTAAATAAGGTATCTTTTTTTATTTTTAATACATTTGCAAAAATGTCTAAAAACCTGTTTTCACTTATGGGGTTATTATCTACAATATCTACAATAGTGTGTAGATTGCTACATTTTAGAATAAGGCTGTAAAGTAACAAAATGTGGAAAAAGTCAAGGGGTCTGAATACTTTCCGAAGGCACTGTATTGTAAACAGTAGTGGGCCGAGTATCGAACATTGGGGCACCCCTTTACGTAATTCAGGGAACTCAGATTTGACCCCATCTACCTTGATGGCCTGATTTAATTATGAAACAATCAGCAAGCATCAGTACCCAACCCTATCGAGGACAGCTTATTCAACAGAATGACATGGCCTACAGCAGTGGTCTCCAACCTTTTTTGAGTCGAGATCACTTTGAGTCAAAATACACGCCGAGATCTACCGTTCATTTATATTTTACGACTTAAAAAACATAAGCCTATGCAACATTAACCCTTTAACAACAGTAATGAGGTTTGTGCAGTAGGCTATAGGCCCAAAACATTATCACTGCATATTGGTTTTGCTTGAATTGCCTGTCAATGCATTGTTGTTCTTTTTAGACCATTAAAAATATATATATTTCAACATTTGAGGTAGGCTATATGATCACACCGGTAACAGATCAGTTGTTATATTACTTGTGCGGCAAAGTTGAGTGAGCATACATTTTAATAATCTGCTTTGTTTTTTTTTTACTGGGCTGATGGAGCCTGCATCTGATGGTCAGTCTCAACAGAAGGAGGGCAGCAGAGGGTCCGTCTCTCAACGTCCCTCCGATCTCCCTTTCCTCCACTGACACTGACCAAAAAAGGGACACCGTCTTCCAGCTGAAGGCGAAACTCAAGTCACACCACATTATTTCTGCCTCATGCACAAATTAAATGTGGTTACTCCTATGACCAGAGAAAGTGAAATATTCCTCGATATAAAAAATTACCCAAGCTGCTAATAACAACAATACAAGCCCATCGATTCACTTTCATACTCATTAATTGCAGCTGCAGTGCTGGTTGAAGCGCGAGTCCAAGTAGGGAGAACGCACATTTTATGGCTTATAAAAGCATTAAATAGAAAGTGTTGATAGTGCTTAGTAAAAACATGAACTCACTCATAAAAACAGCAGCTCTTTGTTGACAGTTTCTCTATAGTCATGGTTTTAAAAGTTTAGAAATCTGAACTTTGCTGTAGCTTTCTTTCACGCCTGCTAAATTACTGCAGACATGGTAATCTGAGCCATCCGATTGGCCAGTGGTAGGCCTATAGTACAGTGCACTTGATTTGCTCGCCATGGGACCACCGGGAAGGCAGTTTGTACCTTCAGACATATGAAATGGTTCAAAATGGGAACAGTACTTATGGCGACAGTTAGTCAGGTTAAGGTCAATCAATGAGGAGTTTGTTAGTTTTTTTTGGGCTTATGCCACTTTTATAACCAACAGCTCACATATTTTGGGGACAGAGATGCTAAGAGAGCATTAGCCACCCCTCCCCCCTTTTTATTCCATCCCATCTGAAAATGTTGTAGTCCGCAATGGCAACGTCCTGAATTATTCAGCTAGGTCTCTGAGATAACCAGAAGGTCTGGCCTAGTGTCATGCACCCAGACATCCAGAAAGTCCAGTTTAGACATCAGGCTTCGCACATTTACAGTGGGGGAAAAAAAGTATTGTCAGCCACCAATTGTGCAAGTTCTCCCACTTAAAAAGATGAGAGAGGCCTGTAATTTTCATCATAGGTACACGTCAACTATGACAGACAAATTGAGGAAAAGAAATCCAGAAAATCACATTGTAGGATTTTTTATGAACTTATTTGCAAATTATGGTGGAAAATAAGTATTTGGTCAATAACAAAAGTTTCTCAATACTTTGTTATATACCCTTTGTTTGAAATACAAAAGATGGTGGCGTACACATTGTTGGATTACTTCATGGAGCAAAAAAAGTATTTATGTTAATAACGGAGCATTTTCTAAACTGTCCACTTAGGGAGCAACACTGATTGACAATACATTTCACATGCTGTTGTGCAAATGGAATAGACAACAGGTGGAAATTATAGGCAATTAGCAAGACACCCCCAATAAAGAAGTGGTTCTGCAGGTGGTGACCACAGACCACTTCTCAGTTCCTTTGCTTCCTGGCTGATGTTTTGGTCACTTTTGAATGCTGCCGGTGCTTTCACTCTAGTGGTAGCATGAGACGGAGTCTACAACCCACACAAGTGGCTCAGGTAGTGCAGCTCATCCAGGATGGCACATCAATGCGAGCTGTGGCAAGAAGGTTTGCTGTGTCTGTCAGCGTAGTGTCCAGAGCATGGAGGCGCTACCAGGAGACAGGCCAGTACATCAGGAGACATGGAGGAGGCCGTAGGAGGGCAACAACCCAGCAGCAGGACTGCTACCTCCGCCTTTGTGCAAGGAGGAGCAGGAGGACCACTGCCAGAGCCCTGCAAAATGACCTCCAGCAGGCCACAAATGTGCATGTGTCTGCTCAAACGGTCAGAAACAGAGACTCCATGAGGGTGGTATGAGGGCCCGACGTCCACAGGTGGGGGTTGTGCTTACATCCCAACACTGTGCAGGACGTTTGGCATTTGCCAGAGAACACCAAGATTGGCAAATTCGCCACTGGCGCCCTATGCTCTTCACAGATGAAAGCAGGTTCACACTGAGCACGTGACAGACGTGACAGAGTCTGGAGATGCCGTGGAGAACATTCTGCTGCCTGCAACATCCTCCAGCATGACCGGTTTGGCGGTGGGTCAGTCATGGTGTGGGTTGGCATTTCTTTGGGGGGCCGCAGAGCCCTCCATGTGCTCGCCAGAGGTAGCCTGACTGCCATTAGGTACCGAGATGAGATTCTCAGACCCCTTGTGAGACCATATGCTGGTGCGGTTGGCCCTGGGTTCCTCCTAATGCAAGACAATGCTAGACCTCATGTGGCTGGAGTGTGTCAGCAGTTCCTGCAAGAGGAAGGCATTGATGCTATGGACTGGCCCGCCCGTTCCCCAGACCTGAATCCAATTAAGCACATCTGGGACATCATGTCTCGCTCCATCCACCAACGCCACGTTGCACCACAGACTCATCAGGAGCATGCTCAGGCGTTGTAGGGAGGTCATACAGGCACGTGGAGGCCACACACACTACTGAGCCTCATTTTGACTTGTTTTAAGGACATTACATCAAAGTTGGATCAGCCTGTAGTGTGGTTTTCCACTTTAATTTTGAGGGTGACTCCAAATCCAGACTACCATGGGTTGATACATTTGATTTCCATTGATCATTTTTGTGTGATTTTGGTTGTCAGCACATTCAACTATGTAAAGAAAAAAGTATTTAATAAGATTATTTCATTCATTCAGATCTAGGATGTGTTATTTTTGTGTTCCCTTTATTTTTTTGAGCAGTATATATAATATATATATATATATAATATATATATATATATATATATATATATATATATTTTTTTTTTTTTTTTGAACGACAGTTGAACTGTGCCAGCATAACATCAACATTAGGGTAGACTAGATGAACATGCATACATGTGCACAGAGATTACATTTATAATAATAATAATTTACAACAGTATCTAGCCTAATAGAAAGAAATATGGCATAACCATCAATCTTTGCACAGTGACCAGACCATTCAAATGTACCTAGGTAAGTAGGCAGGCAGTATCTACCTACAGCCATGTCTATCAGACATGCTTAAGCAAATATGTTTATAGTAAATCCAGCTTCAGTATTAGAGATTCAAAACAGTAAATTGTTGTATTATTGCTGGATATACAATACAATCTGTTTGGAATCCTATCTTGCATCATGCCTATAATTTTGTGAGATTGAAATGCATCCACGGTCATAATCATAACCAATGTCAACCCTCGTCAATTATTTTATATAGCTAGCTAGTAAAATTATTTGTAGTTGCTGATGTTACACATTTCCTAACAAGCTATAAATGATTTCCCCCACTGTAAAACATTAGTATGTTAACCAGCAATACACAATACAGGTTTCAGTAGATAATTCTAAAGTTAGCTAGCTAGGTGGCTTGCAGGAAAAATTACTTACTTAGCTAGGCACCGTATTTGTCACCTGTCCTCTTGGTGTTGGCATCGGCTGTAGCTGAGCTTCTAAAGTTATCTAAATCCAACTCTTTGTTTCGAGTCCTCTTCGCTATATTCCCGGGTGAAACGTATGGTTGAACGTCACCATGTAGCTAATAGATGCTCCATCGTCGAATTCGTCTTGATGAGAGGAATCACTTGAAGCCATTGAGCCTGGTCAGTTATTTGTATTGTGTTGTTAGTGTCCACCTTCTTTTAAAAAAAGCCAGCCTTGGGTGGTGAGACTGGGGCCCAGAGCATGAAGTACCACCGAAAACTAGTTCTCTTAAGAGTTTGATTATCTCTTCAAACTTAGCTTGCGCTGTTTTCAGGTCATGGAGTCACACCTTTGTCGCATTGGCTGTCTTCTCCAGACTTTTCACTTCGGTTGAATAGGTATCAAATTTAGCAGTGAGCACTACCAGTGATTAATTTACTGGTATTACTTGTAAATCGAGGGCAGAGGTAATCTCCTCACAAACAATCTCTCGTATAGTAGCGGCAGCTTTTTCGGTTGTCTGGTTTTGATAGCCGCCATGTTCCCACAGATGAATTGTGGACGGACAAATTCTAGCTGCTGGAGCGGAATAGACCTGCTAGCTGCTGGAGCGTAATTGACCAATGAATGTCCCACACCTTACTGAAAGTATTTTATGTTTAGTATTATGAAGTTTTAGAAAATTAGTTTGTTAATTCATAGTAATTTGCTAAAGAAATCCATGAAAAGGCCATACGTTTCATTGCATGCCAACAGAACCTTACCGGAACCTCAAAATAAACTGTTTTCTAAGACAATAACATCTCAGCCAGAAGTGCGTTCAACAAGGGAAATAGTTAACATATTCCATTTGTTTTGTGTTAGCAGCGACCGTTCGCTAACATTAGCTAACAGTCTGAGAAGGTATTGTGCGGCGAACGTAAATGTCTGTTTCGCGTCTTAACTGCCGCAAAAAAATGTATTGGCCATGTAGACTTTCTACTATATTTAGTAGGAATAGCGAAGTCATTTTCAGTTTGAATATTGTCGCTAAAAAGTCACAGTAATCCTTACAAAAAGTACATGTTTAATGTTTCAATGTAAAATTTTTGAATGTTCATTCAACTGAAATTGTTGAAGTCGCCGCAGGTTTGATATAAAAGTTCATGTAAAACATCATACAGCTATTAGATCTAGCCTAGGCTACTTATTATCCATGCCAAACATGAACTAGTCACAAGCTGCTACTGTACTAGAATTAGGATAATTTGCTTAAATCTTTTGACCTGAGAACCACAACAAGCTAAATGGAATTGAAGTTCTGTTTTGATTCAAATCATTGTGGGAAATTAGTATTGAATCTAGAGGCAATCAGCCATAGCATTCTAAACAATCTCATTTAGTTCGCTAGCTAGCATAACTGGCTAGCTACATCTGTGCAAAAAACGTTTTTGCTGTGTTCTAAAGAAATGCATGAAAAAGTGTTTATGGTTTAACTTTCTGTAAGTTTTCCTTAAATTTGTGGCTGAAAGATGCACGCATAAAGGATGGTTTCCGCACCACAAGAAAGGCTCTGTCGAGAGCACAGAGCGCGTGAGCTCAAAGGAATGTGAGTGGAAACAGACTTTGGTTGAAAAAATTGAGATGTGATTAAAGGATCATGATTTGGCCTCGTTTTAGATTTGGTTAATTAAGAAATGCTTGTGGCCATGACTGAATTCAAACGTGAGTTGGTTTCAGGGTGTGGTTTGATGTGTGTGGCTCGTGTGTGTGTTCGTAGGTGGGATGAGTTAGCTAAATTATTTAGACAATTAGCTTCAGCTGGCTGGTGTGCGACCGTGGCAAAATTCATTTAACTCTGGATAGCCCATCTCCGGGGCTAGTTAGGGACTGTCAATAAATTACACAATGTATATGAGACAATCTTTTCATGTTGCACAGCTTTTAGTTCTCATTCAATGCTTTTAATATTTGTATAGGAATTTCTACAATTTATAGTTAACACATTGTCCCATGTACATTGTGTAATTTGCCAATGGTTCCTAACTAGCCCCATAAGGATATCCAAAGTCAACTAAAATTTACCACAGGTATTACGATTGGGTCGTGTGCAGCTGCACTCTGAATTGATGATCACTTGTGTGCTGCCAGCTGTGGGCAGGACTGAAACAAACCCAACCTTCATTTATGTTGTGAAGCAGTCACAACTTCTTAAAATGGCGCCGACAGAGAGGGCTGCCTTGCTTCTAGCTCTTAGGAAACTTTGCAGTGTTTTATTTTTTTATGTATTATTTCTTACGTTTTTAGCCCAGAAAATTGTTTGTGTTATTACATACAGCCGGGAATATCTATTGGATATCAAAGCGGCGGTAACTCACCAGCACTACGACCAGGAATACGACGTTCCTGAAGCGGATCCTTTGTTCGCACCCCCCAGGGCAATTGAACTGATTCCAGAGGCCGACCCAAAACAACGCCAGAGGAGAGGTACTTGGAGCGGCCTTCTTGTCCAACTTAGGAGGCAAGTATATTACTCGCTAATGTTCAGTCTCTGGATAATAAAGTTGATGAGCTCAGGGCGAGGGTTCCTTTCCAGAGAGACATCAGAGATTGTAACATTCTCGGTTTCACGGAAACATGGCTCTCTCGGGATATACTGTCCGAGTCGGTCCAGCCAGTTCGGTTCTCAGTTAATCGCGTAGACAGGAATAAATATCTCTCCGGGAAGCAGAAGGGCAGAGGTGTATGTTTTAAGATTACCAACTCATGGTGTAATTGTGATAACATACAGGAACTCAAGTCCTTTTGTTCACCCGACATAGAATACCTCAATCAAATGCCGACCATAACATCTCCCAAGATAATTTTCTTAAGTTATAGTCACGGCCGTGTATATCCCCCCTCAAGCCGATACGACGACGGCCCTCAAAGAACTTCACTGGACTCTATGCAAACTGGAAACCACATATCCTGAGGCTGCATTTATTGTAGCTGGGGATTTTAACAAAGCAAATTTGAGGAAAAGATTGCACAAGTTCTATCAACACATCGACTGTAGTACTCGTGCTGCTAAAACACTCGACCACTGCTACTCCAACTTCCGTGATGCAAACAAGGCCCATCACCGCCCTCCTTTCGGAAAATCTGACCATGACTGCATTTTTCTCCTACCTTCCTATAGGCAGAAACTCGAACAGGAAGTAACCATGCTAAGGACTATTCAACGCTGGTCTGACTGATCGGAATCCACGCTTCAAGATTGTATTGATCACACGGACTGGGATATGATCCGGGTAGCTTCAGAGAATAATATTGAAGTATATACTGATACGGTGACTGAGTTTATCAGGAAGTGTATAGGAGATGTTGTACCCACTGTGACTATTAAAACCTACCCTAACCAGAAACCGTGGATAGATGGCAGCATTCATGCAAAACTGAAAGCGCGAATCACTGCATTTAACCATGGCAAGGTGACTGGGAATATGGCAGAATACAAACAGCGTAGTTATTCCCTCCACAAGGCAATCAAACATGCAAAACGTCAGTACAGAGACAAAGTGGAGTCGCAAATCAACGGTTCAGACACAAGACGTATGTGGCAGGGTCTACAGACAATCACGGACTACAAAAGCAAAACCAGCCACGTCGCAGACATGACGTCTTGCTTCTGGACAAGCTAAACTCCTTCACCCGCTTTGAGGATACAGTGCCACCGACGCGGCCCGCTACCAAGGACTGTGGGCTCTCCTTTTCCGTGACCGACGTGAGTAAGACATTTAAGCGTGTTACCCCTTGCAAGGCTGCCGGCCCAGGTGGCATCCCTAGCCGCGTCCTCAGAGCATGCGCAGACCAGCCGGATGGTGTGTTTACGGACATATTCAATCTCTCCCTATCCCAGTCTGCTGTCCCCACATGCTTCAAGATGGCCACCATTGTCCCTGTCTCCAAGAAAGCAAAGGTAACTGAACTAAATGACTATCGCCCCGTAGCACTCACTTCTGTCATCATGAAATGCTTTGAGAGACTAGTCAAGGATCATATCACCTCTACCTTACCTGCCACCCTAGACCCACTTCAATTTGCTTACCGCCCCAATAGATACACAGACGATGCAATCGCCATCACACTGCCCTACACCATCTGGACAAGAGGAATACCTATGTAAGAATGCTGTTAATTGACTATAGCTCAACATTCAACACCATAATACCCTCCAAGCTCATCATTAAGCTTGAGGCCCTGGGTCTGAACCTCGCCCTGTGCAACTGGGTCCTGGACTTCCTGACGGGCTGCCCCCAGGTGGTGAGGTAGGAAAAAACACTTCCACTTCGCTGATCCTCAACACAGGGGCCCCACAAGGGTGAATCCTCAGCCCCCTCCTGTACTCCCTGTTCACCCATGACTGCGTAGCCAAGCACGCCTCCAACTCAATCATCAGGTTTGCAGACGACAACAGTCGTAGGCTTGATTACAAACAATGACGAGACAGCCTACAGGGAGGAGGTGAGGGCTCTGGGAGTGTGGTGCCAGGAAAATAACCTCTCACGCAACGTCAACAAAACAAAGGAGATGATCGTGAACACCCCCCTATCCACATCGACGGGACCACAGTGGAGAAGGTGGAAAGCTTCAAGATCCTCGGCGTACACATCACTGACAAACTGAAATGGTCCACCCACACAGACAGTGTGGTGAAGAAGGCGCAACAGCGTCTCTTCAACCTCAGGAGGCTGAAGAAATTTGGATTGCCGCCTAACCCCCTCACAAACTTTTACAGATGTACAATTGAGAGCATCATGCCGGGCTGCATCACCACCTGGTACGGCAACTGCACCGTCCGCAACCGCAGCGCTCTCCATAGGGTGGTGGGGTCTGCCCAACGCATCACAGGGGGCACACTGCCTTCCCTCCAGGACACCTACAGCACACCCAATGTCACAGGAAGGCCAAAAAGATCATCAAGGACAACAACCACCCGAGACACTGCCTGTTCACCCCGCTATCATCCAGAAGGCAAGGTCAGTACAGGTGCATCAAAGCTGGGACTGAGAGACTGAAAAACAGCTTCTATCTCAAGGCCATCAGACTGTTAAATAGCCTTCACTAGCACATTAGAGGCTGCTGCCAATATACATAGATTATAAATCACAGGCCACTTTAATAAATGTTTACATATCTTGCATTACTCATATGTACAGTGAGGGAAAAAAGTATTTGATCCCCTGCTGATTTTGTACGTTTGCCCACTGACAAAGAAATGATCAGTCTATAATTTTAATGGTAGGTTTATTTGAACAGTGAGAGACAGAATAACAACAAAAAAATCCAGAAAAACGCATGTCAAAAATGTTATAAATTGATTTGCATTTTAATGAGGGAAATAAGTATTTGACCTCCTCTCAATCAGAAAGATTTCTGGCTCCCAGGTGTCTTTTATACAGGTAACGAGCTGAGATTAGGAGCACACTCTTAAAGGTAGTGCTCCTAATCTCAGTTTCTTACCTGTATAAAAGACACCTGTCCACAGAAGCAATCAATCAATCAGATTCCAAACTCTCCACCATGGCCAAGACCAAAGAGCTCTCCAAGGATGTCAGGGACATTTTGTAGACCTACACAAGGCTGGAATGGGCTACAAAGACCATCGCCAAGCAGCTTGGTGAGAAGGTGACAACAGTTGGTGCGATTATTCGCAAATGGAAGAAACACAAAATAACTGTCAATCTCCCTCGGCCTGGGGCTCCATGCAAGCTCTCACCTCGTGGAGTTGCAATGATCATGAGAACGGTGAGGAATCAGCCCAGAACTACACGGGAGGATCTTGTCAATGATCTCAAGGCAGCTGGGACCATAGTCACCAAGAAAACAATTGGTAACACACTACGCCGTGAAGGACTGAAATCCTGCAGCACCCGCAAGGTCCCCCTGCTCAAGAAAGCAGATATACAGGCCCGTCTGAAGTTTGCCAATGAACATCTGAATGATTCAGAGGAGAACTAGGTGAAAGTGTTGTGGTCAGATGAGACCAAAATCGAGCTCTTTGGCAACAACTCAACTCGCTGTTGAGGAGGAGGAATGCTGCCTATGACCCCAAGAACACCATCCCCACCGTCAAACATGGAGGTGGAAACATTATGCTTTGGGGTTGTTTTTCTGCTAAGGGGACAGAACAACTTCACCGCATCAAAGGGACGATGGACGGGGCCATGTACCGTCAAATCTTGGGTGAGAACCTCCTTCCCTCAGCCAGGGCATTGAAAATGGGTCGTGGATGGGTATTCCAGCATGACAATGACCCAAAACACACAGCCAAGGCAACAAAGGATTGTCTCAAGAAGAAGCACATTAAGGTCCTGGAGTGGCCTAGCCAGTCTCCAGACCTTAGTCCCATCGAAAATCTGTGGAGGGAGCTGAAGGTTCGAGTTGCCAAACGTCAACCTCGAAACCTTAATGATCCCTCCTGAGATGTGTGCAAACCTGGTGGCCAACTACAAGAAACGTCTGACCTCTGTGATTGCCAACAAGGGTTTTGCCACCAAGTACTAAGTCATGTTCTGCAGAGGGATCAAATACTTATTTCCCTCATTAAAATGCAAATCAATTTATAACATTTTTGACATGCGATTTTCTGGATTTTTTTGTTGTTCTTCTGTCTCTCACTGTTAAAATAAACCTACCATTAAAATTATAGACTGATCATGTCTTTGTCAGTGGGAAACGTACAAAATCAGCAGGGGATCAAATACTTTTCCCTAACTGTATATACTGTATTCTATACTATTCTACTGTATCTTAGTCTATGCCGCTCTGACATTGCTCATCCATATATTTATTTATATATTCTTAATTACATTGCTTTACTTAGATTTGTGTGTATTGGGTATATGTTGTGAAATTGTTAGATATTACTGCACTGTAGGAGCTAAAAACACAAGCATATCGCTACACCCGCAATAACATTTGCTAAACACGTGTATGTGACCAATACAATTTGATTTGAAGACCAGCAGTCTCACAAAATGTTTTGGACGAGACTGACTTTATGACTAGAATTATTCTATTTACACTTTGTAGTCAATTTTGACAGTAGAATAAATGTTTGACTCATATTGATGACACATAGGCTGTTTTCTAAATGAGAAGTTGGTTTTTAGGGGCAGTTGATATTTTTCAATTAGTTATTTTTTATATATGGCATTAAGATTTCAAAAGTTAACTGTAATTAACGCGTTAACATTGACAGCCCTAGTTAAAATAAATAGAAAACATACAATCCCTGTGATGATTACTGACCATTACCTGTGAGGCCTGAACAATTATTGGCACCCCCAGAAGTCGCTGGCCAGACAATCCTATAGCCAGTGGCACCGAGTTGGCCTCCACAAACTCGATGTAAGCAATCCCCTTCGACCTCCTCGAATTTCTGTCAGAGATCATGCGCACATCTCTCACCTTCAAAAAGAACAAAAATAATCTGTTTTAGAATGGCTGGTTTAGGCATAAGAGAAAAATACATTGCTAAATCCATTGCTCTTGTTGGCTGTGAATAACACCTAAATATATATATATATTTTTTAAACAAGCATTTGCATCAGGTACAACACCTATCTTTTCAAAATAAAATGGAGGTTTGAACAAAAAGGGTAGAAGAAATAATTAAAACCCTATTGTAAATTGCAAAGTTTCATGTTTTACTTTGGTGTTAAATATCTTTCTTAAAAAACTGGTGCAAACTTCTCACCTGGTGCAAATGCTTTGCAAATCTGTGGCCACATATTTTTCAGCAGGAATGACAATGACATTACAAGCAGAGATACTCACTTTTCCCACTGCAGAGAAGAACTCCTCCAGGTCTCGTGGTCGGATTCTGGCTGCCAGCTGCATGCAGAACACTGTCCGAGCGTCCCTTTCCTCTGGAGTCAGGTTGTCTATTGGCTGCCTGTAGAAACAAAGCATTGAATTACTCTTATGAGGTAAAGCCATTTTTCGTCTTTCAGTAGCCCCAATCTTGTAAAAGCACTTGTGTATTTATTTTACTATATTTTGTCAGCAAAATGGTAAATCTCAGTAATCCAGAACAAAAATCTTGTGCCAGCTCCTCTCTGCAAGTTTCGGTCAAATCTACTGTGGGTCTACGTTTTGAATCCTAGTCTGGTGACAGATGTTACGATACCATTTACGTTACATATGTCTGTCCACGAGGTATTATAAAAATGGTAAGCCTACTTTGTCGAACAAGGGTACACAAGCTTTAAAAGTGGAATGTCAACCTGATTGAGTTCTTATGCGTCATCTCCCCAAGGAACACTTGCCTCACAGGACTCTTCTCTTTCTTGAAAGGGCTTCGGCTTCTGGAACGTCTTCGGCTGAAAGAATGGGCTCCATTAGCATCTATTTGAGTTGATTAATCGCATTGTCACATACACAGCACAAAACTACCCACACAAACAACAGAAAATAGTGTAATAGAAACCTTAGCTTGATGACTGGTGGAGGGCCAATCTTCCCTCTGGAACCACCGTTAAATTTCGGCCCAGAGCTGCGATTGAAAACAAGGTTCATCTCAGTATCTAAGGCCACTACTACTGATCTCATAAGAGGGGAAAAGGCACTCCAGACCTTAAAGTATGCCAGTCAATACACTGCAGACGGGATGGTGGGGTATTAGGGGTATTAGGGACAATGCTCTGTTCTTTCTAAAAACATATCTTGGCCTAATCAATTCTGAGGGCCGGAACTCTATATTCCGCATCTCTTCTCTTGAACAAAACCCTTAAGCCGGATGTACACTACACGATTTTGGCCCCGATTTAGCTGTCCCAGACAAGTTTTAGAGATTGAAGACAAAATCCCCATGTCATTGCCTACGAGCATGCGGCCATCACCGACGCTCGTTTATTGTCACCGTTAATTCTCCTCCCTCAGAGACGCAATCTGAGGGCTACCGATCCAGTCTTTGAGCCATCCAAATATTTTCAAACGTTTTATTTTATCGGCACAAAATCTGCAATGCTCTTGTAGTGTGAGATGTGCAAAGACAAGTTTTGACAACGGTGGTCAGCAATAGCCAATGAGAGCTCACCAGATAAGAAGCCAGTGAGTGCAGAGTCCAGGAAGATCCAATCACACGTCTCTCGTAGACAGACAGAAGCAACGACCAATAGTGGACCACTCCACTTCACATTATAGTATGTAGTCCGCTCCCATCTTAACTTTTTTGGTCTTCCTTACGGATTTGATTAAGATCCTCTATTCTCTTCAGCTACTGACTTGGACCTCTGCGCTCCTACTTACCTGTTCACAGATGGACCGTCAAGGACTCCACCACCGAGCGTAGGACAGCAGCTTCTCGTCAAGAGGACTGAGCTCACACGACAGCTACTTCTCAGTCTCTGGCTCAGCTAGTGCAACACAGCTAGCTCTTGCCCTACAAGCCCACTTAGTTACCTACTTCGTGCTGCTTATTCTCACCAAGGTGGAACGAAATAAGATTTGATTAGCCACACTAAGCTAACCTAGCTAGCTAACGAAGAATGCACATTCTATTCAGCTGGCAGTGGGCTTGCTATGGCTAGTCTACTAACCCTCAAGGTGAACGCTAGATATCTGGCTAGCTAAAAGCCAGGACTAGCTGGCTACACAGCTAAACATTGGCAAACCACACAACTAGAACAAGCTCCTTCGCTAGCTCGCTCTACTTGCACAATAGTATTCTTCTACCATCTAGCTTACCAGCGCCCTCACTGGCTAGGTTGACCGATTCTACCTTCCGGCACTGCGGTCGAGAGGCCTTTAGCTTACAGTGGTGTAAAAAGTACCCAATTGTCATACTTGAGTAAAAGTAAAGATACGTTACTAGAAAATGACTCATGTAAAAGTCACCCAGTAAAATACCACTTGAGTAAAAGTCTAAAAGTATTTGGTTTTAAATATACTTAAGTATCAAAAGTAAATATAATTGCTAAAATATACTTAAGTATCAAAAATAAAAGTAAAATCATTTCACATTCCTTATATTAAGCAAACCAGACGGCACTATTATATAAATAAAAAAATACGGATCGCCAGGGGCACACTCCAACACTCAGACATAATCTACAAACGAAGCATGCATGTTCAGTGAATCCGCCAGATAAGATGCAGTAGGGGTTTTCTCTTGATAAGTGTGTGAATTGGACCATTTTCCTGTCCTGCTAAGCATTCAAAATGTAACAAGTACTTTAGGGTGTCAGGGAAAATGTATGGAGTAAAAAGTACATGATTTTCTTTAGGAATGTAGTGGAGTAAATAGTGAAGTACAGATACCCCAGAAAACTACTTAAGTAGTACTTTCAAGTATTTTTATTTAAGCACTTTACACCACTGCTAGCCTGTAGAGCAACTCCACCTTGCGGTGCTCTCCGGCTTACTGCAGGCTTGTAGCCCCTCCACGGATGACCCAAGACAGCACCCCGAGCCCCATCTCTGCCCCCTGCGGCTCTCGCATCTCAGAGAAAGAGCATCCTCTCTGCTCGAGAGGCAGTCGACCACCCAGAGTCTTGTCTGCACTGCAGCACACTGTCTAAGGTTAGCCAGAGAAGGAGACTCAAAAAAACTGTTACTGCTCCGGGCACCCCCGCCTCCGAGCCACCCTCCAGGATAGGGGACAAGCACTGGTCTGTACCCAGCTGGGCGGAGGTGATGGATAACCTTGATTCTCTTCCCTCATTTACCGAAGACATGATCTCGTGAGAGAGAAAGATAGGAGATGACGAGGCTCATGCTAATAGCAGCTTCTCCAACTTTGAGCCTGAGGATGGAGCAAATGAGGGGGAGCCCCCACTTCCTCCCTCCAAAACTCCGCATCGAGTGGTCGAATGTCACGCCGGACCAAGGGGGAGGCAGGGATTTGTACGATGGGAGGAGACTCCCACCACAAACGGCCCAACCAAACTTAGCATTCCGGTGTTCGCGGCTTGCCTAAGGGAGGTGAAAAGGTTCTGGGAAAAGCCTTTCTCCAGTAGACTATCTCCTATTGGTTCCCCTACCCTGAACATTCAGGGTAGGGGAACCACGGTAGGAGGAGTCCGGTTTCCAGTGGGTTAACACCTCCCTTTCGGACAAGATGGGACGCTTTTCCGCCACCATTTGTCATAAGATGTACAGAAATGCAACCCATTTGGTCAAAGCACTTAACGTGTCCACATTACTTACGGCTTATCAATTCGAGGAAAACATGGCAAGGCACCTCTCGGGACGGCATACAGAGCTGTGTCCGTAACATGATCCTTGCCGGTAGTAGGAGAGAGGGCCCTTCGGCTGGACTTGTCAAGTCTTACGGTCAGGGAAAAACTTGGCCTCTTGGATGCCCCAATTCCACTCAGTGGATTGTTGGGGAATCGGTCACTGACATGCGTCAGAAATGCAAAATCCGTTGGAAAGTTTTCGAGTTCCCCATACCCTGTAGACCCAGGCCCCGTGGCAGATTGTTGGGTACTGTACTAAAACGCCCAGTGGGGTTATTTGGAAGGGGACAACGGATAAGCATCAAGAGCCTTAAACCCCTGATCTCGAAGCAGACTGTTAATACCCAGGCAAAGCCCCAGAACCAGGGCAGACCCGGACACAGTCCTTTGCTGCAATCACAGCGAAATTCAGACCTCTCAAGCCCCCTGGTAGGCTGGAGGACTGGAAAGCCTAGGAGTAGCTCCCTAGCCTATGAGAGAGGCAGTTCACACAGCACTCGGTGCTCCCTGCCCTACACTCTCTCCAGTTCAGCGTAGACATCTCTCTAGGTAGAACGGGTTGATACGGAAGAATACCTAGCACGACTCCAACACCATCAAGTTTGCCGATGAGACAACAGTGGTAGGCCTGATCACGACAATGACGAGACAGCCTACAGGGAGGAGGTCAGAGACCTGGCTGTGTGTTGTGAGGACAACAACCTCTCCCTCAACGTGCTCAAGTCAAAGGAGATGATTGTGGACTACAGGAAAAAGGAGAGGACCAAGCACGCCCCCATTCTCATCGACAGGGCTGTAGTGGAGCAGGTTGAGAGCTTCAAGTTCCTTGGTGTCCACATCACCAACAAAGTAACATGGTCCAAGCACACCAACAGTCGTGAAGAGGGCACGACAAAACCTATTCCCCCTCAGGAGACTGAAAAGATTTGGCATGGGTCCTCAGATCCTCAAAACGTTCTACAGCTGCACCATCGAGAGCATCCTGACTGGTTGCATCACTGCCTGGTAGGGCAACTGCTCGGCCTCCGACCACAAGGCACTACAGAGGGTAGTGCTTACGGCCCAATACATCACTGGGGCCAAGCTTCCTGCCATCCAGGACCTCTATACCAGGCGGTGTCAGAGGAAGGCCCTAAAAATTGTCAAAGACTCCAGGCACCCTAGTCATAGACTGTTCTCTCTGCTACCGCATGGCAAGAGGTACCGGAGCGCCAAGTCTAGGTCCAAGATGCTTCTAAACAGCTTCTACCCCCAAGCCATAAGACTCCTGAACATCTAATCAAATGGCTACCCAGACTATTTGCATTGCCCCCCCTCCCCCCTCTTTTATGCTGCTGCTACTCTGTTTATCATCTATGCAGTCACTTTAATACTCTACCTAAATGTACATATTACCTCAATTACCTCGACTAACCGGTGCCCCCGCACATTGAATCGGTACCGGTACCCCCTGTATATAGCCTCGCTATTGTTATTTTTATTGCTGCTCTTTAATTTTGTTACTTTTATTTCGTATTACTTTATATTGTATTTGTGTGTGTGATTTTTGTTGTTGTATTCTTAAAACTGCATTGTTGGTTAAGGGCTTGTAAGTAAGCATTTCACTGTAAGGTCTACACCTGTTGTATTCGATTCAGCGCATGTGACAAATCACATTTGATTTGACGTTTGTTATGCCTATCCACTATACAGTGGCTCTTGTTTTTGACCTCGCTACACAGTGGTAGGGTTGGGAGTTTCACTTTGTTCAAGCTTCCCTTTAAGGGTCATTTTTCTCAGCTATCTGCAATACAAGTATGATTGAAGAATGAAGCAGGTGTTAAACATGGGCTTTGCTACACAGAAAGCAGCAGTTTTCTACTCCATTGTCAACACTTTGATTAAATCAGTAGACCTACAATATCTCAATATCTTTGAAAATACCATATAATTATCAATAGCTTTTAAAACATTTTAATATTTTCTTTTGGACCCGAGTGAGGCTTTTTCCACTAGCCTACCTATTGTTCCTGCAGTGAGGAGGATTCACCATCTTCATCATAATTTATCTGCAGATAATCACCAAAAAGCCTATCAGTATGCAAATTATGGAGCCAAATGAACAGCTCTCTTATCGATGCAATTCGGGATACTACTGACCAGTCACTCACTTTGTCATTGTCTGGTAAGTCCTGATGGACAAACGAGATCTTTATACGATGATATGGACATATAACTATATTGTATGATTTATGAATGGCAAAGGTATACGAGATCGACTTTATTCAGTCAGTTCGACACCTTTAATAAACTACTCAAGCTTGTGGTTTGTCAATCAAAGCACAGTAAATAGCCTATGCGCCAACACTCCGTGACCGCATATGAAACACCCCAGTGTCCAACAGTAACTTTTTTTCCTAACTGGCCTGGTTGGGCCAGTTGGCCAAAAATCTACTGGCCTAAACATGGTGTAGTTCTTAAATGCATTGGGGTCATGCTTTCTCTCTCTCATATATATATATATATATATATATATATATATATATATATATATATATATATATATATATATATATATACAGTGGGGGAAAAAAGTATTTAGTCAGCCACCAATTGTGCAAGTTCTCCCACTTAAAAAGATGAGAGGCCTGTAATTTTCATCATAGGTACACGTCAACTATGACAGACAAATTGAGAGAAACAAATTCCAGAAAATCACATTGTAGGATGTTTTATGAATTTATTTGCAAATTATGGTGGAAAATAAGTATTTGGTCACCTACAAACAAGCAAGATTTCTGGCTCTCACAGACCTGTAACTTCTTCTTTAAGAGGCTCCTCTGTCCTCCACTCGTTACCTGTATTAAATGGCACCTGTTTGAACTTGTTATCAGTATAAAAGACACCTGTCCACAACCTCAAAACAGTCACACTCCAAACTCCACTATGGCCGAGACCAAAGAGCTGTCAAAGGACACCATAAACAAAATTGTAGACCTGCACCAGGCTGGGAAGACTGAATCTGCAATAGGTAAGCAGCTTGGTTTGAAGAAATCAACTGTGGGAGCAATTATTAGGAAATGGAAGACATACAAGACCACTGATAATGTCCCTCGATCTGGGGCTCCACGCAAGATCTCACCCTGTGGGGTCAAAATGATCACAAGAAAAAAAAAAATCCCAGAACCACACGGGGGGACCTAGTGAATGACCTGCAGAGAGCTGGGACCAAAGTAACAAAGCCTACCATCAGTAACACACTACGCCGCCAGGGACTCAAATCCTGCAGTGCCAGACGTGTCCCCCTGCTTAAGCCAGTACATGTCCAGGCCCGTCTGAATTTTGCTAGAGTGCATTTGGATGATCCAGAAGAGGATTGGGAGAATGTCATAATGTAATTTGGTAAAAACTCAACTCGTCGTGTTTGGAGGACAAAGAATGCTGAGCTGCATCCAAAGAACACCATACCTACTGTGAAGCATGGGGGTGGAAACATCATGCTTTGGGGCTGTTTTTCTGCAAAGGGACCAGGACGACTGATCCGTTTAAAGGAAATAATTAATGGGGCCATGTATCGTGAGATTTTGAGTGAAAACCTCCTTCCATCAGCAAGGGCATTGAAGATGAAACGTGGCTGGGTCTTTCAGCATGACAATGATCCCAAACACACCGCCCGGGCAACGAAGGAGTGGCTTCGTAAGAAGCATTTCAAGGTCCTGGAGTGGCCTAGCCAGTCTCCAGATCTCAACCCCATATAAAATATTTGGAGGGAGTTGAAAGTCTGTGTTGCCCAGCGACAGCCCAAAAACATCACTGCTCTAGAGGAGATCTGCATGGAGGAATGGGCCAAAATACCAGCAACAGTGTGTGAAAACCTTGGGAAGACTTACAGAAAACGTTTGACCTGTGTCATTGCCAACAAAGGGTATATAACAAAGTCTTGAGAAACTTTTGTTATTGCCCAAATACTTATTTTCCACCATAATTGCAAATAAATTCATTAAAAATCCTACAATGTGATTTGCTGGAGAAAAAAAATCTCATTTTGTCTGTCATAGTTGACGTGTACCTATGATGAAAATTACAGGCCTTTCATCTTTTTAAGTGGGAGAACTTGCACAATTGGTGGCTGACTAAATACTTTTTTCCCCCCACTGTGTCTGTATATATATATATATATTCAGCAATTAATAGGCTACATTTGGTTATTATGATATGTATTAAAAGCTGTGTAATATAATGTAGCAATGCCAGTCATTACTCTATTCTTTAGTATTAATTGCATTCATTTGTTTCTAAAGTATGTCATTGAGAAGATTTGAAAAAGGCCGCTGCTCCTTTAAGATAAACGTTCCAAAAGAGATAGACATGGCTAGCCAAGATGAATGCTAGGTGTCTCTTTGTAGCTTTCTTTTTGCACACTATCAACAGTAGTCAGCATATTGCTAGTACGTTCACTATTGAAGGTTTACTTTTGTAAATCACCTTCCCTAAAAGAAATAAGCTCAGCGAGTAGATTGATGGGCGCTTCTTTTTGCTCTGGACAGCTTGCGTGTGCCGTGTGAAGGTATCAACTCATGGAGTGCTCGAGAGGTTGTAACTCGTGGGAGCGTGGTGGTGCTTGAATGAGCGGCCAATCATATTGCTCAAATACAAATAGCATGACATTTACGTGTGTTGTCTTCAATGGTAGACAGCGACAGAGCAGGTAAATGTTAAATTGAATGAAAAGGTTACTGACGAGATCCACTGGCACGACATGTTTTTATTGGCACCGAGCCAGCGGGCCATCTTTAACGTGCCAGAAAACAATAGGCTAAGTGGATTGACACATCGTTACCACATTATATGGGACGTGCAAACTCATGCAAACTCAGTGTAAAGAAATTAGACGCACACAACACACACAGGTACTGATAGGCAGGACAGACAGCAGACTGTCACACCAGCAGTGTTTCCCTGTCATCGCTCACTTTGTGACTGACAGGGACCTGTCCCATCAATAGATCGCTAGAAGAGGCATATTGTACATTCTAGTGGGAGAGGGCTCCGCAGACTTTTTTCTGACTAGCGATTTGAAAAGTAGCCTAGTTAATTTAAGTGGAAAAAGTACCTGGCTGAAAATGACTAATCGGCTGTATAGCTGACGAATGGCGCTAGTGGAAAACGCTGTACACCAACAGTTGGCATTCTTGCCTCAGGCTTACAATAGTCTCAGCACCTAGAAACCCCACCAGCTGGGGAAGACATGCGCAGTCTCCCCATGGATGGTATACTTGGTTTGCTTGGGGACCATAGGATTCAGTCTGATATACGAACGCGCTCGTCTGTCTTCGGTTCTGGGGGACTTTGGCAACCCGGCTCCATTGCTAAAGGATTGCACTGCATTCTTTATGAGAGCCAGGGAACGTGAGTAGTTTTCACACTACATCTCAGTTCTTGGACAAAGAGGACATAGCTGTTTGCGGCCTATCGCACTTCACAGTCCCATTCCTTGTACCCTGCTCTTGGTTCACGCAAACAGGATGACTATCTGCTCAGGGCCCGGTGTCCCGATAGCGATGGAACTTAGGCTTATGAGTGTTTTAACGATGCATCTTTCCTACAACGGCCCAAGATGTAAAATGCAATGCTAAGTGTGTTGTTGAGGCATCGTATCGATACTGATAGGATCAAAAGAAAGGCAGCGCTGCTCTCAGATCAGCGTTCTCCATTCAAATCTTACCTTAATTATTCCACAATACTGACGACAGATCAGCTCTTAGAAAATATATTACAAATATTGGCTACAAATATAGAAGCAGCTTATTCTAATGTTTACCGTATAATAATGTACTAAATCAAGTTTTGGCACATTATTTCGCACGTTGTTACACAAAAATTAGCCTACAGACAACAGCCTACAATTAGCAAAAAATACTAATATGGTATGGTGGCTAAACAACTATCGGAACGGAACATCTGTTGTGCTTCAAAGGGCTATGCCTATGTTACAGATCTTCAGCTCTACTCCCCTGTATGTGCACTCTTGCTATAACTGATAAAAATATCTAGCCTCTCCACTGTGGGAGAATCTAGCAGTCATCAGCTTGCTCATTTGGGTGCAGGAGCAATAGCCTATAACGGGGGTACACTTGTAATGACTATTTATTACACTCCACTTTATGAAATGTGTTAGAATCCTGAGACTATAATCTAATAATGTGTGTGTGTGTGTAAGACCAGTAAAAATTATGACATTGTGTTACTATTTAGCAATGTGAGTAGGAGTTAGACCAGACAACAAAGGACAAGGAGAACTGGCTACAGACAACTGAGAAACCAAGATGGAGGCCTCCCAATTTAGGGAGGAGAGAAACTGTTAGGCTTGGAAGAGAATATGAAACATGTTGCAGGGTATTGTGAGGACGGCGATAACTGAGGAATGCAGCCTGCCCGAGCAAGGAGCAGACTATGATAAGAACATGTGTGTGTGTGTGTGTGTGTGTGTGTGTGTGACCTGATGGTCAGGAGAGCACATGAGCTAAACCCAGGTGTGGACTTACAAGATGTGTACAGTGGAAAAATACAGCCCGCCTACAGCGGATTCTTCCTCTGACGTGTGCGTATAAAAATATTGTACGACCATTTTGTTGCAGAGCGCTCTCATGAATAAATATGCTGACCATGAGCAGAATTGGGTCTTTGAATAATTCCCAAAAGGTTGTAAATCGCTTAGTTTAAATAAATTAAACAAAGATTTAAGAAGTGTTTGACTTCAACCATTGAGATAACATTCTTGTGACAACTCGTGAAATTGCTCTAGGTGGAAAATTGCATTCCACACGCCTAGCTTCCCGGTCTTTCCATTACCAAGTATCGCAATTTTCAGCCGTAGGCAGATGTACTCAGCCTACACCCTGGCAGCTGACCCAGGGATCGGCCGATCCAAACAAACAGAGATCTTCAATCCCCTCCCAGGCATGGTGGCACTTTGAGCCTGACCAGCGAGAGAATGACAGTTAATAGACAGCTCTACCGCTGAAAGTTGTGCAGAGCGCTAGACCCCTTGCCACATGCTCACTATATGGCAATGAGTGGCGAGTGTTTGGACTGCCTGCCATTTGGTTTCAACAACAATACAGTGGGGAAACGGCCCTTGATCTGTTGTTTTACGCAGGGGGCGCGTCGCTTACGCTCATTATCCAAAGCGCTAGTCCCATCCTGGGATGTGTCTTATGCTTGAGGCCATTTCACAGCCGACGTTCGAGCTGCTGCAAAAGATAGGAATGAGATTTCTAGTTTAGAACCACTTCACTATTAGCCATTGCATCTGCATACCAAGCGGGAAAGCTGCAAGCACCGTCAGTTCACCACTTACAGCCTACACTTTTCCCCCGGGTTATCCAAGGTTGCTTTACAACCTAACCCCGTTTTTTGTGTCTAAAAATCAGTGGTGCTTATAATTGCATAATTTTAAGAGCTGTTGGCTTTTCACCCACCACTTGTGTCCAGTGCGCATCTACATGGACAGGACGAGAGCCCTACTAGAGCGATCAGATCTTTGTATCTTGGGCCCTATGGACAGTGGTTATACTGTTGGTTATACCTGGAGTACTTCTCCTGTCTTATCCAGTGTCCTGTGTGAATTTAAATTTAAGTATGCTCTCTCTAATTCTCTCGTTCTCTCTTTCTCTCTGAGAACCTGAGCCCTAGGACCATACGTCAGGACTACCGGGCATGCTGACACCTTGCTGTCCCCAGTCCGCCTGGCCTTGCTGCTATTCCAGTTTCAACTGTTCTGCCTGCGGTTACGAAACCCCTACCTGTCCCAGACCTGCTGTTTTCAACTATTAATGATCGGCTATGAAAAGCCAACTGAGAGACCTGAGCCCTAGGACCATACGTCGGGACTACCGGCCGTGGTGACTCCTTGCTGTCCCCAGTCCGCCTGGCCTTGCTGCTATTCCAGTTTCAACTGTTCTGCCTGCGGTTATGGAACCCCTACCTGTCCCAGACCTGCTGTTTTCAACTCTTAATGATCGGCTATGAAAAGCCAACTGAGATTTATTCCTGATTATTATTTGACCATGCTTGTCACTTATGAACATTTTTGAACATCTTGGCATGGTTCTGTTATAATCTCCACCCGGCACAGCCATTTACATTTTACATTTACGTCATTTAGCAGACGCTCTTATCCAGAGCGACTTACAGTTAGTGAATACATTTTTTTTTTTATACTGGCCCCCCGTGGGAATCGAACCCAACCTGGCGTTGCAACGCCATGCTCTATCAACTGAGCAACATCCGGCCGGCCATTCCCTCCCCTACCCTGGACGACGCTGGCCATTGTGCGCCGCCCATGAGTCTCCCGGTCGCGGCCGGCTGCGACAGAGCCTGGATTCGAACCAGGATCTCTAGTGACACAGTTAGCACTGCGATGCAGTGCCTTAGACCACTGCGCCACTCAGGAGTACGGCCAGAAGTACAGCCAGAAGAGGACTGGCCACCCCTCATAGCCTGGTTCCTCTCTAGGTTTCTTCCTAGGTTTTGGCCTTTCTAGGGAGTTTTTCCTAGCCACCGTGCTTCTACACCTGCATTACTAGCTGTTTGGGGTTTTAGGCTGGGTTTCTGTACAGCACTTCGAGATATTAGCTGATGTACGAAGGGCTATATAAAATAAAATTGATTGAAATTGAGTGGAGTCTGTCATAATGGCAAGGGTTTACACCTCCGGAGGGCTTACTCCACCAGAGGTATGGTTACATAATGGGCATTATTCAAGGCATTTTTGGTCAAGAGATTTGTAGTGTGGCATGTTGGGGTATCCCCCATACCTTCATGAGGTTCTACTGACTACATCACTGCACTCTCGTAGCACATACAGTGCTTAGTCTTGAGGCTTCTGAGATTTTATCCTGTCTAGACAGTATACGAGCACTACGGGGCATAAGTGAGAGACCGAACAAGTTATTGAAATAGAACTTAAGGATACCTAATGTAACCCTGGTTCTATGATATTATGAGTGAGGTCTCTCACCAAGTTACCCTTCACGCTTTGCATAAGGAAGACGAACATGTACTTTGAAGTGAAGATGGGAGCGGATTACGGCCCCTAATATGGGAAGTGGTGTGGTCCACTATTGGCCGTTTGTCCTGTCTGTCTATGACAGACATTGTGTGGTTGGATCTTCCTACACTCCGCCCCTAAAAGGGGACGCTGACCATAAGTAAAAGACCTCACACATATCATAGAACCGGGATAACATTCGGTAACCTTAAGACTTTCAAGCAGGAGCGATGACTAGTATGTGTTTGCAGCTAGTTGCCTTTAAACAAACCCAAAGTGTCAAATTGTTACTGCTCTGAAGTTCAAAAGCAATGTTATTCAATAAAAAAATGTATTGGCTAGATATTTCAACTCTGTATGGCAAGCGCAAATGTTTGACTGAATACGTTTGCAATCACATCTTTGTTTTCGCGAGACAGCGTGGTATCAAGAATCCTCACGACCAAGTGAAGAATCTTATAGTGTGTGGGGCGGCAGGTAGGAGTATTGGGCCAGTAACCGAATGGTTGCTGGATGGAATCCCCTGACATGGTAAAAATGTTGTTCTACACCTTAGCAAGCCACTGTTCCCTAGGCGCCAATGACGTGGATGTCGATTAAGGCAGCCCCCCGCACATCACTGATTCTTAGGGGTTGGGTTAAATGCGGAAGAGATATTTCAGTTGAATGCATTCAGTTGTACAACTGACTAGGTATCCCCCTTTCCTTTCCTTTGATCTGTGCCACATCGTTTAGTGAAATCACCACTACGTTGACAAGCCGAAAGACGGTTGTTTCATGTGAGCGGCTCAGCGATGTTAGGATTTTGAAAGTCGTGTAGTGTACACCCGGCATTACCCTGCAAGGCTAAATGGATTTTCCCCATCTTCGTCTCAACCATTGATAAAAAGCTATGCTTTTCTTGTCAATTTGAAAATCGAGCTGAATGTGAACGAGACTCACATTTCCCTGTACAAAATCAAAATACAATTTTATGCTCGCAAACACATATTTAGCAGAGGTTGTTGTGGTTGTAGCTAAATGCTTGTGTTCCTAGCTCCAACAGTGCAGCAATATCTAACAATACACACAAATCAAAACAATTTAAGAACGGAATCAAGAAATATAGAAATATTAGGACGAGCAATGTCGGAGTCCGGAGTATGTATGCACGTGTGTATACAGTGCATTCAGAAAGTATTCAGACCCCTTCACTTTGTCCACATTTTGTTACTTTACAGCCTTCTTCTAAAATTGATTAAATAGTTTTTATCCCTCATCAATCTACACACAATACCCCATAATGACAAAGCAAAAACAGGTTTAGACATTTTTGCACATTTATTCAAAATAAAAAACGGAAATATAACATTTACATAAGTATTCAGACCTTTTACTCAGTACTTTGTTGAAGCACCTTTTTCTTCTTGGGTATATAATAATATAATATAATAATAATATGCCATTTAGCAGACGCTTTTATCCAAAGCGACTTACAGTCATGTGTGCTTACATTTTTACGTATGGGTGGTCCCAGGGATCGAACCCACTACCCTGGCGTTACAAGCGCCATGCTCTACCAATTGAGCTACAGAGGACCACGCCATGCTCTACCAATGACGCTACAAGTTTGGCACACCTGTATTTGGGGAGTTTCTCCCATTCCTCTCCGCAGATCCTCTCAATCTTTGTCAGGTTGGATGGGGAGCGTAACTGCACAGATATTTTCAGGTCTCTCCAGAGATTTAGATCGGGTTCAAGTCCGGGCACGGGCTGGGCCACTCAAGGACATTCAGAGACTTGTCCCAAAGCCACTCCTCCGTTGTCTTGGCTGTGTGCTTAGGGTCGTTGTCCTGTTGGAAGGTGAACCTTCGCCCCAGTCTGAGGTCCTGAGTGCTCTGGAGCAGGTTTTCATCAAGGATCTCTCTGTACTTTGCTCCGTTCATCTTTCCCTCGATCCTTACTAGTCTACTAGTCCCTGCCGCTGAAAAACATCCCCACAGCATGATGCTGCCACCACCATGATTCACAGAGGCTGTAATCGCTGCCAAAGGTGCTTCAACAAAGTACTGAGTAAAGTGTCTGAATACCTATGTAAAATGTGATATTTCCATTTTTATGTTTAATAAATTTGCTAAAATTTCTAAAAACCTGTTTTTGCTTTGTCATTATGGGGTATTGTGTGTAGATTGATGAGGGGGGAAAACTGTTTAATCCATTTTAGAATAAGGCTGTAACATAAAAAAATGTGGAAAAAGTAAAGGGGTCTGAATTCTTTCCGAATGCAGTACCAGTCAAAAGTTTGGACACAGGGTTTTTCTTTATTTTTACTATTTTCTACATTGTAGAATAATAGTGAAGACATCAAAACTATTAAATAACACATATGGAATAAAGGGTCTGGTTGAGAGAATGCCAAGAGTGTGCAAAGCTGTCATCAAGGCAAAGCGTGGCTATTTGAAGAATCTCAAATATAAAATATATATTGATTTGTTTAACACTTTTGGTTATTACATGATTCCATGTGTTATTTCATAGTTTTGTTGTCTTCCCTATTATTCTACAATGTAAAAAATAGTAAAAATAAAGAAAAACCCTTGAATGAGTACAGTGAGGGAAAAAAGTATTTGATCCCCTGCTGATTTTGTACGTTTGCCCACTGACAAAGAAATGATCAGTCTATAATTTTAATGGTAGGTTTATTTGAACAGTGAGACAGATTAACAACAAAAAAATCCAGAAAAACGCATGTCAAAAATGTTACAAATTGATTTGCATTTTAATGAGGGAAATAAGTATTTGACCCCCTCGCAATCAGAAAGATTTCTGGCTCCCAGGTGTCTTTTATACAGGTAACGAGCTGAGATTAGGAGCACAATCTTAAAGGGAGTGCTCCTAATCTCAGCTTGTTACCTGTATAAAAGACACCTGTCCACAGAAGCAATCAATCAGATTCCAAACTCTCCACCATGGCCAAGACCAAAGAGCTCTCCAAGGATGTCAGGGACAAGATTGTAGACCTACACAAGGCTGGAAAGGGCTACAAGACCATCGCCAAGCAGCTTGGTGAGAAGGTGACAACAGTTGGTGCGATTATTCGCAAATGGAAGAAACACAAAAGAACTGTCAATCTCCCTCGGCCTGGGGCTCCATGCAAGCTCTCACCTCGTGGAGTTGCAATGATCATGAGAACGGTGAGGAATCAGCCCAGAACTACACGGGAGGATCTTGTCAATGATCTCAAGGCAGCTGGGACCATAGTCACCAAGAAAACAATTGGTTAACACACTACGCCATGAAGGACTGAAATCCTGCAGCACCCGCAAGGTCCCCCTGCTCAAGAAAACACATATACAGGCCCGTCAGAAGTTTGCCAATGAACATCTGAATGATTCAGTGGAGAACTGGGTGAAAGTGTTGTGGTCAGATGAGACCAAAATCGAGCTCTTTGGCATCAACTCAACTCGCCGTGTTTGGAGGAGGAGGAATGCTGCCTATGACCCCAAGAACACCATCCCCACCGTCAAACATTGAGGTGGAAACATTATGCTTTGGGGGTGTTTTTCTGCTAAGGGGACAGGACAACTTCACTGCATCAAAGGGACGATGGACGGGGCCATGTACCGTCAAATCTTGGGTGAGAACCTCCTTCCCTCAGCCAGGGCATTGAAAATGGGTCGTGGATGGGTATTTCAGCATGACAATGACCCAAAACACACAGCCAAGGCAACAAAGGAGTGGCTCAAGAAGAAGCACATTAAGGTCCTGGAGTGGCCTAGCCAGTCTCCAGACCTTAATCCCATAGAAAATCTGTGGAGGGAGCTGAAGGTTCGAGTTGCCAAACGTCAGCCTCGAAACCTTAATGACTTGGAGAAGATCTGCAAAGAGGAGTGGGACAAAATCCCTCCTGAGATGTGTGCAAACCTTGTGGCCAACTACAAGAAACGTCTGACCTCTGTGATTGCCAACAAGGGTTTTGCCACCAAGTACTACGTAATGTTTTGCAGAGGGGTCAAATACTTATTTCCCTCATTAAAATGAAAATCAATTTATAACATTTTTGACATGCGTTTTTCTGGATTTTGTTGTTGTTATTCTGTCTCTCACTGTTCAAATAAACCTACCATAAAAAGTATAGACTGATCATTTCTTTGTCAGTGGGCAAACGTACAAAATCAGCAGGGGATCAAATACTTTTTTCCCTCACTGTAGGTGTTCGAAAACTTTTGACAGGTTGTGTGTGTGTGTGTGTATATAAATAAATAAAAAATATAATGTGATGTATAGACAATATGGACAGTATATGGATAGAATATGTAATATATCTGAAGAATAGTATATGTACAGCAATAGTTAAATAGGAAAGACTAGGGACTAGGGTGATGCAGACTGAAGGGAAATGCTGACACCAGATGAGGCATACATACAAGGTGGTCTTGTGGTCCCTGTAGCGGCCGCTGCGCTCCCTGCTCCGAGTGCGGCTCCGGCGCCTCTCCCTGCTACGGCTCAGCTTTCGCTCGCGGCTGCGGCTCCGCTTGTGATCATGGCTCTTCTTGCGATCCCGGCTTTTGCTTCTCTTCCTGTCTCTGCTTCGGCTCCTGCTCTTCTTTTTCCTGAGGAAAGAGAATGACCCAATGTGAGGCAGTGAATAAGTAAAGACCAATAAACAAATAATAAATAGATGAGCGTTGCTTGTTACCAAACCATGTCCGTTTCACTTACTTCTTGCTGCGTTCCTCGTGGCCATTGGGACTACTGTGCTTGATCTCATCCTAAGCAAGGTCGATAGAACAGCATGAGGACGAAGAGGCAACATTTCAAGTTGTCAGGATAAAGGGGGGTGGGCACAAGAAAAAATATAATAATTGTTTAAAAAAGTATTCATACAAATGTTTACATGGGGACTGAGATCTACAGTTAGGGGCTTTTAAAGAGTGTCTATTCACTTTTTTTCTCTCTCCAATCATACTGTCGATTAGCCATTTAGCATATAGTCAAGCTCTATGAGTACGAATCCAAATCCAAACTCATATCTCTGGTGCATTTTTCTTAAGCAGCCCCATCCAGATCAGTACCAAGGCTATTCTTTGCCTAAGACCAATGTGGCCATGCTAGCAGCCAGACACTGATCGATTTCCAGTGGGGGGGATGCCATTCCAGTGATCTTCACCCATTTTCGTTCGTGGACTGTAAGAGCTCGATGCCACCTCTGTCACACATCTCGCCCTGAAGCAAACAGGGATTCACACTGCTTAGTAATATATACTACCAAGGAAAGTCATGATTAAATAAGATGAGGTATATGAAACTCCCTAGTTGGTACTGTAGCCAGCAGCATAGAAGAGTTCCATGTTTCCTACTGTTTGTACTCTATTAAATACAGGCCTTACATCAAATGGTGGCAAATATAATGGACTTATGGGAAATAAACATTTACTCCTCGTGAACGAGCATGCAAAATAATTACATTCTGGTCAACCATGGAGAAAAAGCAATTTTCAGTTATACAGGTTATGTAAAATGTATAACTTGTTGGTGAAAACAGTGTAACGACAAAATTCACACTGCCTCCCTCACTATAATGAGAAATAAGAGTGTACATTGTGAACTAACATACCTGCTTCCTGTACTTAACCATACATATCTCATGTATTAATTGTAAAGGACATGCAATCATGTATTTCAATAATGTGTCAGCTTACCAAACCTTTATCATTACAGAGGCAGATTTTTACTAAGAGGTCTTAAATCAATAGCGGGGTAAAGTCAATGTGGAACAACCACATCATGCATACAGATATTTGAAAACTGTCTTCATGGTATGTCTTTTAAATTAAAGGAATTGGCTTCTCGACCAGGCCCAATGGGCATTTGTGTTTTTCTAATCGACCTGGCTAACGTTCTGCAGTTTATCACAAAGCAGAAAGGCTGTATGTGAGATGAAACAGTCAGATGGTTTGGCCTACAATCATCTGTCATGTAGGCTAAAATATGGAACACCTCACATAGAACCCTGGATTCTACTTTTTGACAAACTCCTCAGACATGCGACAGTCATTGTTTGACAGCTGTCAAATTCTTGGTTACCACCCACATGCTCAGAAGATGGTTTAGCGCATTTACTGATGGGATTCGGCATAGTCCATGCACAAAACATTAGCCCAGTTATTAAGATAAAGGAGAATGTCAAGTAGGCCTGATCAAGAACCCAGTTCCTCAATTAAATGTTATTGTGCATCCACTGCATTCGCCTTGTAGACTGGCCATTCGATGACCACAATTATGTTACCAAGGGAACCACAGTACAGCAATACATTGGGCAATTACTACCTTCATTTTTTGACAGATCACACTGGAATTCATGGAAGTAGAGGTGAGATATCGTTAGGCAAGTCTACAAAAAGAGATAGATGGGCATTTATTCATAGTCTGAAAAGGAACTGCAGCATCACATCAGAAACACACATAGAATAGGCTAGAAATGTAGGGTCTGGGGCAAAGAGGTGACATAGACCACCACAGTATTTACAATAAAGTGCATTACAAACAAACAATACCTTAGGCCAAAACCCACCTTTCGATATGGAGCCTCAAGCATTGCTTCTATGTCAAAGTCATCAGCCATGATGATTGAGCACTAGAGGGAAAGGTAATAAACATAATTTAAACTGTCATAATAACGTTAGCTACAACGTCTTACAAGAACCGTGGATTTCCAACCCGTTGATGCAAGGGTTTGTTTGCATTCATTGTACCACAACTTGCTATCTACGCTAACATTAGCTAGCCAACACATGCTAGCTAATTAGCGAACAGTTACGTTTCAGTTCACCCCACAAAACATTACTAGCTAGTTAAATCTGACCGGCCTGTGTGTTTACCATACCGGCTGGTCACTATGGGCTTATCTTGGTTAGATAACATGTTGTTCATTTGACCAAAGACCCTATTTGACTTGACCACGTTAGCTAGCTATCACAGATGAACAGCAGGTAACTACTGTAGTTATCTATGACCACAAACGAAGTAAATAGCTACTGTACTAGAATACTGTATGTACGTTAATTAATTAGTTATACAACGTATTACGAAAGACAACGTTCAGATATGCAAGTAGCGAACATTAAGTACCTGAAATTTGCGGAAAATGTTTCCGCTCAAACAAGACCAACTCGTGAGGTTCTTGTAGCTTGTTCTTGTTGCAACAAGCAAACAGTAGCTAGCAGGCCTCTCGTTTGGAAGCTACGAATACTTCTTCTTCCACGATGCTAATAGCAAACTAACAATGGCTACATGTAAATTCAAAGACGATTTTTTTATATCCCAAAGCAGTATACACTGTATAAAAAGACAACAATCTAAACAACCTTGATGTGTTGAGAAAAATGTATGAGTGCGAAAAACTGTTGTTGCGTCTTTTTCACCGTGCCCATCTAATGGCGCAGGCTGTAAATAATCGGTGGTCGCGTTCCAGGCTTAATACATTGCAGTCGCATGCCAGATCTAAAGGACAGTATATATCAATATATTGTATATACATGAATGGACAAAGCAATGACTGTATATATCAAGGGACAAAGCAATGACTGTATATATCAAGGGACAAAGCCATCGATCGCGTGACACCATTGATTCCTATGTGAAGACTTAATAGAGTACCACAGTATGAGTCATAAAACCTAAAGATCAAACAAGGAAATGGTTCCAATCGTTTTTCCACCATTCATTTTTCCCATAGGGGATTTTAGAAACTGACTGTGTTTCGTGTAGGCTTCCCCTGGCGTGACGTTTTGATAACCATGTATATCTCTTTAGGACAATATTACTTTTATCGATACATTTGCCTGTATTTACCCCCCGAAAATGAAATACTAATTAGCTGCTAATGTGGCTGTCATAAAGAGCTACAAATGCCATGATAATAATAATAATAATGATGAACTGGATGGGACTGCCGATCGAGGCAAAGGTAAGAATCTCTGGATTAACTATCTAATGTTAGTTAAATGAAGTAATGAATAAATTAACTAAATTTCTTTAAATGGACAATTCTGTGAACTGTCTTGTGCAAGTTTTAAATTGACACAATACCTGTTAGCAAAGGTGTCAGCTAGAGATGATGTGCAGGAGCTTGCAGGGATTTGTAGTCTTGCATAATGTCTACTTTGATGCTAATTACCATTTTCGAATCTGAGAGTAAATAGAGCCAAATATATTAATAAAAGTCACATTGTCCAAGAGAGATTTACATCGTTATCAAAACTTCACGCCAGGGTAAGCCTACACAAAACACATACTTTATTTCAAGTGTTTCTAAAATTCCCTATGGGAAAAAATGAATGGTGGAAAAATGATTGGAACCATTTCCCTGTTTGACTGCAAGGTATTATGACACCTCCAATGTGGGGCTCTATAGCGAGAGCTCACCAGCTTGTAGTCCTAAAAAACAGAAATGAGTTACCTCTGGTTCGTTCAGCCATTCCTATGGGGTTTTGGGATAAACGCAGAACATAAGGTCTGTTAACACAGGCTTAGGAGACCTCATAAGTTTTGTTCTATGAGATAATTACGGTCAGTTAAGATGACATTTATGAATTATGAAGCCTTTATGTGCTTGTTTTGATTACATAAATGCTTCAAAATTCACAAAAAGCGACGTTAACTGATGAAGATGATCTCATAGAACAAAATGTATCAGATCTCCTAAGCCTGTGTTTACCACAGACCTTAGATGAAGGCCGTGTTCCAGAGCTTAGGCGTTACTTACGGCTGACAGATCTTACAACACCTGGATAGGTATTTTAAGTATCAGCTAACCACATCATATGTTATAGCAATTTGTCGGTCGATGACAGTCGATTATGGAGGGTATAGGGCAGTATTTCCCAAACTCGGTCCTCGGGACCCCAAGGGGTGAACATTTTGGTTTTTGCCCTAGCGCGACACAGCGATTCAACTAATCATCAAGCTTTGATTATTTGAATCAGCTGTGTAGTGCTAGGGGAAAAAAACAAAATGTTCACCCCTTCGGGAAAGACCCTCCGATAACCACTTCAACCAAGCAAGCGACACTGCCAGCTTCAGAGCGAAGTGAAATCCCATAAGGCACTGCGTTATTTTTAAATTGGCGTAATTTCACACAAAAGAGAGGCCTGTCTAATTATATGCCAGGTGCATTTGTTTATATCAGATTTCGACACTTGACAAATATAAATGATGAAATACCTTCCAAATTAAATCTTTCATTTATAAACTGAGGTTTATATCTTGTAGAACTAAAGAGGCATTTGTTCATTTGAATTTCAAGCTTGTTTTATTATTTACAAGTGGAACATTAATTATATCATTCAAGTCAGGAGTGTGTCCTGAAGTTGATGGGTTTATTGATCCTATCGCTACTCTCTGGAAGTCACCCTGGGAGGTTTGTTAGCAACACGTGACAACGGAGGGCCCTCTGACCGAGTTGGTTTGGGATTACTGCAGGCTGCCATTTATTCTTCCAAGATGGCGTAGCAGTGCGGTTGTGTATTCTGTAGTGTGCTCGTGTAAATAGCCAGTTTTCTTGTTTTTTGTCTATTTCGTATATATTTCTCAATCTCACTTTTCATCCTTCAACTAAATATACTTTCCTGTAACCCGCCTCACCCAATGTGGAATGGATTCTATTATTTCTTATACCTTTTTATCTAGAACCTCCGGCCGAAACTAGCCAGCTAACTAGCTACTTGCTAACTACTTGCTATTAGCCACCTTTAGCAGTTTTCACCATTGTCCGCGGCCTGCACTATCTACCAGCCAGCTCTAGCCTGGAAAATTATCGGCCAGTCTGCACAGCGCGCTATCGACCTAGAACATATTGGATTTTCTGCCGGATCCACTGAATCACTGGACCTTAACACCGGATCATCGCAACTAGCTAGCTGCAACCGAATGGATGTTGTTGTTGGCTAATCACCACTGTCCCGAAGCAAGCCCCAGTTAGCCTTGAGCTAGCCTCGAGCCAGGCCCATCTCCCGGCTATCTACCTCTCTGTCAACTGGACGGGACCTCCTAGTGTCGACACAGAGCCTCGCCGATCCATCACGACTGGTTTGCCGACGTAATCGTCTGATGTGGTTTCAACAGGCTTCCCGTTGCGACGACCATGAAGATCCATCTTCTAGCCCCGGCCCGCTAGCACACGCAATTAACAGCCGTGCCTCCTGCTCACTTGTGCATTAGCAGCCATCGAATTGCTCACTGTACACTGGACCTTATGATCACTCAGCTACATAGCTGATGCCTGCTGGACTGTTCCTTTACACGGTACCCCATCCTGTTTATCTGTCCTGTTTATCTGTTTAGCCTCAGCCCAAACTTTCGTCGCCATTACCAGTTGTTGTCTTAGCTCTCTCGAATAACACCTGTGATTGCTTTATGCCTCTCTCCCATGTCAATATGCCTTGCCTATTGCTGTTTCGCTTAGTTCTTATTATACAATTTCACTGTAGAGCCCCCAGTCCCGCTCAACCTGCCTCAGATAGCTCCTTTGTCCCACCCCCCATACACGCAGAGACCGGCTCAATCGGTGTCTCCAGTGATGCTATCTCTTTCATAGTTACCCAACGCTTAGGTTTACCTCCACTGTGCTCATTTGCTTCCATATCCTTGTCTGTACATAATGCCCTGAATCTATTCTACAACGCCCGGAAATCTGCCCCTTTTATTCTCTGTACCCAACGCACCAGAAGACCAGTCCTTAAAGCCTTTAGCCATATCCTTATTCTACTCATCCTCTGTTCCTCTGGTGATGTAGAGGTTAACCCAGGCCCTGTAGCCCCTAGTATCACTCCTACTCCCCAGGCGCTATCATTTGTTGACTTCTGTAACTGTAAAAACCTTGGTTTCTTGCATGTTAACATCAGAAGCTTCCTCCCTAAGTTTGAGTTATTCGCTGCGTTAGCACACTCCGCTAACCCTGATGTTCTAGCAGTGTCTGAATCCTGGCTTAAGGAAGGCCACCAAAAACTCAAATTTCCATCCCCAACTACAACATTTTCCGTCTAGATAGAACTGCCAAAGGGGGCGGAGTTGTAATCTACTGTAGAGATAGCTTGCAGAGCTCTATCATACTACCCAGGTCTGTGCCCAAACAGTTTGAGCTTCTACTTCTAATAATCCACCTTTCCAGAAATAAGTCTCTCACTGTTGCCTCTTGCTACAGACCCCCCTCAGCCCCCAGCTGTGCCGTGGACACCATATGTGAATTGATTGCTGATATAGAAATTAAAATATATACAGGTTAAAAGTAATGACTAAATGTTCCACCCTTAAATATAGTTGTGAAATGTTCTTGTTTTAAGTATGATTAGTACTTTCTTAGTAGCGACTAATTATTATACTCCGAAACTGTGTGAGATGTGTTAGAATCTACGACCTGGTAATGTGTGAGTGTAGGACCAGTAAAGATTATGACATTGTGATACTATTTAGCAATGTGAGTAGGAGTTAGACCGGACGGCGAAGAAGAAGGAGAACTGTTAAACATGGTGCAGAATATTGTGAGAACAGCGATAACTGAGGAGGCAGGGAGTAGACTATGATAAGAACATGTATGTGTGTGTGTGTATGTGTGTGTGTGTGTGTATGTATGTGTGTGTGTGTGTGACCTGATGGTCAGGAGAGCAGGTTTCAAGTGGAAAACTACAACCCGCCTACAGAGGGGTGGGATTTCTGTATGACATTGTATAAAAGTATTGTACGACCATTTTCTGGCAGAATTCTCAATGAATAAAGGCCTGACTATGCAGACCGGGACTCTGTCCGTTTCTTGATCCAAAAGCCTTACAACCTTATGGGAGACGCACAGAGACACTGAAATAGTTAGTTAATACATTCTCTTAACAATTGCCCCCATCTATCCTCAGAGTTCATACTGCTTGGTGACCTAAACTGGGATATGCTTAACACCCCGGCCGTCCTACAATCTAAACTAGATGTCCTCAATCTCACACAAATTATCAAGGAACCTACCAGGTAAAACCCAAATCCATAAACATGGGCACCCTCATTGATATCATCCTGACTAATTTACCCTCTAAATACACCTCCGCTATCTTCAACCAGGATCTCAGCGATCACTGCCTCATTGCCTGTGTCCGTAATGGGTCCATGGTCAAACGGCCACCCCTCATCACTGTCAAATGTTCTGAAAGAGCTGCACAATCTGGACCCCTACAAATCAGCTGGGCTAGACAATCTGGACCCTTTCTTTCTAAAATTAGCTGCCGAAATTGTAGAATCCCCTATTACTAACCTGTTCAACCTCTCTTTCGTATCATCTGAGATCCCCAGAGACTGGAAAGCTGCCATGGTCATCCCCCTCTTCAAAGGGGGTGTTACTCTAGATCCAAACTGTTACAGACCTATATCCATCCTGCCCTGCCTTTCGAAAGTATTTGAAAGCCAAGTTAACAAACAGATCACCGACCATTTCGAATCCCACCGTACCTTCTCCGCTATGCAATCTGGTTTCCGAGGTGGTCATGGGTGCACCTCAGCCACGCTCAAGGTCCTAAACGATATTATTTACATTTACATTTTAGTCATTTAGCAGACGCTCTTCTCCAGAGCGACTTACAGTTAGTGATTACATATTTTTTATTTTTTTATTTTTTTATACTGTCCCCCCGTGGGAAACGAACCCACAACCCTGGCGTTGCAAACGCCATGCTCTATCAACTGAGCTACATCCCTGCCGGCCATTCCCTCCCCTACCCTAGACGACGCTGGGCCAATTGTGCGCCGCCCATGAGTCTCCCGGTCGCGGCCGGCTGCGACAGAGCCTGGATTCGAACCAGGATCTCTAGTGGCACAGTTAGCACTGCGATGCAGTGCCTTAGACCACCGCGATCGATAAAAGACAGTACTGTGCAGCCGTCTTCATCGACCTGGCCAAGGCTTTCGACTCTGTCAATCACCGCATTCTTATTGGCAGACTAAATAGCCTTGGTTTCTCAAATGACTGCCTCGCCTGGTTCACCAACTACTTCTCAGATAGAGTTCAATGTGTCAAATCGGCGGGCCTGTTGTCTGGACCTCTGGCAGTCTCTATGGGGGTGCCACAGGGTTCAATTCTCAGGCCGACTCTATTCTCTGTGTATATCAATGATGTTGCTCTTGCTGCTGGTGACTCTCAGATCCACCTCTACGCAGACGACACCATTTTGCATACATCTGGCCCTTCATTGGACACTATCTTAACAAACCTCCAAACGAGCTTCAATGCCATACAACACTCCTTCCGTAGCCTCCAACTGCTCTTAAACGCTAGTAAAACTAAATGCATGCTCTTCAATCGAACGCTGCTTGCACCCGCCCCACCCAACTAGAATCACTACTCTCGGCGGGTCTGACTTAGAATATGTGGACAACTACAAATACCTAGGTGTCTGGTTAGACCGTAAACTCTCCTTCCAGACTCACATTAAGCATCTCCAATCCAAAGTTAAATATAGAATTGGCTTCCTATTTCGCAACAAAGCCTCCTTCACTCATGCTGCCAAACATGCCCTCGTAAAACTGACTATCCTACCGATCCTTGACTTTGGCGATGTCGTTTACAAAATAGCCTCAAAAACTCTACTCAGCAAATTGGATGTAGTCTATCACAGTGCCATCCATTTTGTCACCAAAGCCCCTTATACTACCCACCATTGTGACCTGTACGCTCTCGTTGGCTGGCCCTCACTACGTATTCGCCGCAAAAACCCACTGGCTCCAGGTCATCTATACATCAATGGTAGGCACAAATCCCGTCTTATCTTAGCGCTTGGTCAACATAGTTAACACCCACCGTAGTATGAGCTCAGCAGGTATATCTCACTGGTCATCCCAAAGCAAAAACCTCCTTGGCAGCCATTCCTTCCAGTTCTCTGCTGATTAATGGACCGGCCACAAACTGGCAAAAATCTCTGAAGCTGGAGACTCTTATCTCCTCACTAACTTTAAGCATCAGTTGTCGAGCAGCTTTACCGATCACGGAAACTGTACACAGCCCATCTGTAATTAGCTCACACCAACTACTCATCCCATATGTTATTCATTTTGTCATTTGCACCGAGTATCTATTTGCACATTATCTTTCTGCACATTTATCCTTAGTGTTAATATTAAATTGTAATTATTTGCACTATGGCCTATCGATTGTCTTACCTCCATAACTTACTACGTGAGGAAAAAAGTATTTGATCCCCTACTGATTTTGTACTTTTGTCCACTGACAAAGACATGATCAGTCTATAATTTAAATTTTAATGGTTGGTTTATTTGAACAGTGAGAGACAGAATAACAACAAAAAAATCCTGAAAAAACGCATGTCAAAAATGTCATAAATTGATTTGCATTTTAATGAGGGAAATAAGTATTTGACCCCCTCTCAATCAGAAAGATTTCTGGCTCCCAGGTGTCTTTTATACAGGTAACGAGCTGAGATTAGGAGCACACTCTTAAAGGGAGTGCTCCTAATCTCAGTTTGTTACCTGTATAAAAGACACCTGTCCACAGAAGCAATCAATCAATTAGATTCAAAACTCTCCACCATGGCCAAGACCAAAGAGCTCTCCAAGGATGTCAGGGACAAGATTGTAAACCTACACAAGGTTGGAATGGGCTACAAGACCATCGCCAAGCAGCTTGGTGAGAAGGTGACAACAGTTGGTGTGTTTATTCGCAAATGGAAGAAACACAAAATAACTGTCAATCTCCCTCGGCCTGGGGCTCCATGTAAGATCTCACCTCGTGGAGTTGCAATGATCATGAGAACATTGAGGAATCAGCCCAGAAATACACGGGAGGATCTTGTCAATGATCTCAAGGCAGCTGGGACCATAGTCACCAAGAAAACAATTGGTAACACACTACGCCGTGAAGGACTGAAATCCTGCAGCGACCGCAAGGTCCCCCTGCTCAAGAAAGCACATGTACAGGCCCGTCTGAAGTTTGCCAATGAACATCTGAATGATTCAGAGGAGAACTAGGTGAAAGTGTTGTGGTCAGATGAGACCAAAATCGAGCTCTTTGGCATCAACTCAACGTGTTTGGAGGAGGAGGAATGCTGCCTATGACCCCAAGAACACCATCCCCACCGTCAAACATGGAGGTGGAAACATTATGCTTTGGGGGTGTTTTTCTGCTAAGGGGACAGGACAACTTCATCGCATCAAAGGGACGATGGACAGGGCCATGTACCGTCAAATCTTGGGTGAGAACCTCCTTCCCTCAGCCATTGAAAATGGGTCGTGGATGGGTATTCCAGCATGACAATGACACAAAACACACGGCCAAGGCAACAAAGGAGTGGCTCAAGAAGAAGCACATTAAGGTCTTGGAGTGGCCTAGCCAGTCTCCAGACCTTAATCCCATAGAAAATCTGTGGAGGGAGCTGAAGGTTCGAGTTGCCAAACGTCAGCCTCGAAACCTTAATGACTTGGAGAAGATCTGCAAAGAGGAGTGGAACAAAATCCCTCCTGAGATGTGTGCAAACCTGGTGGCCAACTACAAGAAACGTCTGACCTCTGTGATTGCCAACAAGGGTTTTGCCACCAAGTACTAAGTCATGTTTTGCAGAGGGGTCAAATACTTATTTCCCTCATTAAAATGCAAATCAATTTATAACATTTTTTACATGCTTTTTTCTGAATGTTTTTGTTGTTATTCTGTCTCTCACTGTTCAAATAAACCTACCATTAAAATTATAGACTGATCATGTCTTTGTCAGTTGGAAAACGTACAAAATCAGCAGGGGATCAAATACTGACTGACTCCTTATAGCTCCTAATGATTTTAAGCAGTGTGTTGGCAACATTACTTATTGTCCAACAGGTGGAGGGAAATCCCTATATGAGTTTACATTCCTTTGAGCTCCTAAATGGGGTTAGAGTTAAGGTAAGGGGTTTGTGGTTAAGGCTAGGTTTTGAATAGGATTGTGTTTTAGGCCTGTGCATTGGAAAGCAAACTAGCTGACCTATCTCCTATTCATCCCCCTCCCTGTAACAACACATCTGTTATTTTGAATGTAATACTACTCCAATGTTATTGGTCACATACAATGTCCTCAGAGCCTGAGGAGGAGTCAGAGGGAGGAGAATCCTGGTGTTCAGGGGCCTCAGGAGGGTCACGGTCGGTGGCGGCCGGACTGGATGACCCAGACCTGGGAGCGTCAGCTGGATCACCTGACTGGGCTGCCGCAGAGGTGTAGGATGAGGCGACTGGCGGAGGTGGGTCGGGGACGTTGACAGTGGGGTCAATATCCTCCGCCTCCTGAAATCCCTCGTCCTCCAAGGGTCCCTCGGTGGCGTAGTCCTCGTCCGGAGTGTCAGGGTCCAAGCTGATGGCCTGCAGCACTTTGTTGGTCTGGGCGTACAGGTACTCAACACCAATGAGTTCCCCTGCGATGTAGTGGGAGAGCACACAAAGCTTAATGACATAATGTATCACACGTTTACACAAACCTATGACAAGATCAACGTACCTGTGTACACGCCAGGCTTGGTGAAGTCCTCAACCTGACCTGAGCCATGCACCCTTTGACTGAGCTGGTTGAGGGAATGCTGCAGGTGGCCACTGTAGCAGAGCAGAGGCTGCTTCTGTCGTTCCACCTCGCCAGTCCATCCAGGAGGAAATGCATTCCATTGGCACTGGTGCCTAAGAGTAGAATAATGGGTGATGAGAAGGTGAACACAACTCACTTTAGTGTCAATGATTTCACTGGTAACATTTCAAAAATGATAGTTCTATAGTTGTAATTACCTGGGATGAACCGGTTGAGGTGGTACCACTCCAGAGATGTGGAGCTGCGTGTGTAGCAATATTCCGGCAGCTTCACTCGCCCTTCGTGATTGGCTTGCCGGTGTCTGTGTACAATTGTACACCGGGAGGGTCTTGGATGCAGCAGAGGTGACGACTCTGCTCTTGCCAGATTTCCCGGAGTCCAGCAGTGGAATGCCCAGGGTGTTGTGCCCTTTCTCACTGTTGAAGGTCCCCAGCATGTCCATGAGGAGGAGTTCCGTCTCTACAGCTCCATGCGTACGGCGACGGCAGTGAAGAGTCATCTCCCTCCTCCCCAAGTGGCTGTGGACCTTTTTTTTTTCATACTGGCCCCCCGTGGGAATCGAACCCACAACACTGCCGTTGCAAATGCCATGCTCTACCAACTGAGCTACATCCCTGCCGGCCATTCCTTCTCCTACCCTGGACGACGCTGGGCCAATTGTGCACCGCCCCATGGGTCTCCCGGTCGCGGCCGGCTATGACAGAGCCTGGATTCGAACCAGGATCTCTAGTGGCACAGCTAGCACTGCGATGCAGTGCCTTAGACCACTGCTTCACTACAATAGTTTTTTCCCTCTGCGCCATGTCGTTACAGCACACCATCAATCTCCCATCTCTTAACACTTTAGCATTAACAACTTCACCAATCAACTATTTTATCACAGCCGTCAACCTTATCGGACTCATCGACCCAACTCCCCCTTCCTCCCTAAACTTCATAATCACTTTATGCTCCTCCTCACCTCCATGTTCCTCTCGTGTCTTATCTTGCCCTTCCTCTGCACTTTCTACCGCCGAACATCCGCTAGCGTTGGAAGCTAGGTTGCTCTCCTCGCTCCCCTTCATACCCCTACTCCATTTCTCTCCCGCTTTATTTTTCTCTTTCTTACTCCCTCCTTTATTTGTACCACTATGTTCCATACTTGCTTCACTTTCCTCTCCATCACTATCTCCTACCATCTCTGACCCATTCACAGCACGGCCGTGCGGAACCTCCGCCACACCGAGTGTCACGGATTCTGCCGAGGCTGCTCCTCCTCCTTGTTCGGGCAGGCTTCGGCATTCGTCGTCCCCGGAGTACTAGCTGCCACCGTTGAATGTTTCTATGTTTGATTGCTTTTGTCTGTCTATTGCACCTGTGTCCGTTTGTGTCTGATTATTTGTTCTATAAGTTGCCTGTTTTGTATTGGTTAGGTTGTGTGTTGTTTTTTGCATGTCAGTTAGTGCTGCGTGTTTGCTCTGTTTGTTGTTTTGGAGTTTACGCACAGTTTGCGTAATCGCTCGCCTCTGTGTGTTTTTGAGGCCGTTTGTTGTATTTTTGCCTAGTGGTTAACTAGTAAACTTTGTTGGACTAAGCTTCGGTGTCCTGCGCCTGACTTCCACACCACACTTACATCAGCCCTTGACAGAACAACACACCATTATGGAGTCAGCAGGAGCAGCGGCGGCACCCAAGTCGCTGGAGGATCGGATCAGCGACCAAGACACCATGATCCGGCAACTTGGGGCCGCCATGAACGAGGTGTCCAACACTCTACGCCGGTTGGTTACGGGAGAGGTGCCCACGCCTTCGCACACCTTACCATCACCATCGGCCAGTCCTCCTCTCCCAGCACCGGAACCCAGTGGCATTCGGTTCTCGCTCCCGAGGGCATATGATGGTTCTGCAGCCGGGTGTCAGGGGTTCCTCCTGCAGGTGGAACTATACCTGGCCACCATACACCCGGTGCCCTCGGGATACGAGAGCGTCTCTCCGCCCTCATCTCCTGTCTATCCGGCAAGGCGTTGGAGTGGGCCAACGCCGAATGGAGGGGAATAGACGCCGCTACCATCACCTACGCGGAGTTCTCCCGCCGCTTCAGGGCTGTGTTCGATCATCCACCTGAGGGGAAGGTGGCGGGGGAGCGTCTGTTCCACCTCCGACAGGGGAAGAGGAGTGCACAGGAGTTCGCCCTGGAGTTCCGGACTCTAGCGGCGGATGCGGGGTGGAATGAGAGGGCCCTCATCGACCATTACCGGTGTAGCCTACGAGAGGACGTTCGTCGTGAGCTGGCCTGCAGGGACACCAACCTATCCTTTCGACCAGTTGGTGGACATTTCCATCCGTCTCGACACCCTGCTGGCTACCCGCGGACGTCCCGAGTGGGGGTCGTCCATTCCACCCTCCAGCACCTCCGAGCCGATTCCCATGGAGCTCGGGGGTGCTGGCGCTAGGGAGAGGAGGAGAGAGAACCCGAGGGGGGCCGTCCCCTGCACCAACTGTGGCCGTGGAGGACACACTGCGGCTAGGTGCTGGGGAGGGTCTCCTGGGAGAGGGGACAACAGGTCACGCACCGGGGAGTCATTTCAGGTGAGTAGGCGCCCCACTTACCCAGAGCTCTCTGTTGGTCACATGAGTATACCTGTGAGATTTCCACAGGTGGCACCTCATTCCCAGCATAAGGCGCTAGTAGATTCAGGCACAGCTGGGAATTTTGTTGATCGTGAATTTTGTTATAGGCTAGGAATTCCCCTTCGGCCGGTAGAAGCCCCTTTTCCTGTTCATGCCCTAGACAGCCGGCCGCTGGGGTCGGGGTTGATCAGAGAAGTCACAGCACCACTTAAGATGACGACGCAGGGGGGTCATGAGGAGATCATTCAGTTTTATCTGATCGACTCTCCTGCATATCCCGTGGTGCTGGGGCTTCCCTGGTTAAGCGCCCATGATCCTACCATTGCGTGGCAACAGAGGGCTCTTATGGAGTGGTCTGCCCAGTGTGTAGGGAAATGTCTAGGTGTTTCCTTAGGGGCGACCTCGGTGGAGAGTCCGAACCAAGTGCCCGCAATGCGCATTCCCCCTGAATATGAGGATTTAGCACTTGTGTTCAGCAAAACTAGGGCAACACGGCTACCACCTCATAGACAGGGGGATTGTGCGATAGAGCTCCAAACAGGAGCGGCACTTCCGCGGAGCCGTGTGTATCCCCTGTCTCAAGAAGAGACAGCGGCTATGGAGACTTACATAGCCGAGTCCTTGGCACAGGGATACATCAGGTCCTCCACTTCCTCGGTTTCCTTGAGTTTCTTCTTTGTGAAGAAGAAGGACGGGGGTTTGCACCTGTGTATTGATTACCGTAGTCTCAATCAGATCACGGTTAAGTACAGTTACCCTCTTCCTCTGATTGCGACTATGACGGAGTCATTACGCGGAGCGCGGTTCTTCACAAAGTTGGATCTCAGGAGCGCGTACAATCTGGTGCGCATTAGGGAGGGGGATGAATGGAAAACAGCATTTAGCACCACCTCGGGTCATTACGAGTATCTCGTCATGCCATACGGGTTAATGAATGCTCCTTCAGTCTTCCAATCCTTTGTTGACGAGATTTTCCGGGACATGCATGGGCAGGGTGTGGTAGTATACATTGACGACATCCTAGTGTACTCTTCTACCCGAGCCGAGCATGTAGCCCTGGTGCGCCGAGTATTGAGGAGGCTGTTGGAGCATGACTTGTATGTTAAGGCAGAGAAATGCCTGTTTTTCCAGGAGTCCATCTCCTTTTTGGGTTATCGATTGTCCGCGTCTGGTGTGAAGATAGATGTTGACCGTGTGTCGGCCGTGCGTAATTGGCAAACTCCAACCACTGTAAAAGAGGTGCAGCAGTTTTTGGGTTTTGCTAATTACTACCGGAGGTTTATCCGGGGCTTTGGACAGGTGGCAGCTCCCATTACGTCCCTGCTAAAGGGGGGTCCGGTGCGTTTGCAGTGGTCAGCTGAAGCGGACAGGGCATTTGTTAGACTGAAGAACCTGTTCACTTCGGCTCCGGTGCTGGCGCATCCGGACCCCGCTTTACCATTTCAAGTTGAGGTAGACGCGTCCGAGGCCGGAATCGGGGCAATCCTGTCGCAACGGTCCGGCACGCCACCCAAGCTCCGCCCCTGTGCGTTCTACTCTAAGAAGCTCAGCTCGGCGGAGCGTAATTATGACGTAGGGGACAGGGAGCTGTTGGCTGTAGTCCAGGCCCTAAAGGTGTTGAGGCATTGGCTTGAGGGGGCTCAACACCCTTTCCTCATTCTGACTGACCACCGTAACCTGGAGTCCATCCGGGCAGCTAGGAGATTGAACCCTCGTCAGACTAGGTGGAACATGTTCCTGACCCGGTTTGTTTTTAAGATCACATACATCCCAGGGTCCCAGAACGGTAAGGCAGACGCCCTGTCCCGGCGGTATGACACAGAGGAGAGGTCCATCGAGCCTACTCCCATACTGCCGGAGTCTTGTCTGGTGGCTCCGGTGGTGTGGGAGGTCGATGCGGAGATCGAGCGGGCACTGCGTACCGACCCTACTCCCCCCGAGTGTCCTGTGGGGCGGACGTACGTTCCGCTCGAGGTTCGTGACCGCCTTATTTATTGGGCTCATACATCACCCTCCTCTGGACATGCAGGTATTGGCCGGACAGTGCACTGCCTTAGCGTGAAATACTGGTGGCCAACGTTAGCTAGGGATGTGAGGGTTTATGTCTCCTCCTGCTCGGTGTGTGCCCAGTGTAAGGCGCCTAGACATTTGCCCAGGGGAAAGTTACATCCCCTGCCCGTTCCACAACGACCATGGTCCCACCTCTCGGTGGATTTTGTGACCGACCTTCCCCCCTCCCAGGGTAATACCACCATTTTGGTCGTTGTGGATCGGTTTTCCAAGGCCTGTCGTCTCCTCCCAATGCCGGGTCTCCCTACTGCCCTACAGACAGCTGAGGCCCTATTTACCCACGTGTTCCGGAACTATGGGGTCCCCGAGGATATTGTGTCTGACCGAGGTCCCCAGTTCACCTCCAGAGTCTGGGGGGCGTTCATGGAACGCTTGGGGGTCTCGGTGAGCCTTACCTCGGGGTACCACCCAGAGAGCAATGGGCAGGTTGAACGAGTCAACCAGGATGTAGGTAGGTTTCTGAGGTCCTATTGCCAGGGCCTGCCGGAGGAGTGGTCTAGGTATATCCCCTGGGCAGAGATGGCCCAGAACTCTCTCCGCCACTCCTCCACCAATTTAACACCTTTCCAGTGTGTTTTAGGGTATCAGCCGGTCCTGGCACCATGGCACGAGAGCCAGATCGAGGCCCCTGCGGTGGATGAGTGGATTCGGCGCTCGGAGGAGACGTGGGACGCTGCACATGTCCATCTGCAGCGGGCCATCAGTCGACAAAAGGCGAGCGCCGATCGCCACCGCAGTGAGGGACCGGTATACGCACCGGGAGATCGAGTCAGGCTCTCGACTCGAAACCTGCCCCTCCGCCTGCCCTGCCGGAAGCTGGGTCGGCGGTTTGTGGGGCCCTTTAAAGTCCTGAGAAGATTGAACGAGGTGTGTTACAGGTTACAACTGCCTATTGATTACAAGAATATTAACCCCTCGTTCCATGTGTCTCTTCTCAGGCCGGTGGTAGCTGGCCCACTCCAAGAAGATGAGATAGGAGAGACCCCTCCGCCCCCATTGGACATCGAGGGGGCCCCGGCGTACAGGGTCCGGACCATCTTGGACTCGAGGCTCCGGATGAGTGGTCTCCAGTATCTCGTGGAGTGGGAGGGGTACGGTCCGGAGGAATGGTGCTGGGTGCCTAGGAGGGACATCCTAAATCCATCCCTCCTGACTGAGTTCCACCATGGGCATCCCACGCGCCCGGGTCCGCGTCCTCCTGGCCGTCCCCGAGGCCGGGGTCGGCGCACGGCTGGAGCCGCGCGTCAAGGGGGGGGGGTACTGTCACGGATTCTGCCGAGGCTGCTCCTCCTCCTTGTTCGGGCAGTCTTCGGCGTTCGTCGTCCCCGGAGTACTAGCTGCCACCGTTGAATGTTTCTATGTTTGATTGCTTTTGTCTGTCTATTGCACCTGTGTCCGTTTGTGTCTGATTATGTGTTCTATAAGTTGCCTGTTTTGTATTGGTTAGGTTGTGTGTTGTTTTTTGCATGTCAGTTAGTGCTGCGTGTTTGCTCTGTTTGTTGTTTTGGAGTTTACGCACAGTTTGCGTAATCGCTCGCCTCTGTGTGTTTTTGAGGCCGTTTGTTGTATTTTTGCCTAGTGGTTAACTAGTAAGCTTTGTTGGACTAAGCTTCGGTGTCCTGCGCCTGACTTCCACACCACACTTACATCAGCCCTTGACACCGAGTAAGGTTTGTTTTTCAACGATTTAAAAAATCCCTTGTTCTTTAGTGGGGTTTATCGGCGGTTGGCATCCAACGTTATGGTGCATTACCGCCACCTACCGTACTGGAATGTGGGCCAGAGACAGGGAGAAACTAAATCCTACCTGCCAACCCAGTTTCTCTTAAAAAATATAACAAAATATTTGAGACTATATCTAATGGCGTTCTGCTCAATATACTCTTTAAACTAATTTCCTGTATCCCCTTCTCCCTCATACTAAATCTCATCCTCTCTTTTTCCCTCTGATACTGCCCACACTGTAGCAATACATGCTCCACAGTCTCTATTTCCTGTCAATAATCACTCTTTCCTGTTGGATGCTTTCCTATCACGTTTAATGTCTTATTCAACTGGCTGTGTCCCACCCTTAATCTTGTAAAAAAAATAGCCTCCTCTCTTCTGTCCCTTCCTGCCATCCTCCCCTCCCCAACTTTCCTCTGTACTTGAAATAAATGCATTCCCTTACTATTTATATTCCACTGCTCCTGCCATCTCTGCACCATCACTGTATACATCAGTCTTTTTGCCTCTGCCTTGCTCATTGACACTTCAACATCAACATCCCCACTACTAAGTGCTTGTTTAGCCTGTTCATCTACCACCTCTTTCCCCTCCACCTCCCACATGGGCTGGAACCCAAGTAAATCTTATCTGAATATCCATCTGTTTAATCCTGCCATGGGTTTGTAGCACCTCATAAAGCAGGTCTTATCTGCTACGTGAGCTAAAGGACTGGAGACTCATTAACACTGCACATGAATCAGAGCAAATAACTACTCTGTCTGACTTAACTTCCTCCAACCACTGCAAGGCCAACAGTATGGCCACCAGCTCCGCCGTATATACAGCCAGATGATCTGTATTACGTTTCCTGACTTCCACCCCACATTCCTGCACTAAAAATGCTGACCCACTACGTCCTGTCCTTGGATCTTTTGAACCATCTGCGTAAATGGCCTCAAAATCCTGATACACAGTTTCCAGATGTCTCTTAAAGAAATCAGCTGGATCAACACCCTCCTAGTCTTTCTGTAGTCTCTCCAACACTTCTAGATCAACTATTGGAGATGGGAGTAGCCATGGTGGATTTACAGGAATAACTACCGTTGGACTAAACTCCCTTCCATACAGTCCCATCTCCTTCGCCTGGGCATTACCCACCCACCCAAAGCTATGTTTGGTTGTTGTTTTTTAATTGGGGTTTTCAAATAAAAAACAACACACCTAGTATGATGTTTATAAAGGGTTGTTGTTTCAATTTTGGGGGGGTTTCAGCAGGTCAAGGGTGATAGGTCTTGGAGGAGCACGCACAGTGAATTTTATGGAGTTTTTCGGTTTTGGCTGACTTTGGGGTATATATGATTTCTTATGAGAATGAATGTCATGAGGACTTAATGAACACTTGGGATAAGTAACATTTGTGAAATATTTAGAATGATGGTAATGTTTGGTATACTATGGGATGGAACAGTTCGTTGAATACTTTCAATTGCCTCTGAACTCTGTTTTAACTTCCTGGTGTTAATTAATCATCCACACTGGTAAATTCTAAAGGCATGAGAGGAGGACTTTAAGATAATTTATAATACTGTGAAAAGTGTGAAGATTATAATTTGGTAAAAATATATTTGATTTGAACCATAAAATAACAGAAGAGAGAGAGAGAGCTTTCCCTGAATGAGGGATACCTGTTGCTAGTCAATTGTACTAATCTTGGATTACTTTAACAGGATAGAAGTAAATTGAGGTATTATCAAATGTTGTCATTTAAATTTCATTTTTATTATGCTTTAATAAACAACAAGTTGGTATTTGAAACTAAATTAATGCAATGAGCTGCAGTAATCAGAGGAAGGCACAATCTAATGTGAAATAGCTATTACCTAGATCATTTATTTAGTAATGAGATCAGGAAGATAGGAGCAATAAAGAAGCAAGGGACAGTCTCAAAAATAAATAAGGGATGGCAATTAGATGATAAATTACCAATATTACCTAAGTGATTGTTTAGGTAGGTGGTAATATTGACACATGGGCAGTGACATGTGTCAAGAGGAGGGATGGATGGTAGAGCAGATTAGACAACACTTTGTTGCATATGGGATTACTAATTATAAAAAATAAAAAAACTTTTGTTCAAGATGTGTTATCTGTGCTCAAAATAATCACTAGGGCAGACAAAGGCCACCTCAGGGTGAGTATCCTCCGGCTAAGTACCCTTTCCAGCAATTAGAAATTGATTTTATAGAGTTATCACGGAGTGAAGGGAAGAACTTTAGAGTAACCCCAGATAAAGATGGGTTATCCCCCTTTGAGAAAGTGTTTGGAAGACCTTACAGAATGCCACAGTTGGCAGGACCAGACAGGCAGACATAGAACTAGAGAGCACCCTAGCAGAACACGTGAGAAGGTAGTTTATTAACCACACCTGTATGTCAGAGGTTTTGTGCCACACAGGTGAACTAAAGGAGAAGGTGACCCACTCTATATAACCTGGAGACTGGGTGTGGAACCAATCGTTGAGGAAAAAGGATTGAAAGCAGTCACACTGGGAGGGACCATACCAAGTCCTATTGGTAACTGCCTTCGCTATAACAATAGCTGAGAGAGCCACTTGGGTCAACGTTACCCACTGCAAAAAGGTAGGCCCACATACCAACACCGTTAGGGTTCGGGAGTAAACTCTGTTAACGAAGAAACCCTACCCCGACCTTTCATCACTGTGGGGTGTTTATAGAGGTGTGGGTATGGGGAAGTACCATGCAGGTGAGTCAGGGACAGGATTGGGATGGCGGTTTTGGGGATTTTGGGGGACTCTGAGCTGCATCATCATGTTAACGATATTATGGATTAATCCAAGTCAACCTAAACAGGGAAATTATGCACTGATTCGATCTTGTAGAAATACTGAAACCAATAAAGACTATTGGGGGAATGATTATTTTAATAGTTAAAGTCAGTTTAGGACAAGATGGGGGATTCAAGATACCATTCGACTTCTTCCATGAAGAGATAGGAGGTTTTGGAGGTTTTGGGGGCTTTGGTAAGAAGGGGGCATGTACAAGAAAGTTAGGTCCTAGAAGGTATGGTAAATACATTTGCACTGGGGAACGCTCATGTCTTTGGGCAAGGGTGTTTAAACATACCTGGGGAACATACTATGAGAATGGAATGGACGCAGTACACCGATGGGGAATTAAACAAACCCATGATAAATGTAAAACGGAACTGGTGATTACGGTAAAGTCAATTATGCAAGATGACATAGCAAGGAACTATTGGGCCTGTGTTGATGATTTCGGGCAGATATATGTTTGAGGTTCATTTTTCAGGAGAAAAATGAATCTTCCACATCCGAGACAGATCAGCTGGTAGATCCAATGTTATCACTAGAGGTATCAAAAAACGTGTCTAATACCCCTTGGAAGGCCCTCAGAAGGAATCCTAAATAGCACTAAACCACCAAGGGTAGAATATTTCCTCTTGCAGGAAATGAACCAAGGAGAAGTAGAAGGAATTTCAAATGAGAACTTTTGGGTAAGGTGGATGAACTACACAGCTAGGGTGTTGGATCAAACTAATTGTTATGCCTGTTCAACAGGTAGGCCAACCCTTGTAACTGCACCTATGCCTCAGACCATGTTCTCTTGTGTGATAGATTTGGGATCAAACCAAACCTCACCTAATTGTTCTGATATTAAAATAACCACTCTTAAAAAGGATAATACTAAGGCAACCCAATTCACCATGAACCCCGGAGATTATCAATGTTATAGACACCAAAGTAATGCGAATCACAGATCAAATTGGAGAAGGGTTTACAACAACGTTTTTCTGGTGGGTTACAATTAATACAAATGTTGACTGGATTAATTACATCTACAAAGGTTCGTTAATTAGACAGGGGATGCAGTGAATAAAATCTCAGGCCAACTATCCTCCACCTCACTCATGACCTGCAGAATAGTTTGGTTCTCAATATGCTTTTAGCAGAGAAGGGCGGATTTGCAAGATGGTGGGAGGTCATTGTTGTATGTTTATCCCCAACAATACAGCCCCAGATGGTACAGTAACTAGAGCACTGGCAGGTCTCACTGCATTAAGTAAAGAATGGGCTGAGAACTGGGGGGTGAATACATCAATGACTGGTTGGTTTGATAACATGTTTGGAAAATGGAAAGCTATTGTTGCAACTGTTCTGGGTGCAGCTATAGCTTCTATGGGTATGGTTGTTCTTTGTGGATGTTGTCTTATTCCCTGTGTCCGAGGATTGGTGAGCAAGGCGTTGGAGCAGTATCACAGCAGATGGTGAGATACGGCCCAATGCCGGACTCCGACCTAAGGAATGAAGAATATGACCCACCAGGCTTGGTGGTGGATGACGACGATTCAGATAGTTTCAGACTGGATGTTTACCTAGAACTATAAATCTCTAGTTTAAAAGTTATTGTAATGATCTTATTGTGTATTAAAGTCTTGTTTTAAGTATAATGTACTAGTTAACCGATGTTGCAGGATGTGATGAAGCAAATGTTCTTTACTATAGGCTTAGACTGTTGTTTCCTGATAGGTGGTAAACAAGTTAGGTACCATTGCTAAAAAATTACGTTACGCTTTTAATAATGGGGTAACCCTGATGAACCTGTATTGAATGAGACAATTTGTAATGTTTTTATATGCAAACCAACTTATATACTTCAATGAGTGTGGTTCATTTCTATAACAACATATTTTGTATGTGCATAATATTTAGTCAAAGGGTGGATTGATAGATTAATTATTAATAACCAATTATTACACCCTGAAACTGTGTATAATGTGCTAGAAATGTGTGAGTGTAGGACCAGTAAAGACTCAGCAATGTGAAGAAGAGTTAGGCCAGACAAAGCACAAGGAGAAAGGCTACAGGCAACTGAGAAACCAAGATAACTGAGGAATTTAGGGAGTAGAGAAACTGTTAGGCTTGTGTGTGTGTGTGTGTGTGTGTGTGTGTGTGTGTGTGTGTGTGTGTGTGTGTGTGTGTGTGTGTGTGTGTATGTGTTTGACCTAATGGTTAGGAGAGCAGTTTTAAAGTGGAAAACTCCAGCCTGCCTACAGAGGGGAGGGATTTTATTTTGTATGACGTATGAGTATAAAAGATGGACTCTGAAATTGTGATGGCAGAATTCTCAATGAATACAGATCTCTGACTATGCAGATCGGGACTCTGTCCGTTACTTAAATCCCAAAAGACTTACAACCTTTTGGGAGACGCACAGAGACACTGAAATAGTTTGTTTAATAATTCACATAACACCCACCCACCCAAAGCTTGTGTTCAGTCTTCGCTCATGTTCCCAGCATGCCTGTAAAATCCCTTTCGCAGGATGAGACACCCCATGTCCTTGTAGGTTGACCCAGTAATTAATTGCCAGCTGCTGTCTCCTAATCTGCAATGGCATATCCCCCATCTCCACCTGTAATGCAGCCACTGGGGACGTCCGAAACGCCCCACTACATATTCTGAGTCCTTGCCCCTGTTTGACATCTAGCCTTTCCAGTGAGGTCCGGCCTGCCGAACCATATGCTATACTTCCATAGTCTATTACAGATCAGATCAATGCAACATACATGGTCTTCAATGAGGAACACCCAGCCCCCCACTCCTTCCCCGTCAGACAGCGCATCACATTTAGCACCTTCTTACACTTTCCCACCACCCTCTCCAAGTTTCTCCAACATAACCTCAAGCATACCTCATCTCCCACCTTCCTCCTGGTAAAGAACGCTGTTTGAGTTTTCTCTATAGAGAACCTGAATCCCCACATGAATGCCCACCGCTCTACCTCATCAATTGCTTCCTGTATGGCACATTTCTTCCCCTCTTCCATAAGGCACCATCATCTGCAATGAACGACCTCCCTATATCCGGCTGTACCTGAGAGTAAACATCATTGATCATGATTGAGAACAACAGAGAACAAATCACGCTCCCCTGTGGTGTACCATTATCCACCAAGTAGCTGCCTGATAAAGACTTCCCCACCCTCACCTGGATAGCCCTTCCAAAAAGGAAATCCTTTATCCAGTTGTACATTCTTCCTCCTACCCCCATAATATCAAGCTTGATTAACAACCCCTCCTTCCACATCATATCATACGCCTTCTCCACATAAAAAAGACAGCTACAACAGTCTCCTTGTTCACCTGAGCCTTCCTGACCTCTGCTTCTAAGCAGAGCACTGGATCCATAGTTCCCCTACCCTTCCTGAACCCACTCTGATGTGGCATTAATAGCCCTCTGCTCTCCAGGAAGTAAGTTACATTTACATTTTAGTCATTTAGCAGACGCTCTTATCCAGAGAGACTTACAGTTAGTGCATACATTATTTTATTTTTTATACTGGCCCCCTGTGGGAATCAAACCCACAACCCTGACGTTGCAAACGCCATGCTCTATCAACTGAGCTACATCCCTGCCGGCCATTCCCTCCCCTACCCTGGACGACGCATTGCCAATTGTGGATTCGAACCAGGATCTCTAGTGGCACAGCTAGCACTGTGATGCAGTGCCTTAGACCACTGCGCCACTCAGGAGGTAGTTAGCATCTCCGTAATCATACGTTCCATAATCTTACATAATGTAGTAAAGAGGGGTGTTGTTGGGCTTGACCTTGGGGTTTCCCCCTGTTTTCCGGGGGGTTTCTCCCCCCCTTTAAAAAATTTTAAAAATTTTAATTTTTCTTTTTTCCCCCCCCCTGATACTTTCCCCACCCGTACCCCCAATTAAATTGCCCCCAACAGTCTCATTTCCGCCCAAAAATCAATTCCCTTTTGGAAATGTTTTCCTATCACTTTAAGTCTTATCAACGGGCTGTGTCCCACCCCTTAAATTTCTTGAAAAAAAAAAAGCCTCCTTTTTTGCCCCTTCCTGCCATCCTCCCCCCCCAATTTCTTGAAACTTGAAATAAAGGCTTTCCTTACTATTTATTTCCAGCCCCTGCCTCTCGGGCCCCAAATCACTTTTACCCAGTTTTTTTGCCTCCCCTTTGGGGGGCTCATGCCACTTAAAAATAAAATTCCCCAAACTAAGTGCTTGTTTAGCCTGTTCATCAAACCACCTCTTTCCCCCCCAACCCCCCAAGGGTGGAACCCAAGTAAACTTATTTGAAATCCATCTTTTTTAATCCTGCCATGGGTTTTTTAGCCCCTCAAGAGGTTTTTATTGCTACTTTGGCTAAAAAAGGGGAAAACTCATTAAACTGACATGAATAAAAAGAAAATTTAAACTACTTTTTGGCCTTAAACCTTCCCCCCAACCACGGGAAAGGAAACCGTTTTGGCCCCCAGCTCCGCCGAAATTTTACACCCAGATGATCTGTTTTACGTTTCCTGATTCCACCCCCCCTTTTCCATGCAAAAAAATTGGGGCCCCAAGGGTCCTGTCCTTGGATCTTTTGAACCATTGCGAAAAAGGGCCTAAAATCCGATACCATTTTCCCGAGTCTTTAAAGAAATCAGGGATCAACACCCTCCTAGTCTTTCTGTAGTCCCCTCCAACATTCTAGATCAAACTTTGGAGATGGGAGTAGCCAGGGGTGGATTTACAGGAAAAAACTACCTTTGGAAAAAACCCCTTTTTACGTCCCTTTCCCTTCCCCCGGGGGGGGGCCCCTTTACCCACCCCCCCAAAAGGCTATGTTTGGTTTGGGTTTTTTTTAAATTTGGGGGTTTAAAATTTAAAAAACAACACACTAGGGGGAGGGTTATAAAGGGTTTTTGTTTAAATTTTTGGGGGGGTTTCAAGAGGTCAAGGGAAAAAGGTTTCTTGGGGGAAACACGCACAGTGAATTTAGGGGATTTTTTCCCCCTTTTTTGGTTTGATTTTGGGGGTATATATGTTTTCGTATGGGAATAAATTCAGGGAAACTTAATGAACCTTGGAAAAGAAAAATTTGGGTTGAAAATTTAAAAATTTTGGGGGGTAAAGTTTGGATATAGGGAAAGGAAAAAAGTTCGTTGAAATTTTAAATTTGGCCTTAAAATTTCTTTTTTTAATTTCCTGGTTTTAAATTTAATCACCCACTGGAAAATTTCAAAGGCATGAGAGGGGTTTTAAGTAATTTATAATTTACTGTAAAAAGTGTGAAGTTTAAAAATTTGGTAAAAAATATTTGTTTTTAAACCCATAAAATAACAGAAGAGAGAGAGAGAGCTTTCCCTAAATGAGGGATCCCCTTTTGGGCTGGGCCCAATTTTTCTAATTTTGGTTTACTTTAAAAAAGGATAAAAGAAATTTGGAGGTATTTTTAAAGTTGTCATTTAAATTTTTTTTTATTATGCTTTAATAAAAAAAAAAAAAAAAAAAGGGAAATTTAAAAAACAAAAATTAATGCAATAGTGCAGAATCAGAGGAGGAAACCAAATAATGTAAAAAAGGGCTTTTCCCTTTAGATCTTTATTTATTAAGGGAAAACGGGGAAAAAGGGGGGAAAATAAAGAAGCAAGGGAAAAGTTAAAAAAATAAAAAAGGGATGGGAAATTAGAGAAAAATTCCCAACTTTACCTAAGTGTTTTTTGGGGAGGGGGGTAAAAATGACAGGGGGGGAAGTGACGGGGTCAAGAGGGGGGAGGAGGGGGGTTGGGAGCAGTTTTGGGAAAAAACATTTTGGTTGCATAGGGGATTACTAATTAAAAAAAATAAAAAAACTTTGTTCAAGATGTTTTTATCTGTGTTTCAAAATAACCCAAGGGCGGGAAAAAAGGGCCCCACCTAAGGGTGAGTATCCCCGGGCTAAGTTCCCCTTTTCCCAAAGCAATTAGAAATTTTGATTTTATAGATTTATCCCCGGAGTAAAGGGGAAGAAATTTGGAAAACCCCAAAGAAAAAAGAGGGGTTTATCCCCCTTTGAAAAAGGTTTTTGGGAAAAAGCCCTTACAGAAGCCACAGTTGGGGGGGCCCGGGAAGGGGAAAGAAAAATAGAACTAGAAGCAACCCTGCAGAAAAAACGTGAGGGGGGTTATTTTAAACCCAACCGTATTCAAGGGGGGGGGGTTTTTGTGCCAAAAAGGGGGTGAAAAAAAGGAGAAGGGGACCCCCCTTAAAAACCGGGACGGGGTGTGGAACCAACGTTGGGAAAAAGGTTTTGAAAGCAGCCCCAAAACGGGGAGGGGGCCCCATCCCAAAGTCCTTTGGAATTTGCCATTGCATAAAAAATTTAGCTGAGAAGAGCCACTTGGGTCCCCGCCCCCTGAAAAAAGGTAGGCCCAATCCCAAACCGTTAGGGTTGGGGGTAAAACCTTTTTAACGAAAAAAAACCCTAAAAACGCCCCCTTTCTAAATGGGGGGGGTTTATAAGGGGGTGGGTAGGGGAAAAAACATGCAGGGAGTCGGGACAGGTTTGGGAAAAGGCGGGGTTTTGGGGATTTGGGGGGGACTTGAGTGCATATCATTTTAAACGAATGAGGGATTAATCCAAGTCAACCAAACGGGGAAAATTTAGCAGGGGATTCGATCTTGTAGAAATACTGAAACCAATAAAGACAAAATTGGGGGAATGATTTTTAATAGTTAAAGCAGTTAGGACAAGATGGGGGTTTCAAGTTTACCATTGACTTTTCCAGGAAGAGATAGGGGTTTTGGGGTTTTTGGGGGGGGCCTTTGGAAGAAGGGGGGGGGGTTACAAGAAATTTAAAAAGGGCCTGAAGGTTGGAAATACATTTCCCATGGGGAACGTCTGTTTTGGGAAAAAAGGGTTTGGTTTAAAAACTACCGGGGAAAAAATTACTATGAAAAAGGAAGGGAAACGCCAAAAACCCCGGGGAGGGGGGTTTAAAAACAAAAACCCAGGGGAAATAAAGTAAAAAGGAACGGGTTTAAATTTTAGGGTTTAAAGCCAAAGGTTAACCCAAAAATGGGACAGGGCAAGGAATTTGGGCCCGTGGGGATTGATTTCGGGCAGATATAGTTTGGGGGTTCTTTTTTCGGGGGAGAAAAAGGGAACCCTTCCAAATCCGAAAACGGGATCAGCTGGTAGCCCAAAATTTTATCACAGGGGGGTTATAAAAAAAACCGTTGTTTCCTAAAAACCCCTTTGGAAAAGGGGCCCTAAAAAGGGAATCCTAAATACCCCAAAAAACCAACCCAAAAAGGGTTAGAATTTTTCCCCTTTGAAAGGGAAATGAAAAAAAAGGAAAAGGGGTAAAAGGGAAATTTTAAAATTTGAGAATTTTTGGGGTAAGGGGGGTGAAATTTAACAAAAGCGGGGGGTGGGGGGTTTAAAAACAAATTTAGTTAGGGGCCTGTTAAACGGTGGGCCCAACCCTTAAAATCACCAAAGGGCCTCGACCATGTTTTTGTGTGATAGTTTTGGGGAAACCAAAACCAAAACCCACCAAAAATTGTTCTGAATAAAATAACCACTCTTAAAAAGGAAATCAAAGGGCCCCAACCCAATTCACCATAAAAACCCCGGGAAAAATTATAAAGGGGGTTATAGACACGAATTTGCGAATCAAAAGATAAAATTTGGAAAAGGGGTTTTAAAACAACTTTTTTCTGGTGGGTTAAAAATTAAAAAATGGGGTTTAAATTTACATCAAAAAAAAGGGTTTTGGGTTAATTGGGCCCGGGGGGGGAGCAGGAATAAAATCTAGGCAAAATTCCGCCACCCACTAAATGCCCGCAGAAAGTGGGTTTTTTAAATATGCTTTTAGCAGAAAAGGGGGGAAATTTGCAAGTGGTGGGGGGTTTTTTGTATTTTTAACCCCCAAAAATACCCCCCAGAGGTATAGGAACAAAGGCACTGGCAGGTCTCACAGGGAATTTAAGTAAAGAAAGGGGCTGAGAACGGGGGGGGGAAATCAAAATGATGGGGGGTTGGGGAAACATTTTTGGGGAAAAGGGAAAACTTTTTTGTGAAAACGTTCTGGGTGAGCTATAGCTTTAGGGGTATGGTTGTTCTTTGTTTTTTGTTGTCTTTTTCCCCGGGTCCGGGGTTGGGAAAAAAAGGGGTTTGGACCAGTATCACAGCAGTGGGGGAGATGGGCCCAAATGCCGGACTCCGACCAAGGAAAAAAAAAAGAATATGCCCCACCAGGCTTGGTGGGGATAAGGGACGTTTCGGGATAGTTTCAGACTGGTTTTTAAACCTAAAAAATATAAATCTCATTTAAAAAATTTAGGGGAATGATCTTATTGGGTTTTTAAAAAAGGTTTTGTTTTAAGTATAAGTCAAAAAACCCGATTTTGCGGGGGTTTGTGTTTGAAGCAAATTTTCTTTACTATGGGGCTTGACGTTTTTTCCCTGAAGGGGGGAAAAAAGTTGGGGTAAAAATTGAAAAAAAATTACTTTTACGTTTTTTTTAATAAGGGGGGGTAAACCCTGTTGAACCTGTATTAAAATGAGAAAATTTTGTAATGTTTTTAAAAGGAAAAAACCCAAAACTTAAAATTTTTAAATGGGGTGTGGTTCATTTTTTATAAAAAAAATTTTTTTGTATGGATAAAATTTATAAAAAAGGGGATTGATAGAAAATTTATTAACCCCCAAATTATTAAAACCCCCCTAAAAATGGGTATAATGTGCTGGGAAAGGGGGTGTGAGGGGGGGGACCAGTAAAATTCGCAAGGGTGAAAAAGATTTAAAAGGGCCAGAAAAAGCACAAGGAAAAAGGCTACAGGAAAATTGAAAAACCCAAGGGATAACAGGAATTTAGGGAGAAAGAGAAACGTTGGGCTTGTGTGTGTGGGGTGGGGTTGTTTTTGGGTTGTTGTGGGGTGGTGTGTTGTGTGGTGGGTGGGGTTAGGGTTTTTTGACCTAATGGTTGGGGAGGCGGGTTTTAAAAGTGGAAAAATCCACCCTCCCTACAGAGGGGGGGGGAAATTTATTTGTTTTAGCGTATGAGTAAATAAAAGAGGACTCTGAAATTGTGATGGCAGAATCTCAAGGGAAATTACTTTCTCTGACAAAGCAGATCGGGACTTGTCCTTACTTAAACCCCCCAAAAGACTTAAAACCCTTTTGGGGAAAACGCACAGAGAAAAACTGAAATATTTTTGGTTTAAAAATTTCAAAAAACCCCACCAAAAACCCCAAATTGTTTTTCGGTTTTTCGCCCCTTTTCCCCAGAAATCCCCAAAAACCCCTTTTCGCAGGATGAGCACCCCAAAAGGCCCCTTGTAGGGTAAAACCCAAGTAATTAATTCCCAAAGCTGTGTTCCAATCTGAAAAGGGGAAATTACCCCCCCAATTCCACCTGAAATTTCCCAGAAAAACGGGGGGAACGTCCCGAAAAAGGGCCCCAACAAAACCTATTTGGCCCCTTCCCCCGTTTTGAAAACCTCTACCCTTTTCCGGGTGAGGCCCGGGCCCTGCAAAAACCATATCCCTATATTTCCATGGTTATACAGATCAGACCCAATGCAAAAATACATGGTCTTAAATGAGGAAACCCCCGGGCCCCCCAACCCCTTTCCCCGTCGGGAAAAGGGGCATACTTTTTGGACCTTTTTAATTTTCCCCCCCACCTTCCAAGTTTCTTCCAAATAACCCCGGGTTTTTCCCCTCATCCCCAACCTTCCTCCGGTAAAGAACGCTTTTTTGAGTTTTCTTTTAATAGAAAAACCGAATCCCAAATAAATTGCCCCGTCTCCCCCCTTTTTCCCAAATTTTCTTCCCTTTAAAAGGGCCCCCATTTCGTCCCCCCCCTTTCCCAAAAAAAGGGACCTTTTAAAATTTTAAAAAATAAAAACCGAACCTCCCTTATTCCTGTACCTGGGGTTTAAAAAAATTAAAAGTAAGGGAGAAACCCCAAAACAAAACGTTTTAATTGGGTTTGGAAAAATTACCCCAAACCCCCAAATGGGCGCTTGTTTAAAACCCCCCCTCCCCCTTAATAACCCTTTTCCCAAAAAAAAGGAAAATTCCTTTAAATTCCCGGTTTTTTTGTAACATTCCCTTCCCCCACCCCCATAAAAAACTTTTTGATAAAACCCCTTCCTAAAATCCAAATTAACCCCCCGGCCTTCTCCACATAAAAAGGGAAAACAACATCTCCCTTTCCCCCCTACCCTTCACTCCCAAAATTGGCTTTTAAGAGGACGCCGGGTTTTTTTTTTCCCATTTTTTTTTTTTTGTTTTTTTTTTTTTTTGGATAAACCCCTTTATGCTCTCAGGAAGTAAGTTACATTTACATTTATTTCTTTTAAACCCAAAACGCTTTTACCCAGAGAGACTTCCGTTATTTGAAACATTATTTTATTTTTTTTAAGGGCCCCCCTGGGGGAAATTTCAAACCCAAAACCCTGGCGTTGAAAAACCCATGCTTATCAACTGAGCCCCACCCCTCCCGGCCATTCCCCCCTCCCCTGGACGACGAATTTTGCCAATTGTGGATCGAACCAGGATCTTAGGACACAGAAAGCACGGATGCAGTCCCTTGGGCCACTGGCCCCCAAGGAGGTATTTTAGCATCTGGGAATCTACGTTCCAAAAATCTTAAAAATGTGATTTTAAAGCTTTTGGGCCCGATAGTTTTTGGTTTCTTTGGGGACCTTCCGGCGTCCGGTTTGGTACCCAATCCCTCCTTCCAATGCCTGGGGGTTTCCCCCTCCTCCCACATTTGGTTGACAAAAACCCAATACCTTACTTAGGCCTCACACTAAGGGGGCCAACATAAAAAGAAAAAAATCATTTTTCCCGGGTTGAAGTAACCCACCCTAACTATTGCTTTTGAAATTTAAAATTTTACTTTTGTCTTTTTGGGCAGACCTTTTCCCAAGAGGATTAAAATTTGTGAATACACATTTTTTTTTTTACGGGCCCCCCGTGGGAATCGAACCCGAAACCCTGGCTTTGCAAAGGCCAAGGCTCTACAACAAAGTACTCCCGGGCCGGCCATTCCCCCCCCTACCCGGGGACGACGGGGGCCCAATTGTGCCCCCCAAATTTGAGTCTCCCGGCCGGGGGCCGGGGGGGCGCGAAGCCCGGGTTCAAACCCCAGGATCTCTGTGGCACAGTTAGCACTGCGATGCAGTGCCTTAGCCCCATGCCCCAAACTGGAAAATGGGGGCCCATGGCCCTTTCGGGCACTAAAAATTTGCTCCTTCTTGGGTTCTCTCTCCCTCTCGCCCCCGGGACAGTTTTGCGGAGCATGCACTCGGACAAGTAGAAAATAGAAAAAAAAAAAGAAAAAAAACCCCTTAAAAGGAGTAGGTGATCTAAAAATTGACCGTTAGTAAAGTGTTGATTTTTATTTTGGGATTACTTTTTTTAAAGCCTTATGATGATTTGATGTTTAGTGTGGGTTTTTTTTAAGTTGTTTTATGGGAGTGAGGTTATTTTATTTTTTTATTTTATTTTTTTTAAAAACTGGGGCAAGTCTTTAAGAAAAAATTTCTATTTAAAATGGGGCCCTTTACCCCGGCCAAACAGGGCTGCCCCGGGGCCAAGGGTGCGCCCCCCCCAAGGGAACTCCAATACGTCCGGTTGTGTTTCCCAAACTGGAATTAAACCGGGGGTTGAAGTGATGCTCAAGCACTGGATGCAGTGCCTTGGATCTGCGCCACTGGGAGAAAATTTTGATGTCTTTTCCTAAATTTTGTTTAGTTGTTGGGTATTTATTTTTTGATTTATCCCGTATAATGGGGTTTTTTTGGGTTTCCAAAGAAAATTGGTAGAGAAATGGTTGGGGGTTTGGTTGTTGTGGTCAAAGTTGTCCGTTTTTTGAGTCGTTTTTAGGTTTTTTTTTTTTGGAGTTTTCCCTTTTTGAAGTTCCCCCCAATCTTTTTGGGTTGGGCGAGATTTGGAATGTAAACCCTTTTTCCCCAAAAAAGTTTGGGGCCGTGCTGTGGGGAAACCCCAACCCACAACTCTAACTAAAAAAATTTCCTAAACCCCCAAAAAACCCACGTCCCCTAATTTTAAAACCCCCTTAACCAACCTTCTCTAACCAAACCTATCTAAAACCAAAACCTACTCCACTCGCCCCCTATTTCACCCCTCCGAACCCCTATTTAACAGAAGGCCAGTCGGAATGGAGGAGCCACTGATGCAGCAACACACAAACAACAGATCAATCGGAAGAGCCTCTATTACCTGGAGTCCCGCCCACCAGCCCTATATAAGCAGCGCACCTCCACTCTACTCTCCTTTTTACGCTCCTCACAACTTCTTTGAGGACGGCCAGAGAATGGATCTCTCTCCAACAACTGCGACAAAGACCGCTAGAAGACCCAGGTGCAAGCAACATTTAATCAACACTAGACCACTTCCTCGATCAGATGCAAAACAGTTTTATAATATCTTATGACGACATTCTAGGGTATCAAGTGATTACGAATGTAAGGATGTACTTAGACACTTTTGATGGGGAGTTCACATTAGATATTGAATATGGTACCATGGTTAGTTATAACAGAAGGACAGAGCTATGCCTCTACCATATCCGAACTCCAGAACAAAGATCCACTCTCTCTATATATACACCCTGTTACAAGTCTCTCCACGAACATCTGGTAATCATCATGGTCACTCCCATTCTTTGATGTTATTACTCTTTACCCCAAGACAGTATATCCTGTCCCTCAATCATGCTATCATAAACAATCAGTAATCTCCTTTGACATAACGGAATGTAGACTCCATGGCACCAAGCCACTTATCTAGTAACTCTAACCTGGTCCTCACGATACTATGACATGACATCATTACATAACCTAAACCTAAATTGAATTAGACACCAGGAGCTTAAGGACCATGTCCTGGACACATTGAACGTGTAATGTAATTGCACCATAATTTTGGGAATATAGGCCTCCTGACAACATCCTCACCCTGTCACCGTTCAAATAGGTTTGGCCCTAACCAATTGGGGCATTCCTACACTTAGCAATCTGTATTATTCTCACTGTTAGGCTGCCTACATAATGCCAAAGAGTAAGCATGTCTACCACCTAAACACCACACACCCTGACAGAGTACAATGTAATAGAGGGCCAGATTAGAGTCAGCACACAAGTCATTGCAGAGGACAGTACATCAGCACAAATTATTCTGTCTGATGGGAGACTATAGGGAGGACAAATTGTGTAAGGCATAAAAAATTGAGTAGTGCAGAAGTTGTCATATGCTGAGGCAGTGAAGAAAATAGAGGAAGATGGGTCTAAGGGGAGGGATCCTGAGGAGTGGTGTGAGTAGTAGAGCTGTACCAGTACAGAGGGATAGGCCAAAAAGTGATATACCTTTCAGTAAGATTGGATTTTTAGCATTTATAGCAATGGCTATTAATTGTACTGCAGGGAAGGAACGTAAGTCAAAGAAAATGGAGGTTGTGGTGGCAGCTGCAGAGAGGTATTTGGGTGTGCGAGATTTGATATCAGAAGAGTTACAGGTAGTGTAAAGTGGTGATGTCCCATAATTTCAGGTTGAGGGCATGAGGTAGGAATGAATATATATAAATAGTGGAGAAGGGTGGTGTTAATTATAATAATAATTTTGAATTTGTGAGAGTAGTGTTAGATGGTATGGTATTTCTTTATTTAATTTAATTTTTCAAGCAAATATGAGGGAGTTGTACTCCAGTTTAGTAGGTGGCGGTAATGCAACAAATTGGATGCTAAATGTCGTTAAACCTCATTGAAGAAGAAGAAGTCCGGCAGCTTGCTACTCAGGAAACATAGCACTTGAATGACCAGTGCTCGAGATAGACGCTCTGCCATGGGAAACACAATTCACTTGAATCACGTCAGTGTACCTGCCTGAGAAACTGCAAGAAAGGTATTTTTGCTGTTTGACAAAATTTGGCCCTTTAAGTACAAAAGGCTTAAACCAAAAAAATCTACTAACAAAATTTAGATCTATAATATTGCGAAAATTGAAAAGGGCCCAATTAGGTATCCAAATCCACAAGTACCCCTATGATAGAAACATGGTTAACAAAATTTTACTAGTCCGAAATTTAAAGGTAGCTCGTATTTTTTTTGGGAAACTGTATCAAGTGCAAGCAAGAGGCTCTGAAATCTGTCTTAAATTTTGGGATGTCTTTTTTGTATTAGTTTATTGAAAATTCCAGCCACGGGCCGCAAAGGAAAGGGGGGGGGGGGAAACAAAAACGTCGGTCCCCCTTTTTTAAACCTTTAGGTATCTAAACATCGAATCAGCCGAATTAAATAAAACCCTTCCATGTTTTTAGTTTTTTTGTTTTTTTTTGTTAGGGGGAAATCAGCTTTAATATTTCATAATAGTACCCTTTCCCATCAATGAAACCTTGCCCCTTTGGAATCCCCTTTCCAATCCTCCTATGTTATTTTCTCGAAAAAAAAAAAAAAAAAAAGATATATATATTTTTAATTACAGTGGAGAAACGTATTTGATCACTGCCGTTTTTTCGGGTTTTTTTCCTACTTACAAAAGCTGAAAAAGGTCTGTAATTTCTTCATGGTACATTTCCCAAACTGTGGAGACGGAATCTAAAAAAAACTGCACCTTTTTTTGGGGAAATCGTTACCTGTTAAAAGACCCCCCTGCCCCACACACTCAAAAAAGAGATTTCCAAACCCCTCCACAAGGGCCAAAAGGACCAGAGAGGTGAAAGGCATCGGGGGATAAAATGGTAGACCTGCACAAACGGGGAGGGCTCCGGAAAATAAAAAAACAGCTTGGTGGAAGGCAAAAAATGTTGGGCAATTTTAAAAAAGGGAAGAAGTTAAAGATAAACGGTCAATCCCCCTCGGGTCTGGGGCTCCATGAAAAGATCTCACCTGGGGGGGGCTCAATTTTTCATGAGGATGGTGGGTTACAGATACAGGTATCCGGTGTTTTTTGGGTTTTTCTCCTTCTGCCCAAATCACAGGGCCCTGAAATGTTCCTGTTTGGGGGTTTTCGTTGAGGTGCCCTGTGATTGGCCAATCATAACTTTCCCTGTGCTTTGGCCCCCACCTTTTAAAGCCCGTTTTTTTCAATCACACACCCTTTTTAAAAAAACCAAACTTGTGTTTGTTTGGGAGAGAAAAATTTTTTCCGTATGGAGTATGGACCTGTTTGTTTTCCTGGTAGGGTTTTGAAACTCACTAATTTCGGGTTTACCCCTTTTGGAACTTTGTTGAGACTATTTTTTTTAAATTGGGGTTTTTGGTTACTTTTTGTTTTCCTTATTGTGTCCCAACTTTTTGTTTGATTCCCCTGTTTGGTGGGCTTTTTTGGTTTTTTGGGGAAAAAAGGGGGTTTTTTTAAGCAGTTCCCCCTTGGGGGGTTAAATTCCCCGTAGGAAAAAAAAAAAATCTGTTTTTAAAAAAAAACTATTGACCTGAGCGGCCCACCCCTGTACTTTTGTTTTGCACAGTACCCTAGCGGTTTTGGGAGGCAGGAAAAGATCAGTCGGGGGTTTTTTCCCCTATTTTCATTTCTTGGGCCCTGCTCACCCCTTTTTTTCCCAAAACCCTTACTGGTGTTCTGAAATAAACTATGTGTTTTTGACGGTATTTCATGGGGTTGTGCCCTTTTGTTCCATGTTCCATGTCACACTCCTAATTTGCATTTTTTATTTAAAGGGTTCTCTGTCCATCCCCCCTTTAGATTTTTTAGAGCCCAGGGGTTCCCGAAAACATAAAGTGGGGGGTTCGGGGGGATTTTTTCCCCCTTTGCTACTTGCAAATTCGAAGTTTTGGGGTTCAGTTTTTGAGCTTGGCGTTTGTACCCCGGGTTTTTTTTTTTTGTTTTTTCAGTAGTCGACGGCTCGTTTGTATTAGTATGTTTATTTTTTAAAATTAAAGAGGCTTTTTGGGAAAAACCCTACGTGGGAGGTTTTTTAAAAATTTTGCCGTGGTGGGATCTCCCGGTTTGGCTGACCACTTTTCTTTTTTGCCCTTACCGAGGGGTTTTTGTGAAAGAAAATTAAAAGGTTGGGGAAAGGGTAGTGCTGCGATACTTTTTAAACAAAGAGTGCTTGAGTTTACCGCCGCCTGAGTTGTGCCCGTAGGGGATGTGGTTGCTTTTCCCTGAAACCCTCGGTCTGAGGACGAGGCTAAGGCTCCGGGGCCAACATTGCCCCGTTATGACCCACCCCCCCCACTGAACTGAAAATTGTTTGAAGGGATCGAGGTCCGCTCAAACACGGCTCCAAATGGAGGGGGGAAAAAGGGGGCACAAATCGGAAAAAATTGGAGAGGGTTTTAAAAGGGGAAGCTAGAGGCAAAACCGGAGACCGAAAGGGCCCCAAAAACAGGAGACGCGAAAGAGGGAATGGGGAGGGCTTAGGCTTGTTTCCAAAAACTGGAGACCTTTAAGAGGAAAAATAAGGTGGTAAAAATGGAATTTAGGGGCCCGAACAATGGAGTTAGTCTCGGCAAATCTATGCCTGCTAGTGACCCAAACCCTCACCACTGTGTCTTTGGCACGTGTGATATTAGGGGCAGATCACCTTGGGTACCGGGTTCAGGGAGTCAGGGGGGTTTCCCTTTTTCCCGTTTTTTTTGAACTTTATAGGGGTTTTAGCTTTGAAAGGGGCCCGACGAGGTATGGTCCCTTATTTCAGGAAAGCAACATCAAAAACCCAAAAGGGGTTTCGGGCAGCGTTTACCTCTTGAAGACATTTTTAATTATGAAGTGGTAAAGCTCCTTTCTTCGGGGCCTATGAGCTTTTTCCCTAAACCCTTGGGACAGAGTTTGGTCTCAAAAAAAATTCCCCCCCCTACTCAGACTTAGGTGGGTTTGCTAGGAAAAAGGGGAAATCTGTTTTGACAAAATCACAGTGCTAAAGGAAACTGTTTTTAACTTTTCCCCGGGATTAATCTTGTTAAAAGGGGTTTTTGCTTACCGGAACCATTGTTTTTTATTTTAAACGAACAAAAAGGGTACCCTCACTGTGGAAACGTCGTTTGGCAGAACGTTTTTGTGTTGACTCATAAAAACGGTTTGGGCCGTAGGGGAGACAGGGCTCAGTTGCTAATTTTTAAAATTCCTAGTCGACCAGCAGTACATCCAGCCCCGCCCCCAAAGAGTGCGTCGTGTTTTTTTAATTGTCTTTAAGGGGGGGAACATATGGTTAATTTTTGCTTTCTGCAAAAACCCCCAAAACCGGGGGATCCTCAGCCCGCCGGCCGCCAACGGGTGTTGGGCTGATTTTGGGTTTGAAAGGGGCCGGGAATAAGGGGACGAGGATTTTCCTTACTGAATGGGGGGTTTGAAAGTCCCGTCCCAGCCCCAAAAGTTAAACCGTTCTTTTTTGGAGGGGTTTTTTTTTCTTTCAGATGAAAAAAGCGTTCAGCGCCCAAATTTAAAAATCCTCAGAGATCCTGGTGCGGCGAAAGTCTTTATAACTAGGATGTTTTTCCCCTTTGTCTAAAAATTTAAATTGTGGGTCCAGTGGTTGTACAAGGAATTGAAAGGGGAAATTTGTTCCAGGGGCCCTTGCCCTTGGTGAACGTAAAATCTGAGTTTAGCCCTTGGATTGTTCGGGGTTGGGGCCTTTACCCCATTTGCCAGTAAAAGGGTGACTTTATAATGGGCAACGAATTGCCCCCAAAAAAAGGGAAAAAAAAAAAGGTGCCCCCCTTTTGGGAAGGATTGGATAAAAAAGGAAACCGGGTCTCCCCTCCAGGACTGGCACGGGTTTACCAGATGTGGTTTTCCCCGCTTGTGCTGTACACGGGGCTAAACACGAAAAGGGGGTAAATTTATAGATTTGTCAAAACAGGGATTCTATTCAGGAGTGTGACCCAAGGATAGTGCGGGGGGCCCCTCTGGAAACTGGGGGCCGTCTGAAAAAACACCCCAGGGGAAAGGGAAAGAAGATGTGGAACTTTTTTTCAAAGGGAAATACAGTTCCCTTTATTTCGTGGGGCAGTGATCGAAACCCAAACGGGTTTTTGACATTAGCCTGGTAAATTTTTTTCCTATTTTTGGGGCTCAGAGGAGGGAGCAAAAAAGAAAAAAACATGGAAATTTTCCCATTGATGGTAATCCCCTAATGGAAAATGGACATCCCATGTTGAGCGGGCCCAAAAGTTTGGAATGCTTTTTTCCCAAAAATAGTGTTCCACAGTTTTCGAAAAAATGTTTTACCCCTTTCCGCTTCTTTTTTTTCACCAGGGGTCCGGACATCGGGGAGTCCCCAAAGGCTTTTTATCGTGTTTTTTAAAACATTTTTTTTGGGCCTGGTTTAAAAACAAGTTTGGGGGCTCATTTTTCTGTCGGACTTCCCACACCTGTCAAGTATTTGGGGAAAAAAAAAACCGGTTTTTTTTCCCGCCCCTCTTTTTCCATACCGGCCATGGGTAAACCCCATTCAAAACATGTGATTTTTGTTTTGTGTTGGCCTTTAAACCAAAAAAACAAAATTTTGGAAACCCATTTTAGTTGAAAATTTAGGGTGTGTGGCCCCGGAAAACCCAAGGGGCCCATTCCTCTGCAAAGGGAAATTCTGCCCCGGGTGGTGAGAAAAAGCTTTTGTTTAAATTTTCTCAATTTTTGGTTTCCCTTTAAGGGGGATAAAAACTGATAAAGGGTTTAGGGAATTTTCCCCTTTCCCTAAACTTTTCAAAAAAAGTTTTAAAAACCTTTGCCCATTTAACCACCCCCTTTTTGTCAAGCGATATCACCCAAAAGTTCAAGGTGGCTGGGAATTTTTGGCATCAAACCCGGGAAGTTATGCTCCGTAAATATTGTTTTGGAAAATCTGAGAAAGTTTTGGGATGAGGGATTTTCCTTTTAGTGTTTTTTGCGGGTCCGGGGGGAAGCAGTACAGGAATCCCTAGGGTTCAGCCCGCTGCCCCGGGTTTTGGGGACACAAAAGGAGGGGACCTATAAAAGTCCAAAAGGAAATCAGTTTTTGTCAAAAGAGTTGGGGGTTGAAAAAAAAAGGGTTTTGGGACTACTTTTAGCCCGCTTTCGTGAGCCCCACATGTCCCCTTGCTCTAGCAAAGGAAGCGTGTTTCTTCACAAAAAAACGGATTGAAACCACTATAAAACACAGGGTTTTCTCGTTCACTGCACCAGGGTGACCGAGTTTTGGTTTTTCCCCTGTCCAGGAGCGTCATTGTCACACGTTTCTCTGGTCCTTAGTCTTTAAAAAAGAAACTAATTTGAAATGACTATGTGATCCCGATCCTGTAAAAAACGCCAATCCGTGTGTCCCAATTTTAAACTTTGTTAAGGGGCCCAATCCCCCAAAACCGCCCCTTTCACTAAGTAGCCCAGCCCCAGAGAAATCCCGGTCGGCTGTCTTGTTGCTGCTACGGCGTAGTGAGAGGTCATGTTAATGATTTGGAAGGAGATGGTTTGGAAAGTTGCGAAATACTCAGCAGCAGGGGTTGTTAGATTCCCCAATTTTCAGAGATGTTTCTGCCCTCTCCCGTAACCCCTAAAATTCATTTAAGGACGACAGTCGGGTATATTGTGAGACTTTTTCCCCAAGTTTTCCATTTTTTTTTTTTAAATTATTTTCCCTAAATGTCAAATGTGTTGAACAAAATTTAATTTTGGAAACGCGCCCCTACCCAAGAAAACATTTTATCGTGCCCAACGCCCGCTAAGAGAAAGAAAAGGGGGGGGTAAGGGTGGGTTTTATTTGCTGGAGAATAAACCTGTCTAGCCCAGTTAAAGCCCTTTGGGAGTTCTCCTTTGCATTCGGTTCCAAAACCCTGAGGGGACTCCAGTTTTGAAAGGGACTTGGGAAAGCAATGCTGTTAAGTGCCCACCGTTCCCTTTTCCCCAGACGGGGTTTCCCGTATTGAAAATGGGTGGTGCTGCTTTTTTGGTAAAAAAATAGATTTTTTAAAAAGGGTTTACGGGCCCGGTCCCGGGAAAACCCCAAAGTCCCCCCAAACACTCTGCCTTTGGGACCCCAGATAAATTCCTAAAATTGCGGGTCATGGCTTTTGGGGATAGGAAAACCCCCCGGGCCATTTTCCCCCAAACCGCCTGGTTAACAATTTTGGCTGGATTCAAATTTTGGTAGTGTTTCCCTTTGATGATCTGGAAAAATTTTTAAACTGAGTGGTTGATCTTTTTAAACCTAAGGGTAGTGGGTAAAACTTCGGGGAAAACCCCGTTCTTAACCCTAAAAACTTAAAAAAGGGGCGATTTTGGGGAAAGGGCCACTTTACTTTCTTGGTAAACAGGTGGGCCCAAGGGTTTCAGGTTTTGCCCTGTGGGACCAAAGGGGTCTCAGCTATTAACGAATTTTCCCGCCCTCCCAAACCAAAAGGATTTACCCCTTTTTTTTGGTATGGTTGGCTACACTGAAATTTTCTTGTAAAAATTTTCTTTTTGCGGTTTTGTGCCCCTTAAGGATTTGCTCAGTCCGGGGGAAAAAAAAATTTGTATGGTCTAAGATTGTTGTATTTGCTTTAAAAAATGCAAAGCACTTTTTATTACCCCTGTTCTTGCTGCCCCAGTTTTTGCCCGACCGTTTAAACTGGGGTTTAAGCAATTCCCAGGGGTTTGTGGGGCTGTTCTCCCAAAGAGGGAAGAGTGGAGGGGAAACCACCCTGTTGTTTTTTTTTCCCAAAATTTAACAAATGTCAAACAAACTTTTCCCCCAATTAAACCCAAGAAGCTCTAGTTTTAGGGGGTTTCCCCCCGGGAGTTTTTTGAAGTTTATTTTGGGTTTCCGTGCTTTCCCCAGTAAATAGGGGTTAAAACGCCAAAAACCCCCTTTTTTTTTTCCCCAAACCGGATGTAAAACCGAACCAACCCCTTTGTTTTTGGGGGCACTTGTCGTGAAAAATTTTAAAATTTTGGGAACCCAAAAAAAAGGGGTTGTTTAATGTGAGGGCCCAAAAGTTTTGTTCGTTTTTTGTGATCTATTTTTTTTTTTGTTACCCCGGGTTGGATGATTTGTTTTTTTGGGGTTTTTTTGTTTACGTGTGTGGGAAAACCATTGGGGTTTGCTTTTTTAAAGGGGGTGGGAGTTTTAGGGATACGGGTTTACCCTGTTTTTTTGGGGGGTTTTCTCCCCTTCTGCCCAAATCAAAATTTTTCCTGTATTTTTCCTGATTTTGGGTGGTGGGAGGGGGTCTGCTGATTGGACCAATCAGGAAACATTCCTGTGAATTGAAACCACCGGTTACTCGTTTTTTTCAATCACCACCCTTGTATAAAAAACCAGACTTTGTTTGTTGTGGGAGGATTTTTTTCCCGGTTTTGTGGTATGGACATGTTGTGTCCGGGATGGGGTATCCTAAGTTTCTTGGGTTAAACCCCGTTGGTTTAAATTTGTTAGGAAATGTTATTTATGTGGTGTGGATACGGGTTGGGGCCTGTGTTTTTGTCCCCACTAGTTTCTGATTACCCCCCGTTTGGTAGCTTGGGTTTTCGGGGGGAAAGGGGGGTTTTAAGCTAGTTGCCCTTGGGCACATTCCCGTAGGGAAAATCTGCTAAAAAAAACTATTAGACTGAGCGGACCCCCCCACTTAAATTTTGTATGGGCTAGGGAGTAGCCTACGGGGGTTTTTGAGGCAGGCAAAAATCCGTTCAGGGGTGTTTTTAAAAAACATTTTTTCAATTTTTTTGGGGCCCCCTCACCCCCTTTTTTCCCCAAAAACCCCTTCCCGGGGGTTTTGAAAAAAACGATGTTTTGTTTTTCGGTTTTGTTATGGGATTGTGCCCCATTTGGTTTTTTCGTTAATTTTCACATCCTTTAAATTTTTATAATTTTGTTAAAGGGGCTCATGTCCACCACCCTAGACGTTTTGAGCCAAAGGGGTTCGTAACAGGGGGGGAAACACCCCCGAACTACACGGCGCACCTGATCAATGACCTGAAAAGAGCTGGGCCCCGTCCAAAAAAAACCAATTGTAACACAAAACCCCCGTTATTATAAATCCTGAAACCCTACGCAAAGGGCCCCCTTTCCCCCAACCACGCATTCCCGGACCGCGAAGTTTGCCGATGATCCACGGGGGGAAAAGAGAGAAGGGCATGTGGGCGATGGGGACAAAAATAGAGTTTTTTGGGCAAACCCCGACTCGCCCTGTTTGGAGGAAAAGGAAAGAGTACAACCCCAAGAAACACCATCCCAACCGTGAAGCATGGAGGTGGAAACATCATTCTTTGGGGATGCTTTTCTGCAAAGGGGACAGGACGACTGCACCGTATTGAGGGGAGGATGGATGGGGCCATGTATCGCGAGATCTTGGCAACAACCTCCTTCCCTCAGTAAGAGCATTGAAGATGGGTCGTGGCTGGTTTCTTCCAGCATGACAACGACCCGAAACCACAGCCCGGGCAACGAAGGAGTGGGCTTCGTAAGAAGCATTTCAAGTCCTGGAGTGGCCTAGCCAGTCTCCAGACCTGAACCCCATAGAAAATCTTTGGAGGGAGTTTGAAAAGTCTGTGTTGCCCAGCGACAGCCCCAAAACATTACTGCTCTAAAGGAGATCTGCATGGAGGAATGGGCTAAAATAACAGCAACAGTGTGTGAAAACCTTGTGAAGACTTACAGAAAATGTTTGACCTGTGTCATTGCCAACAAAGGGTATACAACAAAGTATTGAGTAACTTTGTTATTGACCAAATACTTATTTTCCACCATAATTTGCAAATAAATTCATAAAAAATCCTACATGTGATTTTCTGGAAAAGAAATTCTCAATTTGTCTGTCATAGTTGACGTGTACCTACAGTGGGGGGGAAAAAAGTATTTAGTCAGCCACCAATTGTGCAAGTTCTCTCACTTAAAAAGATGAGAGGCCTGTAATTTTCATCATAGGTCAACTATGACAGAGAAAATGAGAAAAAATCCAGAAAAACACATTGTAGGATTTTTTATGGAATTTATTTGCAAAGATCTGGAGACTGGCTAGGCCACTCCAGGACCTTGAAATGCTTCTTACGAAGCCACTCCTTCGGTTGCCCGGGCGGTGTTGTGTGTGGGATCATTGTCATGCTGAAAGACCCAGCCACGTTCATCTTCAATGCCCTTGCTGATGGAAGGAGGTTTTCACTCAAAATCTCACGATACATGGCCCCATTCATTCTTTCCTTTACACGGATCAGTCGTCCTGGGTCCTTTTGCAGAAAAAAACAGCCCCAAAGCATGATGTTTCCACCCCCATGCTTCACAGTAGGTATGGTGTTTCTTTGAATGCAACTCAGCATTCTTTGTCCTCCCAAACACGACGAGTTGAGTTTTTACCAAAAAAGTTATATTTTGGTTTCATCTGACCATATGACATTCTCCCCAATCCTCTTCTGGATCATCCAAATGCACTCTAGCATACTTCAGACGGGCCTGGACATGTACTGGCTTAAGCAGGGGGACACGTCTGGCACTGCAGGATTTGAGTCCCTGGCGGCGTAAAGTGTTACTGATGGTAGGCTTTGTTACTTTGGTCCCAGCTCTCTGCAGGTCATTCACTAGGTCCCCCCGTGTGGTTTCTGGGATTTTTGCTCACCGTTCTTGTGATAATTTTGACCCCACGGGGTGAGATCTTGCGTGGAGCCCCAGATCGAGGGAGATATCAGTGGTCTTGTATGTCTTTAATTTCCTAATAATTGCTCCCACAGTTGATTTCTTCAAAACCAAGCTGCTTACCTATTGCAGATTCAGTCTTCCCAGCCTGGTGCAGGTCTACAATTTTGTTTTCTGTTGTCCTTTGACAGCTCTTTGGTCTTGGCCATAGTGGAGTTTGGAGTGTGACTGTTTGAGGTTGTGGACAGGTGTCTTTTATACTGATAACAAGTTCAAACCGGTGCCATTAATACAGGTAACGAGTGGAGGACAGCTGGCCAGTCCATCACCTTTACCCTCAGCTCTTTAGCAAGGCAGTGGTCGTCTTGGAGGTGTGTTTGGGGGTCGTCATCATGTTGGAATACTTTTCCTGCGGCTCAGTCTCCGAAGGGAGGGGATCATGCTCTGCTTCAGTATGTCACAGTACATGTTGGAATTAATGGTTCCCTCAATGAACTGTAGCTCCCCCAGTGCCGACAGCACTCATGCAGCCCCAGACCATGACACTCCCACCACCATGTTTGACTGTAGGCAAGACACTTGTCTTTGTACTCCTCACCTGGTTGCCGCCACACGCTTGACACTATATGAACCAAATAAGTTTATCTTGGTCTCATCAGACCACAGGACATGGTTCCAGTAATCCATGTCTTAGTCTGCTTGTCTTCAGCAAACTGTTTGCGGTCTTTCTTGTGCATCATCTTTAGAAGAGGCTTCCTTCTGGGATGACAGCCATGCAGACCAATTTGGTGCAGTGTATGGTCTGAGCACTGACAGGCTGACCCCCCCACCCCTTCAACCCGCTGCAGCAATGCTGGCAGCACTCATACGTCTATTTCCCAAAGACAACCTCTGGATATGACGCTGAGCACGTTCACTCAACTTCTTTGGTCGACCATGGTGAGGCCTGTTCTGAGTGGAACCTGTCCTGTTAAACCGCTGTATGGTCTTGGCCACCGTGCTGCAGCTCAGTTTCAGGGTCTTGGCAATCTTCTTATAGCCCAGGCCATCTTTATGTAGAGCAACAATTCTTTTTTTCAGATCCTCAGAGTTCTTTGCCATGAGGTGCCATGTTGAACTTCCAGTGACCAGTATGAGGGAGTGTGAGAGCGATGACACCAAATTTTAAACACACCTGCTCCCTCATTCACACCTGAGACCTTGTAACACTAACGAGTGAACATTTTTCACTTAGGGGTGTACTCACTTTTGTTGCCAGCGGTTTTAGACATTAATGGCTGTGTGTTGAGTTATTTTGAGGGGACAGCAAATGTACACTGTTATACAAGCTGTACATTCACTACTCTACAATGTAGCAAAGTGTCATTTCTTCAGTGTTGTCACATGAAAAGATATACTCAAATATTTACAAAAATGTGAGGGGTGTACTCACTTTTGTGAGATACTGTATATATGTGTATATGTTTGGGAGGGAACAGCTATGTGTTTGATATTTTCTAAGAAGTGATATGTGTCCCTAAAATAACTGGGGTGCTTAGTGGAGAGGGGGTTGATATAATTAAGATGTTGTAGGACTCACTGTTGCAGTCAGAAACCATTTATCTTCCGGGGGGAACCTCAACAGGAACTATCCAGGTGTCTGGTTCTTTGTGTATACACCCACTCAATTGGTTGGCACTTAAAATAGCCTTTGGGGGTTGAGTAGTCAAGTTGAAGCCGCAGTAGCGAATTTACTTGGCTTTGACGACATTCTCGGTCCTTCTTGGGGGAGTAGCAACCGCCCGGATGTTGGGTCCTCGTCGTTACGGAAGGCCAGCTGCAGGTGACAGGGGATGATGTGAGTCTTCTTGTTTGCACAGGCAGTGTCTCCGGCCAACTCCAGGATCTCGGTAGTCAGGTATTCAAGCACGGCGGCCAGGTAGACTGGTGCGACAGCGCCCACACGCTCAGCATAGTTGCCTTTGCGCATCAGCCTGTTCACTACATTCTGATTTTTAAAAAATAAGGGCATCTTGTAATCCAGCTTGATTTAAATGTTAATGTAACATTTGTTCCCAACATTGAAAGAATGTTTGTGTTTGTGTTTTTTTTTTTTACAGGAAGATGAAGGGGGTGATGTCCTGCAGGACCTAGCACAACATGTAAGGAAAATCGTTGTGTACTAACTTGGGATATTTATGTTAAGGATTATGTTTACCAATAGATGTCAGTATTGACTCAATACGGGGTTTACTTTCCGCTATCCCTAGCCGTTTAAATGTCTGACGTATAACCGTGCATGAGAAAGCCACAGGTAGCATAATGTAGTCCCCATACCCATTCCATACGAGTGAGTGTCAGTAGTCTACTACACTGTAAACCCGAATGTTCAAAATAATTAATTGTAATACGTAGTGTAAACTTAACATGTTCTTAAGTTGTACTTACTTAAAAATGTTGAGTGCCAGTAGCAATTTTCTTCTTTTTGAGTTTATTGAACTTATAATAATAATAATATGAACATTTTTCATTTTTATGTAACTGCTACTTAACATTTTTTTTTTTTACTTAAAACTATATGGATTTAAACATGAATTTATGTCTTATTTTGAAAGAACAAATGAATCAAATCAAGAACGAATTGAGAATAATCAATTGCATCACATATATATATATATATATATAAAATATCACACACACACACACACGTGAATATACGTTTATAAATAATTAATTGTTAATAGTTTCCTTGTTACAAGGTTGGCTAGTTAATAAATTACAAAGATGCGCTCACAATATTTATTTGTAGTATTTGCGTGCACTTCCTTCAGGAAGACCGAGCGAGGAGAAGAGCAGGAGCCGAGGGAACAGCTGACAAAGAGTGGAATGGTAAGTGACTAAAACTCTTGATGTTGTATGTTGTTTCTGAGGTTTAACGTGTTGTGACCGGACAAAGGAGCAAGTTG